CTACAGAATCTAAGATGTCCATCTTTAACTCATTTCCGGTGGTATAAAGATGTATTCTTGGCAAAGGTTCTCCAGCTCAATGATGCAAATCATGAGCACTGGAAAGCCAAATTTGTAGATGGCTTACCAACCTTTTTTGCTGAAAGAATCCGGAAAAAGCTTAGAGACCTAAATAATGGTATCTCTATCCCCTACAGAAACTATACCTATGGTGGATTAGTTAACATTGTAATCCAGGAAGGTCTAGCTCTCTGTAATGATCTGAAGTTACAATCCCAGTTAAAATCCCAAAGATTAACTGGTCGAAAGGAAGTAGGTGAATTTTGTGATCAATTTGCCTATCAGACTCCCTTATCTTATCCTAAACCTAGGAAAAGAAATAAGGTTGAAAAACCTTATAAAAGGAAGTATTCCAAAAGAAAGAATTATTCAAAAGAAAAGGATAATTCTAGACAGTATACTAAGCCTAAAAGGAGATATACTCCGAAAGCAAAGGGTAAAGGAAAGCCCAAGGCTGAGGCTAAATGTTTCAAATGTGGACGCATTGGCCACTATGCAAACAAGTGTAGAACTAAGGAGAAACTCAGTAGTCTTCACATCGAAGAGGAACTGAGACTTCAATTAAGTAAATTATTACTTAATACTAGTTCTTCTGAACCAGAATCATCAAGTGATTACGGCGATGTTGTCATGGAATTACAGTCTTCTTCTTCCTCTGAAGCAGAGATTGAAAACCCTAGATGTTCCTGTAATCCTTCCCATGATGATTATTATAAGGCAATTGTTGAGATGAATGGGTTAAGCTTAAATGTTTTAACTTCCACTCAACAATCCTTACTGGATCTTCTAGATCATATCCAGGATCCTCATACCAAGATGAAAGTCTTTGAAATAGGTTCTGCTTTGGCACGATCTAATGAGGATACGGATAATCCAGATTTTCTGCGAGCAGAAAATCATTACAGTATGAAAGAAGTTCTAAGCAGATTAGAACACCAAGGACAAAATTCGCGTCCTGTTAATCTCCCTGACCTCAAGATGGAGATTAATCTTTTAAAAGAAGAAATTCGTCAATTAAAGTCTCGTCAGACTAAGATGGATTTGGAAATTACTCTTTTAAAAGGAAAATCTGCAATTCCATCTTCCTCATCCAAGGAGGAAGCTCCTCAATCAGAAGAAGGTACTAATTATCTTCAACTCTTGAATCAAGTTACTTACCAAAAATGGTATATTACTATCAATTTGGTAATTAATCAGGAGTACACACTCACTAATGCAATTGCTTTAGTTGATAGTGGTGCAGACATGAACTGCATTCAGGAAGGATTGGTTCCTACTCAATATTTTGAGAAAACCACTCAAGGTCTTACCAGTGCAAGTGAAGGAAAGATGCAGATTAAGTATAAACTTAATCATGTGTTCATTTGTAAAGAAGGTATTTGTATCCCATCTACTTTCTTACTCATCAGAAACTTGGCACAACAGGTTATTTTGGGCACCCCCTTTTTAGCCTTGATTATGCCAATTGAGAAAATTGATTCTCATGGAATATGCTCTACTTTACAGGGTCAGTCAATAACTTTTCAGTTCTTGACCCCACCAGTAAATAAGCATATCAATGCCCTTAAAGATAATATTATCTTTAAGGAAAAGCAACTGAATTATTTGCAACAGGAGGTATCCTCCTTAGCAATTAATCAAAGATTGGTACAACCTAAAGAGCAACAGAAAATTGAGTCACTACGGCAACACTTTCTAAAAGAAATCTGTAGTGAGATTCCTAATGCTTTTTGGGCCAGAAAGAAGCATATTGTTTCTTTACCCTATATCAAGGGGTTTACTGATAGCATGATTCCTTCAAAAGCTAGTCCCAGTCACATGAAGGCTGACTACTTGGAATTATGTAAGGCTGAAATCAGCTCTTTAATGGCTAAAAAGCTTGTCACTACTAGCTACTCCCCCTGGAGTTGCAGAGCTTTTTATGTCAATAAAAATGCTGAAAAAGAACGAGGAATTCCTCGATTGGTTATTGATTATCGACCACTTAATCTTACTTTAAGTTGGATCCGATACCCAATTCCCAACATCAAAGATCTTTTAGATAGGTTACAATCTGCTGTAATCTTTTCTAAATTTGATCTTAAATCTGGATATTACCAGGTACAAATCACTGAAGAAGATAGGTACAAAACAGCTTTTTGTGTACCTTTCGGACAGTATGAATGGACAGTAATGCCATTTGGATTAAAAAATGCCCCTTCAGAATTTCAACATATTTTGAATGACATATTTAATCCTTTCACTGAATTTTCTATTGTTTATATTGATGATATTCTTATATACTCAAAATCAATTGATCAGCATTATAAACATTTGAAAATCTTCAAAGATGTTATTTACCGAAGTGGTTTAGTAGTTTCTGCTCCGAAACTAAAACTGTTTTTAACTAAGGTCCGATTTCTTGGTCATGAAATTTGTGATGGGAAAATTAGACCTATTGATCGCAGTATTGAGTTTGCTTCCAAATTTTCAGATGAAATTAAGGACAAAACTCAGCTTCAAAGATTTCTGGGTAGCTTGAATTATATTCGAAGTCACTACAAAAATCTTGCACAGGATACAGCAATTTTGTACACCAGGTTAAGGAAATCTCCTTCCCCATGGACTTTGGATCACACCAAGGCAGTCCAGAAGATCAAACTCAGAGCCAAACAAATCCCTTGCTTAGCTCTAGCTAATTCTTCATGGTTCAAAATTGTGGAAACAGATGCCTCCAATATTGGATACGGTGGTATTCTTAAACAGAAAAATCCAAACACAGGAACAGAGGAACTTGTTCGTTTCACTTCCGGAACTTGGAAAAATGCACAATTAAATTATTCAACCATAAAAAAGGAAATTCTTTCTTTGGTTAAATGCATTTACAAATTCCAAGATGATTTAATCAATCAGAAATTCTTGTTACGCATTGATTGTAGTGCTGCTAAACAAGTACTGGAAAAAGATGTAAAAAATTTTAGTTTCCAAACAGATATTTGCTGGTTGGCAAGCTGATTTATCTGCTTTTGACTTTTCTATTGAATATATTAAAGGCAGTTCTAATTCTTTACCGGATTTTCTAACTCGTGAATTTTTGCAGGGTTCATGAATCAGCCCCCCCATGGGCAGGGCCGGGGTATTTCTACTACATTAGATTCACCCACATCTTGAAAATTTAGTTATGTATGGGAAAAGCTGAATAGGTTTTTGGAGTTTTTGAAAATCTATAAAATTAGTCATATTACCATATTCGTATCTATCCGTGTCCGTGCTTCATAGAAGATAAATTTGTTATTTTACTAATTTGTTTATGTACTTTTCATAAATTGACAATATTTTCCTATATTCTTTCGTGGTCCTTCGTTCCACACTGCCACACCATTGCCACCGTAGCTTTCCACCACCATCACCACCACCACCACCAATACCTTCCATCACCACCTTCCGCTTCCACCTTCCATCACCACCGCCAGCTTGGATGTATCACAAAAGTAGCGCTCCTAAAGTTTCTTCATAGTACAAAAGATTAACAAATAATAGCACTCCTCACAGGAAAGTTTCTTCATGGTACAAAATCTTTGAAACAAATAATAGTCTAATAAATAATTTTAATTGTTGAAAATCTTGAGTATAAGTTTGAAATTTATAATTTTGGGCACAATTTGGTATAGCGAAATTAAATAAAAGATTCTAATTTGATTGACCAGTGAATTAAGAACCTCTTGTAAACTTACCAAAAGGGTTGTGCAAAGTTGGTTTGGAACTATGAATAAATTGAGAATAACTATAAAAAGAGCACCAAATGTGACATAGTCCCACATCAAAAAAGTGTAAGAAGTTGATGAGAAAATTAGGGCAATGACGCAGCTCATGAGGTTCTAACCTAGACGCGTCAATTGCTTGTTGAAAACTATTTCCCTTTTTATTGCTTTCTTTGCCTGGGTTTTGCCGGCTATCGAGAATTTTTGGAAGGGCTCCCTTCTTGGGTAAAACCCTACAATTCAGAGTTCCAAATTTTAGTTTCACAATTGCTTGTTGAAAACTATTTCCCTTTTTATTGCTTTCTTTGCCTGGGTTTTGCCGGCTATCGAGAATTTTTGGAAGGGCTCCCTTCTTGGGTAAAACCCTACAATTCAGAGTTCCAAATTTTAGTTTCACACCCTCTATAACAACTTTCACCCTAACCAAATACAATATTGTCTGTTTTTTTGCTCACCAGGACTAGAGACTTCGCAGGGTCACCCATCTTGAGGTTAAGCACGCTTAACTCCGAAGTTCTGGTGGGTTCACGGCCATCACGGCTTTAAAAAGCGTTGTGTCATAGAAAAATGCTAAATCAATATTTAATACTTGCCCCATCCGCGCCCAGAAGCAATCGAAGAACTTGAACTATAAGAAAATTTCATAAATTTTAGATTTTTAAATTATTTGTTAGTTCCATAAATCAAGGATAAAGTTTTTGATGTCTAACCTATTTTATGGTGTTAAATTACTAGATTCTTCAGGATGGAGTTCGTATGGTGCAATTTAGCTGTCATAAAGAGGAATGTCCATCAATTGGCTTCGGGAATGGAGTTTTATTAGATGAAGTTTAGCTTTTAGAAAAAGGAATGCTCTAGGGGCAGATTTCCCTGACCATTTGATTCTCTATAATGGGATGGAAGTTCCTCACAGGATAAATTCATCTTTCTGGTGTCAACGGATACTGCGAGGTTACATTCATGGAGGAAAAAGTTATCGGTTTTCTGGAAAAAAAGAAATAACAATGACATGACAAGAATTGTAGCCCTAGATTGTAAACATATACAAATTTATGTTCTTCTGCACACTAAATATTCCAATTATCTGGCCCATAACCTTATTGATTTATTCTGTAGTGTCAAAATGAACAGAAGCCTTCACCACAAAAAAGATTGATCTTTCTTCTCCACATATCACATACAATGTACCAACTAATGAGCTAGGAGAAACAAAATTGTGGAGTTACTTTCTGAATTTAAAATTTGAAATCCATCACAACTTTATACAAAATAGACAGTCAAATCTAAAAGAAAATGGAAGAGTGTCCAGTTCTACCATATGAACCTCCTCCATCATGAGGAAAGAAAAATAATAACTCCTTCGGTTTTTTGCCTTCTCCATTTCCCTGAGAAAAATCCACCACAAATTAGATTCCACAGATAGCTTGCATGAACCAGAAACATGAATGAAACACAGGTATGATATGAAAGTAATTCCACACAAACAAAGACCTTCTAGAGCAAATATAATGGAAACAAATTGGATTAACTGCAACGTCAATTGTTCATAGCATCCCATATGGCAATGGATCTGGTGAAACCACCTTCTAGAGCATATATACTTCTTTGTTTTTACGCAATTAAATTACATCATGTGAGTAATATATATCAGATTACTACAATCATTTAATTGAACTCAAAATTCTTTCCCCACCACTATGAAATCCCAATAAACATCCCACAATTATATGAAGTTTTTGTTTAAGAAGTCTCCAAAACCATATCTGAAGTTACTTTACAGTTTATACTTCAATGTTCTCCCTTCCTTTCCCACCCTCTCTCTCTCTCTCTCTCTCTCCTCTAGACAGAGATCATGGCACATGCACTTAAATGGTGCAGTCTCCTTGGCCTTTTCTCCATCTCAAATTTAATGAAACCTGAAATTTTGAATGAAAGAAGCCCGCAAACTTCTTTTGCTTAGATTTGTATTTTGATTTGGGGATAGTGAAGTTAGGTGCACAAAATCCGCCAAGGTTGCTTGGATGGCAGGGTTACTTCCTTGAGGCTTCAAGTTTGAGTCCTGGTTTAAGCGTCAGTGTGTTCATCAAGGTAATGGAAGTGGGAAATGATGGTTGGGCCTCATAGCTATGGTTTTTATGCCTTTGTTGAACACGAGCTGTCCATGTCATGAAAACCTAGATCCAACTACGTTGTTTGAAGAAAGTGAAAGTGGGAACATATGAAACTTTGAGTATTCTGAGATGCTTTTGTTGTTCCCAACAAGATGGCTCGGTAACAGATCACATCTTTCAAACTACGCCCCGTACGTTGAGGATGATTGATGGCATGAAGATCATACTTCGGTATTGCCATTTGGAGGAAGTTACAGTAGAGAAATTTGAGCATGGTTGTCTCACTTGCAATTGGAATCAATGATTCCAATTGGTTATATCAAAAAGCAATGTTTCAGTCAGCTGCTGGCAAATAAGACAGACAATGTGTTGAACCTTGTGGTAGGCTGGTACGTCACAAAGAAATAGGGGTGAGATTCACTAAAGATGGTTGCTTATGAGGTGGTTTTTTTTGTCAACCAACCAGGTTAAATTTAGCACCATGGGCTAAGTTGCTGGTCAGTAGAGGTTTTCACTAAAATCAATTCCTCCACAAATGGAATTTTATTCGGTGCAATTAGTTGTCAGACAAAAGAGGAAAGTTTGAAGGATGGTTTTCTATAACCATTTACTTATTTAAACGGATGCTAACAGTGTTGTTAGTGCAAGGCTCTTTTGATGGAGAGATTCAATTTTTGGGTTTTTAGATGCAAGCATAGCTTCATGGGTCAAGGTGCATATGCAAGCACATTGGGTTAGTTCCCAAGTAGTTATAATATCTTGTTAATTTTAACCCTCAAAATACTACAGATATTTGCTATGGTGTCAAAAAAGAACAAAATCATTCACAAAAGGAGGAATATCTGCCTTCTCAGCATATTACATATGCTAACTAATGTGCAAAGGGAAACAAAACAAATATTAACTTTGAAGTAAAAAAGACATCGAACAAAATTTTAAACAGGATATACAATCAAATGCGAAATATAGTGGAAGAATGCGCATTTTTATTATATGAACCACAGGCCCGATAAAAATTACCTTTTTTTCTAATCGTCCTTAGGAATATCTTTCTTGGGCAACTCCTTCGGTTTTGCCTTCCCCATTTCCCTGAATGAACGACACAACTTATATTTATGCAGATGGCATGCATGAAATAAAAAGCACGAATGAAACACTGGTGAAGATGCACTGTAGAAAAATGCTGAATAAAAATTCTTGCAACACAACAGAAACAGGAGGATAAACTGCACCCATATATTCACAATTTCATATGCAAATTGATCTAGTGAAGTCACCTTCTAGACAAGATACTTCTATTTTTCATAATTAATTTTCTTCACTGAGTAAGAATTATCAGATTACCACAACTATTTAGTCTGATTCAAAATTTCATTTCCCACCATCAAATCCCAAATACATAAGAAGTTGAATTGCCGACATCAGTACAATCATCAAATGGTGAAGCAATCTTTTAACTTTACCAAAAATCACAGCCTCGAAAAGGGAAACTGATGACTTATTTTGTCTGTCCTCGCAAACTTTAATTAAAATACCATTCTCTCTTATTTCTGGCCTATGTACTATCAATGCAATGATATTTCCTTAAAACAAAATTAAACATCAAATGCTGTTTTGTAGAGCCAATTGGACCAATAGTCTCGGCTCCTTCAGTATGCATTTTAACATGTTTTCAACACCATTCCCGGAAGTCACTAAAAGAAATACTCAGAATTTTCGCTTAAACTAAATTAACACTAAAACGGCAAGCCGAAAACTACTTTCTTTTTTTCAGAAATTGGAAAACTACTTTCTTGATTACTGATAATAGGACCTAATTTTAGAGGCCTTTAACGCAAACCATGGCGTGCATTGAAGGAGGCACAGCATGCCAGCTGTGTGTATATACATATTGTATGCACATTTAGATACCTTATCAGATTTGGTGAAATTATAAATACCGCCCGCAACAAAAACAAAAATGAATGCAAAAGTATAATCTTGTATGAATATAAATCATAAATTTGCTTGAAATTTAAAATACTGAAATTCAACCATAACAAATAATCAATATTACTTTAACTTCAAATTAAATAAATTTATATATAGACACACAACATACAGATAGATACAAGCACAACAAAGATAAAGAGATGGAAAAGGAAGATACTTGGCGGCAGAGGCAGACTCTTCTTCGAGCCAGTGACGAATCTGACGAACGTTTCTCTTGAAGATCGTAGCACTCTGTTTCACGTCGCTCCTCAGCAAAAGTATCACCGCGCCCACTCCGGCCACTGTCAGAATGAAGTTCGTCAAAGCCATTTTTGATCCACGAATCGGAATTGTGTAAGACACACCTGTCTCTTTTGCACTATCACTCTTAAATAATTGTAGGGTTTTAGAGTGTTCTTGGGGAAGAAGACAACTAGCGATGACACAATCTGAATGTTTAGGGCTTTTCGATCTGGTTGTCGTAAATAAAAATGAACTGACACGGTTGTTATATCTGGGCTACATCAAGTCCAAATATGGGCCTAAAACTAAATTGTAGCCCAATATCAAGCTGGGCTATTGCCATTTTTAATTTTAGCTGCTCCACCTATAAACATGAAGCCCAGGTCCTTTGCTGTAGCGCCTTCCTTGCTCGTGTGGGAAGGGGTGGAGTCAATTAAATCCTAAAGGAGCACCTGTCCCTTTCTCCAACGTACCCCCTACTATGGGTATACATTTTTGCTATATACATATTATATGGTGATTTTTAATAGTATCTCCTAAAATTTTCAAATTCCTCTAATTTCTATTTAAAAAAAGAAAAAAAAGTTACAAATATCACCCACGGTACTCACCATATATATTTTTTCTTTTTTAATTTTTGTTTCCGTTTTCAAAAAAATTCTTTTTTCCCTTACGTATAACTATGTATTGTTCAATTTTTTTTTTCACTTCTTTCTTTTTATAATGACATTTATGATTGTATTTAATTAAAATATTATTAATCAATATTTTCATTCTTATATTTGTATTTATATTTTTTTTTACATTACTTATTTAGTATATTATTTTATGATTTTTTTTTTTTTTTGCCTTTTGATTTAAATATATATATATATTTTTAATAAGTGCATTGTGCCCTCTTTAAAATAAAATTCTGGCTCCACCCGTGGAGTGTTTTTTTAAGTGTGTTGATACGTAAATGGAATGTATTAAAAAATATATCAAAATTGTTACAATAGTACAACATGCTAAAGCATCGAGCTTATGATACATGATAGTCTATTAAATTATTTTATGATTATTTTTTGGTGAATGATGATAATCTCTTAAATCACTCAATAATTCATCACATATGCAGACCCCCTTGCTAAATGTATTGGACAATTACGGACAAAATTATGTGGAGTGACTTCAAAAGATTCAAACTCCCAACCTCCAAGTCATGATATATTCCAACCCTTCAGGTGCAATTGTTGGAAGCTAACGAAGGAAAGGAAAAAAAAAAAAAAAATTCTACTTTCGGTGTCCATAAAGAACAACCCCACCAGTACAATAACATTCCTTTCCTCCCTTCTAAACCCACCCTCTTCTTCGTCTCCAAGTTTAGCATCACCATCTCCTTCTTGATCACTTAGAATTAAAATTAATCCCAAACATCCCTCTCTATATATATTTGCAAACAACATTACATTGCCTAGCTCAATCACCCATTTCTATACTTACATATAAAAGCAATATATATACCCTCAAATATCCATTCTTATCTTTTAGAGTTTATACACAGAGAGACAGAGATGGGTGCTCATGATTGGGGACCGGTGGTGGTGTCGGTGGTTTTGTTCATCCTGCTGTCACCAGGGTTGCTGTTCCAGATCCCGGCAAGGACGAGGGTAATAGAGTTTGGCAGCATGAGCACAAGTGGGATTGCAATCCTGGTTCATGCCATCCTATACTTTTGCATAATCACTATCTTGCTCATTGCCGTTGGTATTCACATACATTCTGATTAATATTCCTAACTCTACATAAACAATAATTTTCTTTCTTTAAAAGAGATTGTGTGTGTCTCTCTCTCTCTTGATGACCTGGCCTTCTGGTTCCTTCCCATTTTCTTCTACTAAATAAAATTTCCGTTACCGGACTTGTATTTTTTTAGATCATTGTATTAATGTTGGTTCATGGCTTAATTTGTGTTACATGAAATATATAAGAAACATTATTCTTGAATAGTGTACCGATTGATGAAGTTCCTTTTGTATGGATTGATACTGACTAGCTAGACTGTTAGTTTTATGCAAAATAATGATTTGATTAATCAGCATTAATGAATTTATATTTACCGTTATAAAACTTTAATGAATTTCTAGTGGTAAATACTGGCAGTAAGCAAAAGGCTTCAATATCTATATGTTTTTAAGAAGTTAGAAGATGATGGGATTTTATTACTTGTATTTATTAAAAACCAAATACCACAAGCGGGACGTTAACCTTAAATAAAAAGTGAGATGATATGCCAAATGAGTAGGTTACGATATGAATCAAAAAATACCATATTTGAAAAAAAAAAAAAAAAAATGGACGTCGACAGCAGGGTTCGAACCTGCGCGGGCGGAGCCCAACAGATTTCAAGTCTGTCTCCTTAACCACTCGGACATATCGACACTGTGTTCTTCTGCCTTAGAAATAGAAGTAATAGTTAACTAAATGTGAGGGTTGGCTAAAAAGATCAGGACTTCGTGGGATGCATTAAACAAATTCTAATTGTTAACATGAGAACCTATTCCTATATCATTTCTCCTTTCAGTCGTGGGTGTCCGTCTTTCTAACTAAATATTCATAAAATAAAATTAAAAAATAGCATTGGATTTTTTTTTTTTTTTTTTTTTTTTTTTTTTTTTTTTTTGTCAAGACAAGAAAGAAGAGCACATTACAACTGATGGCAATCCACTAAAGCTGCTTCTTGAATCACTTTGGGAATAACAAGATCAAACATTATATCACTCTTCTCTTTCAAACCCAAATGACTCAATACATGAGCGACTGAAGTAGCTTTTCTACCAACCCACTTCAAAGATATGCTTTGAAACTTGGTAAGCAAAAAGCTAATATCGTCCCAAATAGCAGCTATGCAACTTTGAGGACTCTTTGAATCAAGAAGAACTTTGTAAACACCTTCAACAATTAAATTAGTAAAGCCCCACTCCAAACTCCATTTGATTGCCTTTCTAGCAGTTGCAGCTTCAGCCATTAGAGCAGAAGTCATGTTTGGTAATGAACAGATGGCAGCTTTGACAATGCACCCTTCTGAATTTCGAACAACAAATCCACCAAGAACTTCTCCAGAATGAGCCAAAAAAAAAAAGCATCAAAATTCGACTTATGAACACCATTGGGTGAAGATTGCCATGCCTCCCAGACTGCTACAACGCATGGATTGATCATCCATAACTTATTTAAATTCATCCCATTACTTCAAAGCCAGAGAAAGAACCTCATGCTCTGTCATGACATTTTCTTCATAAATATAAGCATTTCAAGCTTTCCACAAATACCAAACAACGTATGCAATTAAACTTAACGTATCCATCCTTATGGTAGAGTGTTCAAGCCCTACAACAATATGTGAAAACCATGTAAGACAAGGGACTTGTTCAACCAACACCCTCAAAGGACTCAAGCGCCACACATTTTGAGTAAAAGGGCAAAACAACAATAGGTGGTTAACATTTTCAATGTCAAGCCCACATCTTTTACAACACTCATCCTCTACTAAGTTCCTTCGTTTCATATTGGAGAAGACTTGAATATAGCCATGGCAAGAAGCCCATAAAAAAATGCAAATTTTTTTTTCTTTTGCACGAATATTCCAAAGACTTTTCCATATCTGCTACGAAACATCTTAATCAGAAGGAGAAACAACATGGAAAGAATGATTAGGAGTACCTTCCTTAAGGTATAACGCGACGTAATAGGCTAATTTGACAGAGAAAGAACCATTACTAGAAAATGCCCATATTTTTTTATCCGAACTAACAAATTCACTACTAGGAATTCTTTGAATAAACGTGCAATCTTCAATGCCAAAAAATTGATGTAATAGAGAACAGTTCCAACTCTTGGTAGGGTGATCAATAAGATCATGAACCAGTTGAAGATCACAACCCACAGGACAAGGAGTTTGAACTTTGAAATCCATTGATTCTGGAATCCAAGAGTCGTTTCAAATACTAATGCTCCGACCATTACCAACATTCCACCGAAAACCTTTTAAAAGGATTTCTTTACTTGAATAAATACTATGCCATGCCCACAAAGCCACTCTCCTTATACGAGACTGCATAAAGGAAGGATCGAAAAAATATTTAACTTTGAACACCTTTGAAAACAAAGAATCTTCTTCCACTGCCAACCTCCACCCCTGTTTAACCAAAAGAGACAAATTAAGGCCCTGTTTTGCTTGGCTAGGTTCAGTAACCTCAGAACGGGCTTCTAAACTTAAAAAGCCCGTTTCAAAAAAATATACATGTTTTGGTAAAAAAAATTAAACGGACTTTGAGGAAAATCTAGCTCCTTAAAAGCCCGTTCTAGGAAAGCAGTAAAAACTTGATTCGTAGATGGCTTCTCGGGAATCAGATTATTGATCAAGTGATAAATTTGTAATTACCATATTGCCCTATTTTTAAACTCGCGGAACATAAGCCAGAAGACGTTAAAAGTTGCAGAAAACCTACCAATGACTCCCATTTGATCTCAAAAATTAAGGATGAGAAGAGTTATAAGATTTGTAAACTCTCATCCAATTCAACCCTTTTAAGAATTCTCAACAACCACTATCTCTCTCAATATATATATATATAATATTTTAAAGGTTACTCCATCGTATCATGTTCACTTAGTTCTAAAATTAGGATTCTATTATAGCTATAAATAATAAGAATGAAATCTTTATAGTTTTTTGTTTAATTTCTTGTCCCCACCCCCACCCCCCTCATTTTTTTTTCCTCTTTCAACTTCTGTAGTTGGATCAGACTGTGATTCTGTATTCCACCTTCTCTTCGTCAGCCATCAATGGAAGTATGAAAAGTAGGAAGCATCAACAAAGACGGTGAAAGCATTAACAATTGAAGTATGAAAAAAATTGACACCACTAACTGTTGCTCCATCATTGGTGATTTCCACCCATCACTTTAATTATCCTTTTTTTTTTCTCTTCTATTGTTATATCCCAATTCAACATGCTATTATGTTAAGGAAAAAATTGTCAAGTTAAACTAGATTAGTAATTAAAAGAACTTCAAAAATTGTACTCACCGAACAACTTTTATGTTTTAAATCTCTTCCATCAAAATACATTCTACAAAGCCCATTTAGTGAAAGGAATTTTAGAATCAAAAAGCTCCCCCAAACAGGGCCTAAAGCTTTCTAAGTCTCGGAATCCAAGGCCACCCACTGCTTTGTTTTTGCACATAATGTCCCATTTGGTCCAGCAAACACTTTTGTGATCATTGGATCCTGACCACCAAAATTGAATGATTTTGCTTCGTAGTTGCCAACCTTGTTTCTTTCGCCCCCCAAATTTCTCCTCTGGATACAATAAGTCATTAAAATCGCCTAATAGAACCCATCGTTGCGTAAGCCATGATTGAAGTTGTTGTAAGTATCGCCACTGCTCCATACAGTGCCTGTCTTCCACATAAGCATATTTACTAGGAAAACACCAATCTTCTTCAACTGATTTCCCCTTAATTGTGCAGGTGATTTGAAAGTCTTTAACATCCAAAATTTGAAGGTTAGTCTATTCATCCCAATACACAATAATACCACCTGCAGTACCGATTGGGTCTTGAAACAACATGTGTCGATACCCCAATTGTCGTCATATCCGCTCCATACGAACACCATAATTTTTTTGTCTCAAGTAATATAAGCACATTTGGAGAATGTTGAAGCACCAATTTATTTAATTGACGAGTGGTGAGAGGGTTTCCCACTCCCTGACAATTCCAACTTAAGATCTTCATGAGAAGCTTAAAAAAAAGGAAAATATAGAGAGGAAACAGAAAAAGGAAGATAGAAAAGAAACCCAAAGGATACGCTAACCAGGTGACCTGAAAGAAATCGAAGATAAAGCACATAACAGTCGGCCGAAGTGTAGAAGAGAAAAAGACGAGAAGAAAAATTAGGGCACAAAACAATGGAAAAAGGGGAAAAAGACTGTACAAAAAAAAAAAAAAAGACGGAGAAAAGAAAAAATGGATGGAGGAGGAAACAGAGTGAAAGATGATGATAACAAAACATGAAAGAAAAAGAGCAATTAAGGACAGAAGAAGAAGTAAGAAAGGGAGATAAGAACAAGGAGTAAGAGAAGAATAAAGGCCGAACGAATAAAAGAAAATAGAAAAAGGAATGGGATAAATGGAAGAAGAGAACAAAATTTAGTAGAGAATGAAAGGAGAAAAAGAAGAAGATCAAACCTGAGAGACAGCACCAGATCAGTGAGCTCTCCACCCCTGAGAAGACCAGGGAACCTCTACCCTGAGAGGAACAACGTAGAGAAATGAGAGAGAGCCCCTCTTGTACATTAATAACATTGGTTTTACATACTATAAAGTACTCAACCATAGCCACTTCACTCATCTTAATGTGTCTAGAAAATTCCCACCATATAATTGCATCAACAACTCTTCCTTTGAAAAAAAAAAAAAAACAAACAAACTAACAAATTAGCCTGAGACTGAATTTTATTTATTTTTCATTTATTTATTTTTTGTTTTGACACCAAACAAAAAACCAAATCATTCAAGAGGAGGAAGGATACAGTCGAAGCTGAGAGCGTCTAAAAACCAAATGGGCTAAACGTTCCACTCAAAATCAAAACATTCGGCTACAAGAGCCTTTTTGCTCAACAAGTGAGCTACAACATTACCTTGGCGAGACACCCAAGCCAAGGAAGAACCATTGCACAAGTTAAGGAGAAAGTGTACATCGTTAAATAAAACACACATTGCCTCAGCATTGGCTTGGAGGCGCATAACAGGCTGACAATCCCCTTCTACTATGACATTGTGGTATCCCCAAAGTCGGAGAAGAGACATGCATTCCCTAATAATTAATCCTTCCGCAATAGATGGGCTCCCAACATTTGAGAAGAAGAGTGAGGAAAATTTAATAGGCTGCCCAAAGTGGTTGCGCAAAATCAACCCCCTACCACATGATTTCCTTGATGAATTAAAAGTTGTGTCGAGGTTCAATTTGAGGGATCCCTCTTCTGGAGCACACCATCGCGGTAGGGGAGAAATAACAGAAGGAATAGGGAAATAAAGCAACTGAGATTGCCTAGAAATCTCCTAAAACTCGTGAAAATCTTGTAGAGCTTTGTGGGCTTCCTCAAAAGTAGTTCATTTCTTTTGTTTGAAAACGGGATTGTTTCAGCTCTTCCATATAGCCCAACAAATAAACGCAGCAAGATTTAAATAGTCCTTTGGACACTCAGACTCAGACCAAGATTCAAACATCTCAAACCGCCTTTTAGGCCAAAAGGTTGGAGTTATGCCACGAAAATCCATCCGCAAAGGACAATGAACCCACACCATACTAACAAAGGGACATGAACAAAAGAGGTGGTCAACGGACTTGTAATACCCCTAATTTTAAAAGGATAGTCTCGGTATTTATTTATTTGTTTTAATTATATTTTTAATTATTTAATTGATTATTTGACTAATTGTTTATGTGTTTAATTGAATTAGGTATTACTTGATTATTTGATTATGTGTCTATGTATTATTTGTATTTGTCTATGTGTTAATTGTTTAATTAGATTACGTACTTAAATGGTATTTTGATTAATTGTAAATTAAATGTTTTCGTTTCTTTTATTATTTTATTTTATTTTTCTTTTATGGTTATGGTTAGTGGTAATTGGCCAACCAATTGGGTCACATGGATTACTTGGATAGGAGGTTGGATGTGTATGGATTATTACCCGTGAATAGTTGTGTATGTATATATATAGATATATATTATATACATATATAAAAAGGAAAGTAATTTATTAATTACTTTTATGGTAACTTGGGTAGTAATATTTAATTTGATGTATATGTTTTATATTTAAATAATAAAAATATACATAGATTTGATAAGTGTTATGTTTCAAGTTACTTTATAATATTATGGTAACTTAAGTATTATTGGATAATCTATTAATAAATAATGGAATGTTTGTAATTTATTTATTTAATAAACATATACATAAATTATAGGGAAAATTACATATAAATGGAGTCAAAGTTTCATATTTACTTAGAGACTGAGTCAAAGTTCCATATTTCTCTAAAATGGATTGCTGAGGTGGCACATGATTTTTTACTGTTTAAAAAATTGTGGTGCCTAAAATGCCCTTCCTTAATAAAAAAGTAGTACCTTCAGTTCAAAAAAGTAATACCTTCAGTTCAAAAAAGTAGTACCTTCGGAGAAAAAGTAGTACCTTCGCAAGTGTTTAAAAAACATGGTACCTGGACGCCAAAAAGTAGTACCTTCAGTTCAAAAAAGTAGTACCTTCGAAGAAAAAGTAGTACCTTCGCGGAAGGGTATTTTAGGCATCACAATTTCTAAACAGTAAAAAACCATGTGCCACCTCAGCAATCCATTTTAGAGAAATATGGAACTTTGACTCAGCCTCTAAGTAAATATGGAACTTTAACTCCATTTATATGTAATTTTCCCTAAATTATATACGTAACATATTTTACTTACCTTTTTAATATATATAAAAGGGAAAGTAATTTATTAATTACTTTTATGGTAACTTGGGTAGTAATATTTAATCTGATGTATATGTTTTATATTTAAATAATAAAAATATACATAGATTTGATACGTGTTATATTTTAAGTTACTTTATAATATTATGGTAACTTAAGTATTATTGGTTAATCCATTAATAAATAATGGGATGTGTATAATTTATTTATTTAATAAAAATATACATAAATTATATACGTAACATATTTTACTTACCTTTTTAATATATTTTTTTTTTTTAAGTTGACTTGGATTGGGAAAAGGGTTAGGGTTATTTTATTTAGCCTATAAATATATAGCTACAGGTTGTAAAAGGGGGTTAGAAATATTCACGTGATATATTCTAGAGAGAGAGTTAGAGAAGGAAGGAAGGAAGGAGGAGAAAAACTCTGTAGAGAGAAGATCAAGGAAGAAAAGTTTAACTTTCGATCCGAAAGTTTAAGGCAAGTTCTTCTTCTATCTCTTTCCCTTTGATTAGTGTTTCTATGCATGCCTAGGAAATTCCAGGATTTATTAAACACATAAAATTAAATAATTATGCATGTTTAATTGGATTAGAACATAGGTTTTATGAAATTGGTTCATATCTGCTCTTGTGTTATGAATTGATAAATGCATGATTTTGATTTGATTTTCGATGTGAATTTTTATATGTTTACATTATATATTTTTTCATATCTGTGGAATGATGGAACGTAGAAACATGCCTAGGATTCCTGAACATTAAATAGGAACTAGGTTTGGGTTTAAATAAATTTAAATAGACTCAATCATAATGTTGCTTGCTATTTGAATGTTTTAAACAAACGAATGAATTTAATCTTTTAATATGTTTAAGCAATTGAGATTAAATGTGTAGGATGAATTGGATACGGAGAATGCTTATTTGACGGTATAATAAAATATCATCATGTATAAGATTCAGTTTGTGTAGGACATATGATATAGGAAGCTTAAATAAATAATAAGTCATTCCTATTTTGTGATAACTTGATATCATATTATCATAGTTATTTTTGGATTATTTGATGTATTTCCTTAATCGTTACATCAATTGTTATATTATGTGGTTTAATGCACCGGTATGGGACGGTGGCATTCTAGGGACGGATTAACTTATCAGTTAAGTCCTACCTATTTTATATAAGGGAATGGATTAACTAAAATGTTAAGTCCTACTTATATTCAAGTCAGGTCAGCTGAACAAGTTGAATGACTTATGGAGGATTAATTTATTATATAAGGGAATGGATTAACTAAAATGTTAAGTCCTACTTATATTCAAGTCAGGTCAGCTGAACAAGTTGAATGACTTATGGAGGATTAATTTATACTGGATAGGATGGTTACTAAATTATATATATATAAGTATGGTGCCATGATATGAGTTTGAGTCTCAGGATCAATGGTTAAGGTGCGTATATTGCCAGGGATGTGTAGCTAGATATAATGTAGTTGTGTACCCTGGTAGGTCTAGGTACTCATGCCCACTATATGTGCGTTTTGCGTGTTGCCTACTATTCAGGTTGTGACAACCCTATAGTCTAGTGAGGTTTCTTTAGTGTGTGTGTGTATATATATATATATATATATATATATATATATATACACGGACTACTAGTTACTGTTGGATTGACTAGGATGTATACGTGTATCGGATCTCTGCTTGGACTGTAGTAGAGTAGAACTTGTTTGTGGGCCTGACCCACCATTATTTTTCAGGTGTTCGTCAGGAGTAGAGGTTATTCGTGCTGAGCGATGATCAATTTACTTCATTATTCCGATGTTACATAGGAGTTCCTTTATGATTCAGTTTCCTGATTTAGACAGTTATTACTGTCATTTGTTTAGTTTGGATTTTCTAGGGGTCCACACAGTATGGATTCCCGAGTTGTATTTTGGAGGATCAGTTGTATCAGAAGAGTTTATTAACTAATGGAAATATATTCTGAGGTTTATTATTAGATTATCATTTTAGTTTCTTGTTAGCATTTTATTTATTCTTCTTTATTCTTTTGTACTATGTGTTCGTTTATCATCAATTTGTTTTGATATCCTTGGGTATTCGGGCGTGGGCCTGGCCAACCCGCATTCAAAAATCCTGGAGTATCACAGGACTCCACAGAGGACTCACAAAATGGGTAGGAGGACACCTTAGCTACCCCAGGACTGACAGGAGTAAGTTCACTGGCAAACGATCATGAAGACTCTGCCAAAGAAACAAAAATATTTTCATAGGAACATGTAATGACTATACCTTGCCCCACATGCTACACCTAACTCCACCAAAGCTGCTACCTTCGGCCACTGCCGATCATGGCTTCCAATCCAGAACAAAGAGAGCCACCTTATATGCGCTTTTGACAGAAAATGAACCATCAGAAGACGCCCCCCAAACTTTATGATCAACATCTCCCATCGAATTAATTGGAATCTGCAAAATTAAATCACAATCTCTCTTGTTAAACCACTGATGCACCAACCTTGTGTTCATGTATGAGTGGACTGGAGAATTAAATCTGCAACCGAGTAAAACGGAGCACACATGGGAATTGAAGTTACAGAAAACTATAATGGGCCAGGTAGCCAATTATCGAACCAACAATTGATCTTCGATCCATCCTTTCACGAATTGAAATTCTACAAGAGCATTTTGGATTCAATTAATACATATGATGCAAAAATGATATACTTAATTTTTTAAATAATTGTTTGAATTCAAAATTTGCAAATTATTCCAGAGTTCAAAATGATTAACTGAAAAGTTATTTGTTAAAAAATAAAAAATAAAATAAAATAAAACTATTATATGACCTCATGCTTTGGTCCAAGAGGTTAAACACTCTCTTACCTCTTAACTGCTCTTTTGTCATATAATTAAAAGTTAATTTACGCACAACAGGTGTGGTCGATTTATATCAGTTTTACTACATTCCTGTCTTCGAGTTCTTGTTTAGTTTATACTAGGTAAAAGCAATTCACAAACAGATCATAGAATATAAAAATGATGTGAATATGTAAAAGTAACGAAGTAATCAAAACTCAACTTCTATTATATATATATATATATATAACAAATGAATAGATAAAAATATGAATCAAACTTGCATTTAATTTGAATATAAAATAAGAAAGATACAGAAAAATCCAATTTGTTATATTAAACGTGAGGGTATTTTCGTCCGACAGGTAAAAGTAAATTCGCGCAGGCGTAAAACAAAGCCGTGGTGGATCCATGTCAGTTAACTCAGTTTCACTGTACATTTTTCTTCCGTTTCTTCGTTTAGTTTAAATCGCTCATCATCATCTTTCGTATCTAAGCCTTCTCTGTTCTTCCGATCCTCTCCCTCTATACACACAAAGCTATGGATTCCCTAGATTCCGTGTTCGATCCATTGAGAGAATTCGCTAAGGACAGCGTTCGCCTCGTCAAGAGATGCCACAAGCCGGATCGCAAAGGTAACATTCTCATCTAACCACTTCTTTCGCGTTAGGTTTTTGATCGATCCATCTTTTTGAATTTCGACATGGTGCTGTAACACTCTCATCGAACCGATTGGAGTTCTGTTCAAATGGTTTCTTATTTTATTTCTTGTTTTTCTAAAAAACCTTCTTTCGATTTGGATTGTTATGAACACTGATTGATCGATCTGATCTGGAATACACTGTGCCGGAAATTGTAGAATTCACGAAGGTGGCTTTCCGTACAGCGATTGGGTTCGTGGTGATGGGATTCGTTGGCTTCTTCGTGAAGCTGATCTTCATCCCTATCAACAACATCATCGTCGGATCTTCTTAAGGTAATCTTCTTTGAAGGGATATGTTTATTGTTTTATTTATCGTCTTCAATTTGTGTAAAAAGGATTACGATGCAAATGATGCAGTCTCCATTTCTTTTGTTTGTGAAGGACTCGTTGTTCGATTTTGATTTCGATTTCGCTGATTAATTTATGAGTTTATTGTAGCTTTGTCATTCTGCGGAGTTAATTGCAAGTTTGATGGTTAAATTAAGATCCCATGCGTTTTGTTGTGAGATGTTGTTTTGTGATGCCTTCAATTTCGATGATGTATGTCCCCTTTAATACAGATCAAGAAACAGATGTAAACACAGGTTGTTTTTGAGACCTGATATTTTTTATTTTTAACATAACCAAAGTCTGAATTTTGCCAATTATCTATAACCATAATTAGCGAAGTTCTGTCTTCGTTTTTTTTTTTTTGGTCCAACAAGGCAAATTTCATTGAGGCCACACAGTCCAAGTTAAGTCAGAAGACTTCTCTTGTAAGGCCTTCTTGCTCAACATGTGAGCCCCTGTATCACATACACGGGGAGTCCAAAACAATGCACGAGGTTAACACTATCCTCCATCAGAATTTGGGTTGAACAATCCACTGGGTGAAGCTGCATAATCGACTTACAGTCCCCTCAATGTCAACCTCTCTGTAACCCCATTGGGCTAGGAGATAAATTGATTCCTTCCATACAAATGCATCTGTTGTTATTGCTGTAGATAAAAGGGAAAACAAGATTGATGCAACTCTAACTGACCTTCCCATCCCTTAGGATCATTCCACCCCCTCCCTCTCTAGACCATCGATGATAAGAAGCATCAATATTCAATTTCAACCTCCCTTGCACTAGAGGCTTCCACAGCTGCTGAGATGGTACTGATAGAGGGGATGATATCGAATCGGTAGGGTATTCCAAATGCAAACTATTATGGACAGATGAAAACTTATTAAAATGGAATAAAGCTCTCTCAACAACTTTATGAACTTTATACTCTTGTAGTAATCACACGTGATACAACTAAAAACACAATTGGTGGAAGCTAAGCTTTTCAAATCTGTTTTTATAGAAATATCCTTCCACTGATCAACCAACCACACCCACCTCTGTGACCGGACAGCAAAACCAACAGGAAATACCACCCTCAAAAGGCTTAACCTCCAGATGACACGTGCAAAGGGACATTCAAAAATAACATGGGTTGTACTCTCATGTTGTCCACATACTTTACACATACCCAATTCCACCAAGTTCCTGTTTTCCATATTTTAAAAGCGTACAACTGCCATAAGAAGAAATTAATCTTCCTAGGAACCTTGATAGCCCAGATGCCTTTCCACATGGAACTCCTCTCTAATGCATGACTACATTCCCCCTGGAAAGAGGATGCAATAAATCCATTTTTAATTTATAAGTTGATTTAACAGAAAAATGACCACTAGGAGTAGGGTTGCAAATTAAATGAGCCGAGCCGAGCCTGAGCTTGTTCGGGCCCACCTCGTTCGTTTGTGGGCTCAGCTTGGGATTGTGACGAGCTCGAAAAGTTGAGCTTGGCTCGTTTAATAACAAACGATGTTCGGGCTCAATTTGAACGTGTGTTCAAAATCAGTTCATCATAAACGAGCCTACATAAGTTTATGTTCATTAATATTTTTCATGAGCCTACATAAGTTTACGTTCATGAACCTATACAAGCCCTACTCAATCATGTGCTCACGAGCATATTCGAGCTTATGTTCACGAGTGTAGACGAGCCGAGCCTAGCCTAATATTGTTTGGGGTCGGCTCGTTTACTAAATGGGCCTCGAAAACGAGCTCGAGCTTGGCTCGTTTGCATAATGAACAAGCCTGTTTCAAGCTTTAAATGAGTTGAGTCCAAGTTGTTCATTTATAAATCAGTTCATTTGCAGCCCTAATTGGAAGTCGGTCCCCTAACTTTACAATCTAACCGAGAAATAATCTTTAAAGGAATCTGAAGAACATATCTAGCATCCCTTGAGTTAAACAGCCACCAGCGCTGCCCTACCAAATCGGATACCCATTGCACCCTGTCATCTCTTCTAACAGAATCCAAATTTTTACTGTCCAGAGCTGGGATCCAATCATCCTCCCAAATTCTCACTTGAGTGCCATCCCAATCTCCCACCTAATGCCTATTAAAGAAATTTGGTAATAGACACTTTTACAGTAAATGATGGATTGCTCCCACAAATGCTATGAACAAAATGGAATTATTGCATGCATGTGATTATCAAACAGGCACAAAAAACTCATGCTATCATACATGTAACTGTAAGATACACAATCAAGGGCGGATCCAGGAATTGTTAATGGGGTGGACTAATATTTTTTTGGGTGCGCTGATACTAGTAATAAATTTTATTTTTCGGACCGGGCTAAAATTACCTATAGTTTTTAGCCTTGTGTTGTCCTTTGGGTTCCGCTCCCCCTTTGGAGCGTCTTTCAATAAATTTTACTAATAAAAAAAAAAAAAAAAAAAAAAAAAAAAAAACCTATAGTAAAAGATTGTTTTTTTTTTTTTTTTTTTGGTGGGGGGGGTTGGTTGAGCAAATTGGCTGTACTGGGGGAGATCTTTTATCTGTTGCTCCATTATTGAACATACCATGTGCTGTTTTCTGTACTTGGTAACTTTATTTGTTAGTTTTTGATTACCCATAGTAGTGTTTCTTTTCTGCACTTAAATGACATTGAGAACAGTTTGAGTTGGTGGATCTCTAGTATATCTTTAGAAAGTTTGTTATCAATTGAATTGGCATTTTCAAAGAAAGGTTGGCCACAATGGTAGTCAATTCAGTAATGGACCTTATTCCCTCACTTTCCAATGAGGGGCGGCTTGTGCTTTTGTATGTAGATTTCCATAATCAATAAATTGTATTTCTAGCCTACTTGAGGAGTTTTGTATCAACTTGCAACCTGGAATTTTGTGGGAGTCTATTGGCTCTTTGTATTGCTGGTCTAACGAATGTTTTACATCGGAAACTTTTTTGTTGTGGTTTAGGTGGTCGATGTCAAGGGGAATATATCCTAAACGTAATTTGAATTATTGCCTGAATATAAATTTGCAAGGATCTATATATCTTTTGCATCAATGTATAAATAAAGTCATTCAAAAGGAGAATTTATATATATAGGATCATCACCAAATTCTTGGCTTGACTGGTATGTCAACCACTTCCCAAAAGAGGAGGTTGATTTGAATTGGCTCGAGTGTTTAAGCCCCCACTGGGTGTGTGTGCATGGGTATGTTTACCCAAAAGAAGAACAAAAAAAAAAAAAACATTATATTCATATATTATTCTTATTATTCAAGTATAATTTCAGGATCAGCTTTTGTTTTTGGTTGTTTCCTTCTAGTTTCTACATTTATCTCTGGCACTGTGTTATTCTATACTCTTTAGGATGGCCATCCTAGTGAATTGCAAAATATACATATTTTGGACTATGCAGTTAAAAAGTTAAATGATTTGTTATAACTATATCTGGAGATTTTGGCTATTTGGGTTGACTGATTTTTGTTAAAACTGCAGATCATTTGGAAGTGTATGGTGCAAGAATGTCAAAAGGTGCAAAATAGACAGAGGGACGCTTTACGCTATGTGGGATACTTTTTAACTGACACTTAAATTTCTTGAAAATTTGTTGTTCTTTCCTTCTAAATGGCTCTCATATTTGATGTATCCCTATATTTGTGCTTTCCTCTTGGTAACTCTTTTGCAGTTTTGCTAGTCATTAATAACTTTTCTAGATAAAACTTGTGTCACTTTCAAGTTCATCATAAAATCCCACATTTGAGAACAAGCCTTGGTGCAAAGGTAAGGTTGCTCTATTGTGACTTGGAGGTCACGGGTTTGAAACTCAGAGACAGCCTTTGCGTATGCGGAAACAAGGCTGCATGCATTTGCCCTTAAAGATCTTGCATTTTACATCATTTCATCCCGGAAATGAAAAGTTGTCAAATGATAAAATCCTTAGTCATTTTTAAATGGAACCAATTTCTTTGATCTTGGATATCAGGTGACTTTGATTCATCCATATGTTACAATGGCAAATGGTGTTTTATTTTTTTTAGGAGCTGCTTCAATTACATGTAACCCACCTTGCTATCATTTTATGGCACATCACTCCCAGAGCTAAGTTTTTGTTAAATAACTCCTTTAACCTGAAGATTTCTCTTAAGAAGATGAAATGATATTTTTCACTATTTTGATATATAAATGTTTTTGAAAGCTACATTTTAATAAATTTTCTATAAAATAACATGTGTTTTTTAAGAAGCTGCTGGTTTTCTATTTTTGACAATATATATACAGTTGGTATAAGGGTCTTTCCATTTTTTTTTTTGGGAAAAAAATGAAAACAAAATTGTCGCTAAATAAACTAACTTTTGCTTTACTTTTGTTAAAAAATAAAAATAATAAAAATAAAATAAATACTTTTTGAGTCATTTGCTATGAAATTTATCCATTTTGCTTCAAATATTTTCTGACCAAAAAATTATGATTATTGTATCGTCAGGGATTTTTTTTTTTTTTTTTTTTTTCCACCGAGGTTCGAACCCCTGACCTCCCTATGAAAAGTATGGATCTGATATATCTAGGTCATAGCCTGTTTCATCAAGAATTAAAATCTGGAACAGTACTTATGTAAATGGGATGTTTATCAAGTCTTTAGAAATAAAAAAAAAAGAAAAAAAAAAAAATCTTTAATTAGGCTTCGTTTGGTTAGATGGAATCAACTAGAAAGAAAGGAAAGAGAAAATTTTTAAATTTTTTTTTAGTTTGGATAGAGGGAAAATGAAATGTAATAAAAATTTTAATTTCCATATCAAGTTATTTTCTCCTACAACATTTCCCGCAAAAAACACAAGGAAATAATATGTTATTGTGAAAAGAGTGTATTTTACTATTTTTATTTGACATTCCTAATTTACCCAACAACTAATGCAAACTTCTTTCTTTCTTTGTTTTTTAGTGGTTTCAATAGGCAAGTTCTCTCCAAAAACATTTTTTTTTTTTGTTTTTCTAATGAGTTTCTAAGATGTAAGTTTTCTATAAAACAAAATAATAAAAATAAAATTGGTTCTTTGTTTTTCTACTCCGTTTTAAAGAGACAAGTTATCTACAAAACAACTTATTTATTTGTTTTATTGCCATCAGTTTCTTCATCTCAATTTTATATATATTGTTTGTCATGAACTAACAAGTAGTTCTACTTCTACATAGGAAAATATTATGGAATCTTCTTTTAAATATAAACAATAGAAATAAATATATAAATAATTATATTATTAAATTTAATAATTCATCATTTTACTATTTATTTGTTATAAATAGACATTATCAAACACATATTCATTATATTTTTTAGTATTTGAAATTATAAGTATAGTTTGGGTATGTACGATCACTTTTTTTTTCACTGTCATATCATCCAAATTAACAAACTAATATTTTCCTACAACTTTTTTTGAATAAATTTTCATTCTAATAAAATGTATGTTAAAAAATAACTTTTCTTTTCATTCACTTCACTTTCCTTTCATTTTCCATTTAGCCTGATAGAAAATTACCACCATAACCAGTTTCTAGTTTTTAAAATTTTTTTTTTTAAGTCATAAATTTCTTTAAATGCTGCAAAGTTATCAACACACTTGAAACTCCCAGTCAAGTGACGCACTAATTAAAGCCTCCCAAAACTCTAATAACCAATCGCTAACTCAGTGTAGCTCGGCTCTGCTGGTCATCACAATTAATAACCATGTATCTAATCACTACGTCCAGGAAACTCATTTCTAGTAACATAATTGGAAGAAGGCTCAAGAATCATACTGAATCCTTCCCCAACCAAAAACATTATTATACCCCGGAATATCATGTCATCATATTGACAATGGTATCCTCACCCAATCACATTTAGACCATTCGGACAAAATTTGTAAACCACTTTTGACAATTAAAAGTGGATTGCTGATATGATAAAGTAAACAACAAATTATCTTTAAAATGGTGTTATGTGATTCCACTGGAATATAATGTCAAACAGATAACCCTAAGGTACCTAAAATAAGTATACAAGTAGATTCAAGCCATTCACTTAACATTCAAGTAAGCCCTCTTCAAGTTCATGTCATACCCCCTTCTTAATCGGGAGTCCTCCTATGAGTGTGAGGTGCAGTAGGTGAAAATCCAACTATCTTGGCCTAAATACAGGTGATACCTTCCTTCGAACAATATCTTGGATCTGTTCCACTGAAAAAACTGATGCCTCACTATCAAAATTGGCCATCTCCATCTGCTCACGCAACTGCAAAACACAAGGCCAGTTAACGAATAGATATATTATGGGGCTGTATTATAAACCACAATGGGTCAAAGTATCAAGACAAAAGTTGTTCAGACACACAAAAAGAAGAAGAGAGTATGATTGCCCTCTGCTTCCCATGCATTCTATTGCCCACCACATCCAGCCACAAAATTGCAGCTCCAAAAGGAAGGTACCAGCAATCAACTGACACTAAATTATGCTAGGTTTGGTAAGAAGGAAAGAAGAGGGGTGGAAGGAAAATAGAAAGGAAGGAACAAATTTTTTTCATTCTGTAGAGATGATATAAGGAAAGAAAGGACGAGTCCTCCTCCACAAATTTTTATCCGCTCAAATATGGGCGGAAGATAGGAGAGAAATAAGTGAGCCTATTACAGAAGTTTTTAAATTACTATATCATCCTTCATAAATATTTAATAAATCCCATAAATAAAGTAAGGGATGGGTTTAATGGTAAAAACAACTTGAAAATTTATCTCTCCTTTTATCCTACAGATCAAATTAAATTGTCAGTTTTTTTCATTCTCTTCCAAAAGAGGGAAACACTTAATCTCTTCCTTAGGGATGTCCCAGACTCTCAGTCATCATTTCTTCTCTCCCTTCCGTTCAATTTTTTTCCTTCCTACCGAACGGAGCACAAAAGGGAGTGGAAGCTTTGACTGCAAAATATCAATTGGAGTTCCACATGATACCAAATCACCGTAGGTAGGGCTTTACCATTGGCACCTCAAAATATATTGGCTCATGCCTTGCCTAACATAACCAAAAAAAAGTGGAGAAAGGTGTTCATAACAAGCAACAAGGATGATCTCTTTATTACTTTCCTAAAAAAAGGATGATCTCTTTATAGCTTTCCTGAACCAACAATTCCTGCTCTAACACAACACAATCTATAACCTCTATATATATATTTTTTATTAGTTCTGCAACAGTCAGGTTGCACCTCGTACTAGTTAACTTGATCCCCCAGCTCTGGGGAGAGATTGAGCTAAGAAATAGTGAATGTTTAACTAGTTAATTTGCTAAATAGATCATCAATCTCCTAACTTTGGGACCGAAAATAACTCTCCCCCCAATTCATCACCAGCATGGTTATCAAAATGAACCAAATATAGGATGAACTGTCAGCAGTATAAAGTATTGGGCCGAAGCAAACCAAAGAAATGATATTCCCTCCCAGGTAATCTAATCTGCTTACTATTTTCCAGAAAATTAAATGATATAAAAAATTAAAAAAATAATAATAATAAAATAAAATTTATATATATATATATATATATATATCATTTCTATGTCCTGAGGTCCAAATCAATGATGTCCACTGCAGTCTACTAAAGCATATACAGATAGTACCTTCTCAAGGATCACAGACTGATCATCCAGGTGAAAATATCGCATGTGCTTCAGCATCTCCAGTTGCTGCCAAAAGATTCAACCCAATCTTCTAATATATCCATTTTCCAATTAATTCCTTCAAAAAAATTTAAATAATTTATACCTGTTCTTGTAATTCATGTTGCATGTGCATTCTTTCAGCAAATTTATCTGGTCCAAGCTCGGCTTCCTCACAAGCCATCTCTTCCCTGTCATTTCCATAATATTCATAGCATCAGCCATTTTTCTACACAACTAATAATTTATGTTATTTTACATCAATTGATATTTTGCGAGAAGAAATTTCAGTATTGGTGGAATGTCTAAAATTGGATTGTCAAGTGTGAAAATGCAGGTTTAAATGTGCGGAGCTGCTTTGTGCATAATATTGCCAAGTATCCAGTCCACCCATTCCAATAATCCACACAAATCAGCATCAAACTAGGTAACGACATTTAAGAAACCCAACAGATACTCGACAAAATCTGAACCTTACTATCAGGAATTAACTGCATAAATTTAGGTTCCCATTTCGCTGTAACACCATAGTTTCAGTTAAACCAAGATGGTATCATATTTTTCTTTTTACCATCTCTACTAAAACAGAAATAGTCCAGATAAAATTTCCTTCTTCAAATAGATTGTAAGAACTTTGAACACAAATGCATCAAATGAGAAAAATGTTTACATAGCAGCTGACTTGGACAGTTGTCCAAATACCTTGCCTGAAAAATGCATTGAAATGGATAGGAACTCTAAACTACCACAAGACACACACACTGAGACTCTGTGTGTGTGTGAGAGAGAGAGAGAGAGAGAGATTACTTTGCAACGAATCCATAAAAGCGAATCATTAGATCCTGGTCATTCTCATAAGTCATATTCACTTTTCCCAAACAAGCTAGACCAAACCTTGGATCTGTAATAGAAAGCATGATTCTTAAATGTTAGATATGCAGTGATATTACAAAATAACGTCTACCATTGGCTCTTTAGACCAATTGTTGCACAAACAATGACCCAAGAGAGGGTGTGAATTGGGTCTTTTGGCAAACTATAGTAGATTTTTTACTTTTATCAAACATTTAATGTGCAAGTAGATTTAGCAAATGGAAATGCAAATATAATCCGATTAAATGATTCTAAAAGTGAGATTTAACAAGTATGTGCAAACGGTAAGGTTACTCCGTTATGACTTGGAGGTCACAGGTTTGAAAACAAAGAAGCAACCTCTTTGCATAAAAGGTAAGGTTGCGTACATCTAACACTCCCCAGACCCCACAATGGCGGGAGCCTTATGCACTGGGTTTTGCCATAACAAGTATGTGCAAACTTCAATTTAAAAGCTTTAAAATAAAAGTTAGCAAATATATATGCAAGCTAAAAATTAAAAAGGGTGAAAGTAAAGAGATATAAGGGTAGAGAGATGCAACAAACAGAACACAAACTCGTAAAGTGGTCCCCCCCCCCCCCCCCCCCCCCGGGCCCGGGGCTGGGCCTACGTCCTTGCCTCAAGAGCACCTCTAAAGAATTCCAAATCCACTATACCACTCTCCTTGTGGAAAGGAAACCTTTACAACTTCTTACGGGTCGAACACAAACCCACTCTCCTTCACAGGCGGAGAGCAAGCCTTTACAAGAGGCTTCACAAACTCTCTTTCTTCCTTAAGTGAAAATCCCTTCACTTAGAACCCAAAGGTTACACCAACCCGCTTTGCACTCCAAGAATACGAAATGAAGTTTGGAGTGCAACAATAAATATCTCTTAAAAGATAGATATGGCAATACAAGCTCACAAACATAGAGTTATAGATGAAGTATTCAATAGAAAATTCAACTCTAGGGCAATGATGAATCACAATGAATGATTTGCAAGATTAGGCTCAATGGTGGTTCCTACGAATGAATGATATGCAAGTTTAAGCTTAATGGTATATCTTACCTGCAAAAGATCTTACCTACAAGAGATGTTCAAGTTTGTGCACAAAGTAGGTCTCTCTCTCTTGCGCTCTTGCACACCCAAAAATGTCGAGGGCATTGGGTATTTATAACCCTTTTTGAAATATGATCGTTAGAGCACTTATAGGTGTGTTTGGTGTCACGTTTAGCGAAATGCAGTGCTTATATAGAGCCCAAAAATGCCTTTACAGTATTTTCAAGAATTACGAAGGCATGGATGTCTATCTAGAACATATAGACGTCTGTAAGACATTTTGAGAAAAAGTTGGATCTGCAAGTTAAGCACATAGACGTCTATGCATTCACATATAGACATCTGTAAAGACTTTTTTTTCCTGAAAAACCTTCACTTGCAGTATCTGGCAAAATCATGAAGACGTAACGTCTGTAAGACGTTTGGGACTTTTTTTGCCTTGAGTTCATTTCTGTCTAGGCCATAAGGACGTCTTATCAAACCATTGAGGACAAAGGGAATCTTCTATACATAATATGAAACAAATACATGTGGAAAGGAATTGAAGAACATTTCTGGTAACTGAATTCTGCCACTGAAGCTTGTGGAACAGAGGCGTAGCCAACCAACAACTGCAAACACATCATAACACGTGCAGCGCCACTAGGAGGTGTCATTTCACCCATCAAGAAAACATAATATACTACCATTATTGAGAAAGAAGTCAACATTATGCGTACAAAATTTGAGTTGACAAGGCTATTATATCAATCAAGAGAAACTTACCAACCCCCATCTCCAAAAATATCTCCTCTTGTATCGCAGTGGTTACAGCAACAGCTTCCTGCATAATATTAATACTAGATGAAGCACTAAAATGATTAAACAAACCCCCCAAGAAGCTGTTAACAGAATGTTAGAAATAATATGTGGAAGTACGACAAAGGGCTCACTCCATATAGCCCCACACAGAGCAAAGATAGTCCTTTAGTCATCGTTTTATATTGTCTACAACAAACTAGTCTACATCACCAACAGGCCAGTAACCTAGTGGTACTAGGCCCCTACTTTCCGAAGGGAGGTTGGGGGGGTTCGAGCCTCCATAAAGGCATGTGTGTGTGAGAGTACCAACTAAGAAAGGAAAAAAAAAAGACTAATGTACATCATTACATGATCGAATAAGCTAAATTACAGGCTTTGTTCAATTTCCAGCTACTTTAAATATGTAAAATTGGTCTCCTTAATTTATCAATAGATATATAAAAAAAGCTTCATTCAGGACATGTACATTGAGAATCTACATAAGGTTTTCTGGTTCATGGATATACCCATCAAATGAATGATCTCTAACCATCTTAGCATATCTTGTCAAACATGCAATGAAGCAAAAATTCCCTCATAAAGTAGCTTAACTGTCGACTTCAATATTCAATTTCCAGTTAATGTCTCACAGTTCCCATCTCACTGACCCAATTCCAACACAATTGGTATTGGTACCAGAAAGTTATAAGATTCAGAGTTTGACATCTTCTGCATGATAAGTAAAAAAAAAAAAAAAATCAAAAAGCCAAAATGGTAGAAAGACGCTAGAAATCATAATAGCCGGCAAAAAATGGGATTGGGTACAGCCTTTTATTGATTTGACAATAAATACAAAGTCATACAGCTTCAGCATCCCTTTGGTCATCAAAAACAATAATTGAGAAAAAGGTACAAAGAAATGCTCAGAAAGCCCCTCTCCATTTTCCCAACTTTTTTGTTTTTTTCTCGAGAATTAAATCAACTTCAAAATACAGAAGAAACAAATTCCATGCAGAATCAAAATAATATGATAACGTAAACAACTAAACCAAAGACTTCAACCTAGGCAAGATGATAACTCTCATATAAGTCGCTTGATATTATAAGATGAAGAAAAAAAAATAAAAAAAAATCATAAGAATACAAGACTCAAGATAAGTTACTAACCGTACCCTAAAACCATAACCCTAAATTTTCATGATTATAGTTTAAATCAGCGGTCTACAGAAGAACTAATTTAGGTCAACAGTAAAATTCAGAGCCAAGCCACATTGGAGAAGGAATGAAGAACGAGTAGCGGATCGAGTAAAGGGCAAAATTACCTGATTTTCATTCAGGACAGCGTCTGCAATTCGGTCCTTCACATCTACATGTCAATTTGACAAAGAAAAAAAAGTGTTCATAACGCTAATTGTGAAGAGAGAGAGAGAGAGAGGGAAAAAAAGGTTTACCAGGTTGGGAAGTGAGAAAAGAGAAGCGATCAAAGAGATGAAGCAACTGTTCTCTGGACAACATTCCCGAGCTCTGGTACTCGTCGCTCATTTCCTTCGTAGTAGAACAGTGAGTTTGTTGCGTGAAATTGTGAATGATACGGTGATGAATCAAAATTTCATGGAGCCAAAAGATTTAATCTAATATTTATATTACGGCTTTTTATCAAACAAAATGGTTTCCGCGGATGGCCCACCCCATGATCCAATCACCGCTTACATGGTGCAATGTAGACCATTTTTTTATTTTATTTTTATTTGATGGAACATGATTCATTATCCATGTAAATTTATCTCATTTTGGCTAAATATATAGTGACATAAAGGCAAGAGTGACAATCTAAGAAGCACAGTTATTTCTTCCTATCCGTATTTGATACCTACGGCACTCCATTGACCATTGATAATTTTTAGACATGTGTCTAATATTTTATAGTCTTTTTTATTATTTATAAATGAATTTTATTACAAAGTCGCGGACATTTCATAATCGTTTTTATTATTTAAAAATAATTATTATTATCTTGGACACATCTTTGACACTTGATTGATACATTTTGAGTATTTGATTAACACATCTTGACTCTTGATTAACATATTTTAAATATTTGACTAACATATCTTACACTTTTCGTCTTATATAAAACAAATACATGATACTCTTGAAAACAACATTATAATCATCTATCAAAGTATTCCACTCCTAATAAACAAAAACATAATTATAATGACAAGATAAAATATCAAATGTGAAGATAAAAATAAAAATCATCTAAATCCTTTTCCTTCTTGAATGCATTCTTAACATTGCAAATGAATATAGCAAAGTCAAGCTCAATTCTAGTTAGTTTAACTTCATTTATGAACTAGTGCAATATAATTTTTTTTTACTTCTTAACATGTTTTTCTAATTTTATACTTTATTTTTCTCAATTATTTATTTATTTTCTTTATAAACAAGTACTACAGCTAACTTGGTCAAACTAAACAAAACGCACTAAACAGTCTAAACACTTTCCACACGATCATGAGCTTGCAAAAGTCAATTTCTTTAAAAATAAAAAATTAAAAAAAAAAAAAAACTACTTAGAATCAACCACTTCCATTTTTTAATAAACAAATTCCAAAAACACACTCAATTTTTTTTTTTTATTTGTTCATTTAATAAAAGAATGTAAACCATCATGAATTCCATATTTGTTGTTGTAATTACTGTTATTAATTTTTTGTTTTTTATTTTCATATTCAAATGCACTAAAAAAGAGAAAAAAAAAAAAAAAAAAAAAAAAAACACGACAAAACAAAAGAAAAATCAACATCTATACAAATTTCAGTTATCCTTCGGTTCAACATTACACCAATTGAATGCAATAGGCTTGAAACTTAAAAAATAATAATAATAAAAAAATAAAATAAAAGCAAATTTTACATTTTTTTCTTTTGTGATATCTTGAGAAAGAAATTGAACAAACAAACAATCAACCCCCACCATGTGAGTAAAAAAATAAGTACACAAATATAATTTGCATCAGAAATCCTCATCCATCTTAAACACATGGGTCCCACCATCTCCATTCAAATTGGACATCACGGAAGCCTTCTGATACTCCCCAACCCTCTTCTCAAAGAAATTAGTCTTCCCCTGCAACGATATCAGCTCCATCCAATCAAACGGGTTCTGTACACCGTACATCTTTCCATATCCCAAAGCTCCCAACAACCTATCAGCCACAAACTCAATGTACTGACTCATCAGATCACCGTTCATTCCCACTAAAGCGCACGGTAATGCGTCGCACACGAACTCTCTCTCTATATCCACCGCGTCAGCAACGATTCTCCTAACTCGGTCCTCACTCGGTTTCATCCTCAACAACCCATAAAGCAAACAAGCAAAGTCACAGTGTAAGCCTTCGTCTCGCGAGATCAACTCGTTTGAAAAGGTCAATCCAGGCATTAACGCGCGTTTTTTTAACCAAAATATCGCACAGAAGCTTCCAGAGAAAAATATTCCTTCCACGCACGCGAAAGCGATGATGCGTTCAGCGAACGATTCTGAGCCGTTGATCCATCTGAGGGCCCAGTTTGCTTTCTTTTCCACACAAGGGACGGTCTCGATCGCGCGAAAGAGTCTGTTCTTCTCATTCGAATCCTTGATGAATGATTCGAGCAAGAGACTGTACATTTCGGAGTGGATGTTTTCGATGGCGATCTGGAAGCCGTAGAAGGCACGAGCCTCGGCGACTTGGACCTCTTTCATGAAGCGACCGGCGAGGTTCTCCAAAACGATGCCGTCGGAGGCGGCGAAGAAGGCGAGGACATGAGTGATGAAGTGCTTCTCGTCGGAGGTTAGAGATTCCCAATGACGGAGATCTTGGGAGAGATCGACCTCCTCGGCAGTCCAGAACGATGCCTCGGCTTTCTTGTACATTTCCCATATTTGTGGGTATTGAATTGGGAACATACAGAATCGATCTGGGTTTGGGGCCAGCAAGGGTTCTTCAGGGAGTGCCGGCATTTTGTGTGTGTGTGTGTGTGAGAGAGAGAGAGTGTGTGCTTTGAGTTGCAGAGATTGGGTTGGTTGCAGAATGAGGGGTGTGTGTGAATTTTTATAAAGGGAGTAGAGGGTTTGAATGCAGAATATGAGCGGGTGATTTGAATTTTGATGAGAAGCTTGCGCGAGAATGAAGGTGATTTTCAAAATTGTATGAAACTGTCTAGGCTGTTTTGGTGATGACGTGGTACCTTTATGGGTGGATTCTTATATTTTAGTTTTCAAATGCGATGATGACATTGGTTGGGGAGAATTTTTTGGCGCCACAAGAGTCTGTTCGGAGTAAATTAAACTTAAATGTTTGAAGCTATCAACAGGACTATAAGCTTAACTAAAACGGAGAAATTCTAAAATATGGGGGCTAATTTGACAAATAATACCCCTCCTAATCAAAGCTTTCTGTTTTCTAAATGGATTGATTAAGAAGTGTATCACTTGTCAAAATACTTCCAAAATATTATAAATTTTCTCACTTGTCAAAATACCTCCAAAATATTATAAATTTTCTCACCAAAACAAACCCTAACTCAGTGCACGAGGCTCAATAGTTTGATTAGGAGAGTGTATCACTTGTCAAAATACCTCCCAAGATATTGTAGAATTTCTCACCAAAACAAGCCCTAACGAGTAACGAGACTAAATAGAGTTTTACCTCCACCCACATGACTTGTTATTTCAATATCACAATGGAACAGCCTTACACCAAGACTCACCCTCACTTGGTAATATGGTAACAAATGTAAAAAGATTATGCTAATAAAGTACTGGCAAACAAATGTTAAATGGTGCAGGTCCACCAACTCTCATGCATACATCTTTGGTGGCAATATTGCAGCTACATGAGATCAAGGCATATTTGTGAATCCAAAATGAGATCTTTAAGAATCTTAAAGAGGGAAGTCTCCCTCCCAACATGCACTGGGAAAGCAAAATCGTACATAATACCTGCCAAATCCTTTATGGGGTTGATGCCTAAACCTTCCATAATCAAAGCCAACCCAGGACCAATAGCACCCACTCAACCATACACAACGAAAAGAAAAGAAAACGGAAGAAAACAAGCTACTAAAAAACAGTTAGAATTACAACACATAAAAAACAGCATATCCAAAAAAGCTTCCTAACCATAATTTACTAGAGATAAAATATATAATTATCCCATATAGAGGATACAATTTCTTAAAGATCAGTTTGCATTGGCAAAGAACATTTACTCAGGTCAAAAATTAACTTGTGAATAGTTAGACAACTTTAACATGTGAGAGAAAAAAAAAAAAAAAAAAACTAATGAATGTAGTTCCACAAAAGACCCCACGACAAATGATTGGCTCATCTTGGAGGAGGTGGAGGTACATGAGATTTTGCGAATCCAACCCAAGCAACAATGCCAACTGCAAGTATTATCCATCCAAATACATCGTACTTGAGATCATTGTTCTTCTTTTTCTTCGAGCTCTGTAAGAGGAAAAATAAAATAAAAAATAAAAAATTTAAACATCACGGGAGCATCAAGATACCAATTGAAAGGCACTCCAAGCATGAGAAAAATATTGCCACCCACTACAACACTTTTTCAACTGTAGGTAGGGCTGAAAATGAGCTGGGCTGTTCGCGAACAACTCGGGCTTCACTCGATAAGAGTTCAGCTCATGATTGTTTACTAATAAACGAACCGAGCTAACAATTTTTCAAGGTCATTTCATAAATGACCCAATCTCAAACAACGGTGAGATCGGCTCATTTGTTTGGGAAAATGTTCGCGAATCGAGCTCCGTGAACAAGCTCGTTAGAACTCGATTATATATCTATATATTATTTGTGTGTGTATATATATATATCATGCTATGTATTATATTAGTAGATAGAGTCAAAGATTCAAAATATCTAAGCAATTGAATTATTAAAATTATTTAGTGGTGGCTTCCCATGTACGCTTCACGCCACTCAAGACTCCAGTCTTCCACTTCTGAGGCTAGTCACTTAAGTCTCTACTCATTGTTCTTAAGTAGGAATACTATGATCTGCATTGTCTTTCCCACTCTCTCTTAACTTTCATGCTTGCGGTCTCGGGAATTCAAACCACCCCGACCACTTTCTACAGCTGGGTTTCTCTCTACTTTTTCTCTTTAAATCTCTCATTCTATCTCCCTCTCAAAATTCTCTCTGCTAATGTTTTACAGCTTGAAACAAGTTTAGAAACGGTTGCATTTGTGCGTCAAGCTTGATAATCAGCTTGAGCTCGGCCCGTTAAATTAAACGAGCTAAGCGAACCGAGCTCAGATAGTAATGGGGAAGCTCGAATAGCCTACTAATTGGCTCGGATCATTTTCAGCCTACAGACTACTTGGATTTGAAGGAAAAAAAAAATCATCTTTTCACATTACGTCTCTCTGCAGTTCCTTTGCAAAGGACCTTGGATTGCGCCATTGCTCTGGGCGCATATCAATTCTACCTGCTGGTAGTTCAGATGGGACTTCCCCAATCGACTGAATGAGAGGGACCCTCAGCCCTTCTTACATTGGAATTGATCATGCCCAGAATTGAGGCGACAAAGCAGTCGGCCAGTGAAGCTCGGTAATGTATCAAATCGCCTAAGACATCCTCTCTGTTGTTGCTTCGTATTCACCTTTGGCATATGCCTTCTCTGGCTGCTAACCCTTCTTGTTACGTAACTCCAACCTTTCACTCTCTACTGTGCATCGGTCACCTTCCGTTGTCTTAGCGAATATTAATAGTATAGGCAAGACTGCTTCACCCTACAAGCCCAAGGCACAACTGCAAGTAACACCCTCTCCACTCCCACTCTATTCACCAACCCACGCATACAGAGAAAGAAGTTGCATGACATTAAGGCAGGAGTTCATTCTCACAAAAACTTTGTTACTTTAATGAGTAATCAGCCTTCTCTACCTCCCTCCCTCTCTCTCTCTCTGTCTCTCTCGTGCACACATGGCTGCATGTACAAAATCAAGATACGCAACACAACTCAAATACCCTAGATCTTCAGCTAGAACCATTCTTATTATCTTATTAATCTTAACGAAGCCATTTATCTACAATCATGAGCTGTCTGACTCTGAACCATCTATAGCCCACAAGCTAACATCAAAGTTAACATCTAAGGCAAATTAACAGCTAAACACCCCTCCACCCAAAAAAATAAATAAATATTATCCCACAATCCCACCATATATTAAAGGACTCTAGTGCTTATTGGATTTATTATACTTAATGAACCAATAACAGCATTATGTACAGTGAAATCCTCATTTAAAAAGCCAAAAACAGAAAAAGGTATGGAACAACGTAAAAAAATTACCTTTGCACTTGAAGTGGAAGGTCCCGTTGCCATAGCCTGCTGGCCCAAACCATGCTTATGGATCTCCATGTGTAACTCAGGGGCCTATAAATTCAATAAATATTTTCATCAATGAATTTGAAAACAATTTCAAGCTAATAATAGGATCAAACTGAAAACATATTTGTTCCGGAACTATGAATACCACACATCTAGAATAAACAAAATTGATTCAGCAGACAACAAACAATAATGACCAATCAAAACATTTCATACTTGACACTTACAGAACTTGCTATCATTCCTTCTCCGAGCACCAATGACCAGATGGGAATTGGTTAACTATTAATATTAAAAACCACCATACTAAGTTGTCAAGTTATTGTCCACCGTGCAAATCTGGATGCCTAGACTGCTCTTCAAGGTTGGGAGTTGAATGGTTGGACAATTCAAGTTGGCATTACCCTCGTGTTTAAATCATGCCTATAATAACTTCCTTCTAAACTATTCACAATACAAAAGCTACGTTTACTTAGTGTTGGCCTGTTCAATGTCCAATGACCTAGTGACCTGCTGCTAGTATGACGCTAACCTTGAATAACCTTAGGTGTCAGAGATCGAGAGTTCAAAACTTAGCCATGATGATTGTTTGGCGAAGAAAAAGAAATATCAGTTCAATAGTAAGCAAGAGAAAGGATAAAATGAAATAAAAACACTTCAATAAAAGAAAAGGCTTGAAAGGAGAGCGCTAACTCCCTTACCGACGACCAAACTCCCCTGTTTTCCCTATAATTTAACAATAATAATACATCCCATGCTACACATTGTATACTAGGCAACACAACAAATAAGTTCATCACATAATCATATGCGATACTCGAGCTTTACATTTATGAGATAGAACAAGAGTTACAAGACAGAGACATGTGCTTAGGTAGTTGGCAAAATATGTACAACATACTTGTGCAACAAAGAAAAAGAGGAGCACATTCTTAAACTTAATGGATTGGAAATATTTAATACATCATCAAATAAGCGGAGATAATGAAAAGTCAGGATCTCTAGAATATAGGAATTCCTTACTAAGCAAAGGATTTGCAGCTTCTAAAATATAACCCTTGAAAAATTATTTTGTCATTTTATAGCCCATTATTGAAAAGCAAAAGAGTTTCAAAGATCTAGGTTCACTCCGTAAGCAACCCAAAGTAGAAAAGACAGCCAGCAAAATCCTAACAATCATGCCCTTTTTTTGTTGTTCTACGTATATAAAAAAGGTAAACCAGTTAACCACATAGAGAAATTGTAAAACAAATCATATGATTACAAACCCCTGTGACATAAAACACTGATAGAGTCATAAATACAAATAAGGGGTTTCCACGTTATCTGACATACAAAATACAAAGTTACCCTTGATGTCAAACAAAAATAAAAGCATGCCACCTCCTCTAATCATTAATTAAGTGTTACTATAATCAGCACCAGTGAAACAAAATCAAGTTCTAACTCACAGTTAACCACAATCTGAGTACATAATGTGGGTAATTCCAAAAAATAATAATAATAAAATAATAAACGAATGATACGGATGTGTACCTTAGCAGCCACTTCTAAGGATTTGCAGTAAAGCTCATTATCTGGTTCCTACAATTCGTAGAAACTGTGTGTCACATCTCCAAAATCATACAATAGATATAAATGTGCAACACACTAGAAATTCCATATAATACATGCACAACAAATAGAAACTCATTATTCCAACAAGTTGAAGTGTATCACATGAATATAACTGCATCCAGGTCAAGAATTAGAACTCACCTCATCAACAGCTTGCTGAAAATACTGAGTTGCCTTGTCAAAATAACCCTGGGCCTCATCTTGACCAGGAGTCATAAAAGCATGAGAAGTGTGTGCATTACCCAAGCACCAAAGAGCATCATGCTTTTTCGGATTAACCACCAATGCTTCCTCCAGCTTCGATATCGCCTCTATATAAGCAAATTCATCATAACAATCAAACTCTACAGTTTTCAAAACTTTCAGAACATAATTAAATCAGTAAAACATATTAATTTTAAAAATACTCATTTTACCCTAAAACTTTGAATTATCTTCATTAAGGCTCCGTCTGTTTGAGCATAAAATATTTTTAGGAAAATATTTTCTGGTGTTCGATTGTCGTGAAATATTTACGAAAAAAAAAACTATTAAAACCTAATAAAAATAACTTATTTATCAATTTTAGGTTTAGGCAAGCTATTTAACAAGTCTCACGTGATGGAATTGACCTCAACCTCAACCTGCCAAACACCTAAAAATAAAAATAAAAAAATATATTTTTCCTGAAAAAAGAAAATATTTTCCCAGGATAATATTTTACAAACGGAGCCTAAATTTGAGTCTCTCTCTTGCCACTGAACTGAATTATCAGGAACTATGCATGCAAAATATATATACATATATATATAAATTAATAAGATGAGATTGGTACCTTGAATCATCTTCTTTGAATCGGGAAAACTTTGGAATTGCGATAACTCGAGCAACGCCCCTCCCCATCTTGTCAGATTCTGAGGGAGAAAAGAAAAAGAAAACGAATTTCTTCGTGTAAGAAGATCTATAATCAATTCAAATCAAGGACAAAAATTCATATCTGCAATGTATATGTGTATAAAGAGAGTCAATGACATATAAATATATATATATATACATATATATATATATATATATGTACGAACCTCGGCATCGAGTGGGTTTTTGACGTAGGTGACTTCGGCGGTCTTGCGAGCATGTTCGAAGAAGAAGATGCGATCGAAGTCGCTTTGCACATCCATGTCGACAGATTCAAAATAAGCCTGCGTTTGTTTTCTGCTACCAACAAATCTAATCTAATCTAAATTCTAAACCAGTCAGTCAGTCCTATATGTTTGCAATTACTAATTAGGGCTTCTTTCTGTTTTGAGAAGAAACTGAGAGAGTAGTCCCTTGAAAGGGAACGACATCATACGAAAATAATTTATTGTTTGACACGTGTAAACACGCGCGCTGTGAGAAATTGGAATAGCTTTTGTTTCCTCGTGATCGTGATTGTCTCCAAACTGGACACGTTCGTTGCGTTTAATGATGACACGTTACAAGTGGATCATGCTGTATACCTAGTTACGTACAAATATACAATATACTATTTTTTTTTTTTTTTTTTTTTGGGAAATAACATGGCAATGAAAACTAGACTCCAAATTTTAATGAATGGGTTAGCTGGGGAGCTATGGACATGGTCCACAAGTGAACAACAAAATATCTTTGACTTCATTAATTTGGAACATTACAAAAGAAATTAAATCTTTCATGTTATTATTATAAAATATTTAAAATTTTCTCCTTCACACGCTATGTCATATTTATAGTGTTTGAGGTCTTTAGACTCTGGGTTGGATGCATGTAAAGATGATTTCATAAATACTACTATAAGATTTAACCTTTTAAGTCAATGAATTAAGAATGTTTATCCTGTTACATGCACTTGATTGTTACTTTATTCATGTCACTTCACTATACACTTGATTATTTGGTCATCCCCTAGGTCTAACCCTTGCTTTATTGTATATACTATGCTTAATTAGAGGAACTAATTAAGATAGTAACTTCTTATTGGAAGGATCTATTTTATTTTGGCCTTGAGGCTATAAATAACCGTGAAAATTACTGACGTGACTAAAAGAGGAACCAAGTCATGTCTCTTCCACCTTTCTATTGACCTGGATCTCTCTCCTTGTGAGATTAAGCCTAAGTAGACCAAATATCTAATTTAAGTACAAACAATGAATAACAAGTGATATTTTCTTAGAGAGAAAGTTATAACAGAAGTAGTTATCCATTGTTACTGTAGAAATAACTGTTATTTATTCAAATATGAAATATATTTTTGTACGCGGAAGGGAGGTTCTACAGCACACAAATTCATGTTTCTTTTTATTGGTGTTTTTATATATATTCCTATTGTAACTTTCCTTTGTGCATTAATTTTAGTTTACCTTTTTTTATGTATTATAATTTTTTAAATTTCAATTAACAAGCAGCATCTCATTGACTCGCTTGCATGAACAGATTGACAACAGACTTCTAAATACCCAAAAAAAAAAGGCCCAAGTAATCCAACATTTTGTATGTGTTTATCTTATTGTATATTTTCATTCTTTAGATGACATAGGTTAGTTGTGTGGTGTGACAGTGAGAATGAAAGACAAGCAGAATGGGCTGGCTTGGGATGTGGCCTTAGGCCCTGTATACGATGTTAATCCATTCTGGGCCAAGCTTAAATTAATTAGTTCAAAAGTCATCCTTTCTCTAAGGCCTGTGAAATGCGTGGCAGTTTTCTGATGTTAATACCACACCACGTTTGTTACACCACAACCCACCTCACCTACCACACACATGGAGAGAAAAACCAATAATGCATATATGATATTTTCCAAAAAAAAAAAAATAATGCATATATGATAACAACTGATCGATGTTGTTTAAAGGCCATGGTCTTCTTCTTAGGGAACATTACAACTAGACTCGTCCTCTGTTAGTTTATTATTTTTGTTAAAATTCAAGTTGGTTCACTACAATTATAAAAATGACAATGGATGTAGACCTAATAGCTTATTCGAAAGAGAATTACTAGCTAGTTTTTAATTCACCATCATGTTTATTAGTGTTATTTTAAAATGTTTATATAGTTTTGGTACAACATTACCCCCATAATGTGGATGAAATTGTAGAGTTGGCATAATTTTAATGAGATCTTTATTCAGCATGTTTATATTTGTGGAGTGACTAAAAACAAGATACTGGGAAGTAAATTATGTGTTGCATTTATTGGTTAAAAATTTTGAAAAGTAAACTTAGATGATTTCGTCAGATGATTTTTATCACTAGTGTCGTTCTCATCTGGTATTGTGCGAGGCGCACCCCTTTAATACGATGAGAAGAAGTGGGCCACCCTTTTTATTTTTTATTTTTATTTTTCTTGTTTCAATTTTTAAAGTTAGGCATAGTAGGCGAATTGACATCTATTAGAACATCTTCAATACCCTCTCAGAGTCAAAATATAACAGATGGGTGAAAATAATACACTCTAATGGCTTTCAAAAGACCTCTCATATTTTGAGATTGTCAAAAATTCTTTGAGAGGTTTTTTTTTTTTTTTTTTTTTTTTTCATACGGTGTCGTTTCTCAAAATATTGCAGGCGAATGAAAATAATACACTTTAAATAGTATTTTGGATGAAATGTATTATTAGAACATAATTGCTAAAATATAGTATTTTGATATTCTAATTCTTCTCAAAATATAACTGTGACAAGAAAAGAAATAACATTTTACATGGGGATCCCTAATTGAAAAGAAAGGAGAAGATTTGTGTCATTGGTCCATTCTTATGGAATTAAGGTAACAGTGACAGTGATACTTTTTAATAAAAAATAATTTATGAAAAAAATAATTGTGGGATATTATTAGTGGCGGCATTATATCAACCTAACGTTGTAATTTTGATTTTTAAAATTGATCCAACGGTTCACAATTACTTTTATGACAGCACTCCACTTCTGATCACTTGTTCAAGTGGCCAGCAAGACACATAGCTCAGACCATACTGGCAAAGTAGCCCCATTCGCATCAAAGACGCGGCTCTTTCCTCCCCACACAGAATATTCCACAGTGGCCATGTGACAGTGCTAACAAGTGTAAAGCACGCAACCTAGAAGCGCGTCGAATTGGCAACCAATTATAGCTTCTTTGTCGTTTTTGCCAAGAATTTCAAAAATCAAAGTGGCAGTAATGTAATACAGCTTCAACGGTATGGGCATTTCAGCCTACAGATGTATATATATTCCACTGAAAAATCTACTTTAGCTTCATCTCTGTCGCAAATTCCGGGTTTTGCAGCAAGTAGATAAAGGTACTCTCTCTCTCTTTCTACCTTTGTTGGATCCCCAAAATCTAGGGTTCTTATTTCTGATGAATGTTGAATATTTTGGCTGATCTGTTAGATCTAAGACTTCAATTCTCATCTTTTTGACTTGAATTGAAGCTGCTATCATTTGCTTAACTGCATAGTTTTTTGGTTAGTCAACTGTGTTTTTCTGCAGCTTATGCTCTAGTGGATGCATTTTGGTTGAATTGTTTGAAAATTTCATGTATTGCATGTTGATTGAGTTGCTTAGTGCATGCTAGGTCTTGGTTTGGACTAATGTTGGTCAATTTTTAGTTAGCAATTATTGAATTTAAAGGAATGTTGGACTAAATTTTTTTTTTTTTTTTTTTTTTCATTCTTCGAACTAAGTTGACTTTTTAAAGTTTTTTACCCTTTATGGCTGCTTGTTTCTGTTAAAACATGGGTAGACTTGTTAAAGTTTATCTAGAGTAAGAGTGTTCCCCCCCCATCCCCCTGAAATTATAGGTTTGAGTTATTAAATGCATGTTTATGCACATATGTAAATTGGTATTTCTGTCTCATCATTTACATTTGACAGTATTGATATTAATTTGGCTTAGCAAGTATAAAGTTGCTTTTTCTAAATATATTCTGAAGGGGCTTACTTTTAATTTGGTTAATTATAATTAAAATATTGTTTTTTTTAACCCATTAAACAGATTTCCTTTTAAGTTTCCAGTGTCATAACTCATTCTTAGAGGGTAGACTTATGCATGTTTACTAATTTGCCTCCCCCTTTTTATTGTTGTTGTTGTGAAATCTTCTTACAAGATTCCTTGTGCATGTAAATTTACTAGATTTTACGAGCATGGAGAACATGCAAACCTTTTGGCAATTGGGTGACGAACTTCGTGGACAATCAAAAGTCTCCGAGGATCGCAAATGGTTAATGGCTGCTTCTAAGTTGGCTGAGCAGACCACTTCCAAGGGGGAGAGAAGGAATAATCTGGATCTCTCAAAAGGCCTAGCTGAAGTAAGGATGAGGGAAAATATTGGGTTTCAGGAAAATAACAAATTCGAAAACCTCAACTTGAATATGTTAAATTTGGAACCTAAAATGACCGAAAATGTGAATAAAAATCCCTTCAGGAATGGTATCTATAATATGAATGCAGTGTATCAGAAGGGCAATGGTAATATTATTGCAAATATCACTGGTAACAAGTATAGCGGCAACAACCATAACAAAGAGCCCAACAACAATGGAAATAATAGCAATAACAATAATGAAAATGCAAACAGTGCTGTTGACAAAAGGTTCAAGACCTTGCCTGCAGCAGAGACGCTCCCGAGGAATGAGGTGCTTGGTGGATACATCTTTGTTTGTAACAATGACACAATGCAAGAAGATTTGAAGCGGCAACTATTTGGTAACTATGATTCTCTCCTTCCTTCCTTCCTAACCTTGAAGAGACTTGTATATATTATTGTGATCTGACATGTTTTGGATAGTTTTTGGAAGTACCAATATATGCTGATGATGATCAGAGATATTCTGTTTTTTATTTATTAGGAGTTGCAGCTTACAAGTAAATGATTCGTGCATATGCTTGTTTTGTAGGTTTGCCACCGAGATATAGAGACTCTGTTCGGGCAATAACACCGGGCTTACCCCTATTTCTCTATAACTATACTACTCACCAGCTGCATGGAATTTTTGAGGTTTGTTGTCAAATACTTGTTAAATTTTCTGTTGAATTATTCTGCAATTCTTGAGGTGCAGTAGTCTGTGTCAGTTTAAATTCTGATTCTTTTCTCCTACGGTCCTACTATGAATTTCAATTGATGATACTAATTTTGGAAAGCTTTGTTTCGTGACAATGTGTATTTGAATTGAAACTGTTTTATGTATATTACTCTATGAACATTGGTGTTTAAGCAGGTCATAAAAATTATCATATTCCCCAAGATGAGCTATAATAAGTTTTTCTTTGTATTGTTCCATAATTATTTTGTTTTGGTAATTCCAGGAAATGGATTAGCACTATGCTATATATGATTAAGTTACATTGATTTCCAGACAATTCTCCATTTACTTCTGTTGTACGGAGTATTTGATAATTAATAGAGAAATGCTCTTGAGCAAGTGAAAGAATGTATATTTCTGTGATTAATTTAGCATTTTTGTGATATAAATTGCGTGTATTTTCTTTGATTAATTTTACATTTTAGTGATATAAATTGGCTTAGTATTTATATAAATTTTAGAACACTATTGTTTCTCAAACTGATTTTTTACAGGCCGCAACTTTTGGCGGTTCCAACATTGATCCAACTGCTTGGGAAGATAAAAAATGTAAAGGTGAATCGAGGTTTCCTGCACAGGTACAGTAAAAATGATGGATTTGAACATCATTTTTTTAAGGGTTTGGAGGATTCCCATTTTACAGGCTGCCAAGTGACTCTCACTTTTATTTTTCTGATGTTAGGTAAGGATCCGTATTAGGAAACTCTGCAAGGCCTTGGAGGAAGATGCTTTTCGGCCAGTGTTGCACCATTATGACGGTCCCAAGTTTCGTCTTGAGCTCTCAGTCCCAGAGGTATGATAATTATTAATGTTCCTCGATGTTCAAGCTTGTGTGCCAATACTGATTGATACATATTCTGCTTGGTGCTGCAGACCCTGGACTTGTTAGATCTCTGTGAACAAGCGGGCTTTTAAAGTCTAGTCATCTACATCAATCTACTCTGTGGCATAAGATGTTGGTTGTATGTGCGTAATGTTATATAGGTTTTATGGTGCACGTCAGTGGTTCGTGAGCGGGCTTTTAAAGTCTAGTCACCTACATCAATCTACTCTGCAGCATAAGATGTTGGTTGTATGTGCTGAATGTTATATAGGTTTTATGGTGCACGTCAGTTGTTCGTGCACGTCAGTTGTCAGTGACTTCAGGCTTAATTTTCCTTAGAGCGCAAGCTTGGGAGTCAAAGTCTGGTTGGGAATTTTCTCGAGATGGCATATGCCAAATAAATATAATCGTGTTGTGAAAATGTATCTTATGTAGCTGCTCAATCGTGTTTTATAGCGTTGTAATTTGTAATCTTGTAAGACGAGAACACCTGACTGTATAATGGTGAAGTCCTCTAAAGATGACGACCGTTATGTGTGTCTATTTTGTGCAATTGAACCGAGTTTCCTGCTACTGTTCTGTGTGGTGATTTTAATAACAAAATTTGTTCACTTAACTTTGAATCTGTGAAGAGTCTGGGCAAGCGCTGTTAATTTATAATAATTTCAACTGTCGCTCGTCTTTACAGATGCATACCTGGAGGTGGAGAGTACCATTCACCATATGACTTGCAACATTTGGTTGTACTGCTGTTCGGTTCAATTATATTGAAAATATAAGGCACAAATTCTTGGCCAATATCATGAAAATTCATAGTTTCATACTTCGTAGTCGAACTTACATAAGTAGAAGAGACCAACAACATTCAGACAAGTACATCAATGGGCGAAAGAATTGAGATTTGGGACTCAAAATAATCTACAAGACGAAATTGTTCTTCAAATTTTATATTATAAGCTTTTTTACATAGCTGATACAGAATGTTGAACTTTCTTAAATTGCAGCATGAAACATCTTTTTCCTTGATCCCGTTACATGCTTCTATTTGTAAATGTCACTTTTATCCTCTCAGCCAACGAATCTTACAATGTATTTCATTCAACATAAGGATTATGACTTTCCTAAATCTTCAAGCACACGTCATATCAAGCTGATAATGTATATCAAAGAGCAACTGAAACGAGAAAGGTTCGAATTCTTTGCAACAGCTCAGCCTTTATAGAATCAGGAACTGAAGCTGCATAAATAAAAGGATAGAAGCTCATTAACCAGCAAGATAATTTTAGTGCCAAAATGTAAATGCAAAAGCAAAAGGATTAAGAAAATTAGAACGAGCACTCTGCCCACTAAAACAACCAAATAGGTTAATATACAATCAGGGAGTTGACCCGCTGAAATTGCAAAAAAGGATCAGCACAAAAAACCAAGAGAATAGATCATTTGGATCACCAATCAATATTACAAGGATATGTCGATTTAATTTCTATAATGTAAACATCACATATTCCTTTCAAAACCTTTAAAACCCTAACATGCAAGTTTGGGAAATTGCTTAAGCGACTTCAATGGAATGGATGCCAGCAAATTCCCACTCGCACATGACTCACAGCAACAACTGATAACCGACATCAACAAAAAAAAAATCACTATTTATCACCATGCACTTACTTCTGTCCCAACACCCACTAATTTTTTACCGCCACTACACCATAAACCTGCACTATGACATCCTTTCGATCAAGCATGATTGCATTGTTTATGCTGATGGTTAATTTTACTTATAGGAAGCACTGTAATACCATGCAATGAAGGAGAGGGATTCAAAATCATGAAATAAGCTAAACTTTCTAGCCAGAAAGAATCAGGCGGTCCAAAAGGCGTGATTAGTTACTTCCATGTACATGATTAAAAGGAAAACTAGACAAATAACTCAAGTTGCAGACAATCAAAATCCACTACAAATAAGAAAAAAAGAACGAAATAATTACCTCTGCCTTTTGGAGTAATCACATGCACTAGGTCATCCACAGTAACATTATTGCTCCCCTTCTTCTTTATAAATGCCCTAGAATATCACAAAATTGAGACAGATTGCAAATGTTGCAAAAGACACCCATTCATATATGCATATGTGCTCTTCACAAATCATAACTTGATTGAAATTAGTAGAAGTTAAAACAAAGCTTTTACAAAAGAATAGTGCATAAGTGAAGCTAAAGAAGGGTATAGCTATGATATATATCCCCACAACCCAAAAAAAAATGAAAAAGAAAAAATGAAGGAATAATAATAATAATAATAATAATAATAATAATAATAATAATAATACAAACAACCCACCCATCCACACACGGAAGCAACAGCACTACACAAACATGAAGATCAATGAAAAAATAAAAGATTTTCAACTAAAGTCACTGAAGCTTTGCAACAACTACTTGGGGCTAGATTCTCCTATATATAAAAATGTTAAATATCAATATATAGCAACGAAGGTCTAACAATTTCATATAAGAAAATTAAAACCTCACAGCAAAACTTTTTCAAGAATCATGATAAATGATTATGTAGAATTCTAAGTCAAAGAAATTAGATTATTTTTACTCATTTTAAGAAGGCAAGATAAAACACAGAAACAAATGCAATGAAAGGTCAGAAAAAAGCAAATTTAAAAAAATATTGAACTTAGGACCATGAAGGAACCCCAAAGATGTATTCTGGCAGAGAGACTGAAGGTGCTAGAAAAATGAAGAGGTACGCGAAGGACACAAACAAAAGTGAAATCAATAAGAGCATATTCAGATCCTATGCTAGACAAACTGTTAAAGCCAAGAGAATTCGACTGATTAATAGAGAGGAAGAGAAGTGAAGGTGACATTGTCTCTGGTGACTGGGTATGGATGCAGGGTTTACCTAATAAGGTAGGAGATATACTAGCAAAAACATTTTTCTAACCAAACAAACAGTAAATAAGCGATCCTATCAGAAAAACACATCTTCCTATCTATCATCATTGTTGTTTTTTTTAAAAAAATAAAAATAATTTCACTACTTCTTTTCAAAATTTTGGAACTCTGCTTTAAGTATTATTGCAATCTTTGTTTGATTGTAATTTCAGTCATTTAGGATCCAAATATCTTTAAATCATTCTAATTTACTTGATCATCGTGATTCATTCAGTTGCTATATAACAGGTCCATCGTATTCATGAAAAGTAAAATTATTGCTACAAAATCATGGGACCAATATTGTAAAGCTCGGTAAAATCTAAATTAACTTTTAATTTTTAATTTTTAAATTGACTATTTTTTTATTTTTTATTTTATATATATATATATATATATATTATACACAAGCATAGCTACTAATATTAGAGTTTCTTACTTCTTCTTCTTCTTCTTTTTTTTCATTAAAAACTTGGCTAAACAGTCTGGCAATGGAAGTACAACTGATCAATAAACAAGGCCACAGTAAAAGCATGTGGAAAAGGATCCAAAATATTATCAAAAGTTGATAAGATGTGAACACACTGAATGCATGTATTGAGGATTGAAGCTACAGAAACTGTTAAAAAGAAAATTAAGGGCAAAAACCTGCAAAGAGCTCTCATGTCATCCTTCCACCCACATTCTATGAGCCTTTCCCTCAGAAGCTCCATCAGTCGTTCCTTTTCCCCACTCTCAATCAACTGTAGAGTATAGAGGCAACCAAATATCCAATTTATTAAGCCATACAAAGTCACACAACCGATTAATATAATTCCATAATACACTTCATTCAGTGCACCCCATATTCAATGCTCAGTAAGTTTCATACTCTATGTTTATTTAATCCCTTGTGTTCATTTTTATCTTGTATTATCACCAATCCAATATTTACTAAAGGAAAACCACTAAAAGAGGGATTTTTATTTATTTATTTATTTATTTTTGAAGCAAAAAAAGTAGTTTATGAAGTAATATTTGTTCTAATATTTGTTGAAAGGAAACCAAATGTTGTTCTAAAGTTTTAACCAAACAGCACCGGAGTCACCTTTCAAGTAGCATCTCATAAGTACTTATTTTGTGTTTAAAAGAACCTTTTTTGGAAAGATTGGATTTTAGTGACCAAACCTAAACAAAATTTCTATGGAGTGACCATAAAGTTTATAAAAGATAAAGATGAATACTCACTAAATTTAAAATTTAAATACAAGCAAGTGACCATTTGATGATTTATTACGTAAATGTCCTCCTTATAATAACTTATACTATAAATCTACCATTTCCTTCTTTTGTTCATTTGTTCTTGTAATTGAAATTGTTCCTTCTCGGCATGATTCAACAGACATACTCTAAGACTGAAAATTTCCTGATACCATGCAAATGCAAACTCAAATTCGAGATTAATGGCTTTGTATAAGGGATGCGTTCCCCTCTTGAACGCCTATTTTATTTCAATTATTACTTATCAAACAAAAAAAATTCGAGATTAATGGCTTTGTGAAAATTAATGCGGATTGGCTACAAATTTTGGCATAATGCCAAATAAATTAAGAAACAAGCTTGCATAAATTGTTTTGCTCTGTTATTGACAAGCACAAATATATGAAATCAGACCATGTCATCAAGGCTATTGATAAAGGGTTAGTTGTTTATTGCTTTTGGCCTCACAAGTAGATCCTACAAATGCACCAAATTCTCCAAATTTTCATTACTACTAGTTAATTAATGTGTAGTGAAATTTAGCTACCAATGGCTGTTGATGAGATACAACGATGATGGTGACGGAGGATCATGGGTTGTTTCTCAGCTAAAAGGAAAATACTGACTCCTACAACTTTCAGCATGAGCTAATAAAAAACACAAATGGACAAAAAATTGGAGATGAGGTATGAATGTTTGGTGTAGGGAGAGAATTTGGGGAATTATGTCGAGTGTAACTTTGACTTCATAAATTATTCATTACTTTTAAGTTGTTCGACAAAATTATCCTTGAAAGGTCACTTATTAGTAATTAAGTTTTAAATTTGGTGAGTATTCATCTTTTCTCGACTTTGAGGTCACTTTAGAGCAATTTTATTTATATTTGGTCACAAAAATCTAATTTTCCCAGACTTTTTTCATTCATTATAGCTCAAAAAGGTAATAAGGAAATGAAAATAGAAAATCTTAATACACAGAAGCATCAAGGTCCAAAAATCCTAAAAGATGCATAGCTAAGTAACCATTCAGATCTCAAAATTTAAAACTTCAAAGAATGACAAAAACTAAAAGTACAACATCTCGTGCTATATATATATATATATATATATATATATATATATGAATTTACATAATAGAAGGGGCAAGGTACCTTGATGTTGATAATTTCTTGAAGCGTGGGCTCTTGATCTTGATCATCCCGTGCGTCTGGTGTTGGCGGACGATTAACCGAATGCCTCCTATTTTTAACATAACAAATACACACACAAGTTAAGCAAAATAAAAATTAAAACTTTTTACAAAATAAGTGCTAAATATGAAGAAGATGGTTTCCAATTTCTGAAAAGTAGCTTCAATTAGACCGAATACGGATACATATATATACACACACACAAACACATATGCGAGTTCTTGTAGAGAGAAAGAGAGCGCACATGTGCTTCCTTAGCAAAGTATTGAATCTGCTACTGATCGAGCCTGAGTTGAGATGTTTTCTTCGCGAGGAGTAGCTATCTGAACATTGAAGTTTCTGTTTCGAGGATGAGATCCGAATAGACTGATGAGTTCCTTTAAACGGCACCGTTTGTTTCATTATTGATTTAACGGCGTGTTTGGTAACTTTGCAAATGAGACACAAGTGGGTTCCACACACCATCTTTTTAAAGCATCAATCACTCGTTCCTCGACATCTGACTATCCGAGGGTAAAAAAAACAAACTTAAAAGAATTGCTCCAAAGGAAATAGAGTGTGAAATCTTGTACGGCTATTTTTTTTTTTTACAAAGTAAGAATTGTTAGAAGTTAGATTAGTAGGTGGAAAGAATTGAAACCTAATACTCTAATTACTTGTTTGAATGGTTAGTTTTTCGAACTGTGTTTGCTTCTTAGATTTAGAAACTTTTATCTGCATAAATTATCTTTTTTTTATAAGAAATTAGAAACCAATTTGTACGGTCTCAACTTTATGAAAAATAATTCTTGCACTAAATAGTTACATTGAATTACTAGACCTACTTTTTTAATTAATCAATTATACAATAAATAAAGAAGTGAAGTCCTCCACTTAATTGTATTTTGTATAAATAATCAATTAAAAATTATTCCATTACGCAATTCACAGTAAATGTTTGTGTAAGTATCACTGCTCCAACTTTATTTTGCTTGTATACATGGCACAATGACTGGGTATGAGTTGCTATATGGTGAATGGCAGCACTTCGATGATTGTGACTATCTAACCTATATAAATAGGTTAATCCTCACTCAATATATATATAAAGTATACATACATATACTTTGGTTGAGATATTGGTGTCAGATTTCTAGAACACCTTTTGTCTCACTGAAATTATCCGAAATTTCCAAACTTTAACTAGTAGGCCGTTCGCTATCTCCGCATCCCTTTACTCACCGTTTTTAGAACTTATCTACACAATTTGGAGACATCCACACGTGCAAGTGTCAGCGACTTCTCTCATAATAATTAAATTTTTTTTTTTGGCAATCCTCCTCGACTGATGTAAAACTACAAATTTGAGATTTAAAAACTGTTTCTTCACTCATGATCTGGTTCTTCACATTTTCTTCTGCAGGAGGTTAGATACTCGATGGTAATAAACCACAGTACATATCTGCTTTTAATTTTTGGGGTGTAAATCACATGTTGAGAAACAAGGGAAGGGAGTGATTGTATTACTTTTAAGGAATCTGTTCCATTTCATTTTAGTGAAAGAAGAATCAAAATGTCAGAATACTAATACGATACCAATTACATTAATCAATGTAGCTTTTCATTGATTTGCAGAACTACCATGAGAATACAAGTAATCAGTAGAATATTCCAAGGGCATGGTTTCAGGCCATACGAAGCACGCAAAACAACATCATCAATCACAGGACCACAGAAGGCGCGATCTTGAGTCTGGCTTGTAGTGTAGCTGAGAAAGCTGATTGGAGTTGGACTCGATTCTGCTTTGAATGTCACAGAGAATTTCTTCGCTGATCCTGTCCCGTTGCTCAGCAGAGTAAAATTTTGGACCGTTGATCCTGCTTGAACCCCTATTGTAAAATCTCCAATGCACGAATCGTTAGCATCTCCCAGCATGAATTCCAGATTATACGCTGAACCTTCTGAGAGTGGTCTTGCTGTTTGTATGCCAGCTGAAACTCCTGATACAATCTCAATTGCAGCATTGCCTTCTGGGACAAAGTAGTGTTTGGAGTCTATGTATTTAACAGTACCTGTCACAGACCATTGTTGCAACACAGATTGCACAGGACTTGGTTCTGGTTCAAGTAAAATTCCTTCACTAGAGTTATTCAAGAATTGTGGACCCAATTCAAACCCACCATTAAGTAGTAGATTATCTGTTTTCCAAGGATTCGTTTGAAAATGAAACAAAATTTGAGTTAGAAAGAAAGCAACTCAACCATTAATTGGGAACTCAATGCATGCTTATGTATTTTGGTCATGTTTTCTCTAGTTTGAAGTTCCAATGGTGGTAACTATGAGCCTGCTTGATTTGTTATTTAGCAAAAATAGAAAATTGTTGTCAGAGAACTATAAAAGACAGTCTTCCAGACATTTTTTTAACTAAGTCTTCAAGAAACAATTCTCAGAATATGTCAACCAAACACGTTTTTTTAGAAACTATCAACCAAGCACGTTTTGTACAGAAATTTGATTTTCAATTCTCAGAAAATACAGAAAACTTAATCAAGTAGGCCATACATGTTTTCCCAATGATGGACATATGAGATGAAAGTCTACATACCATTGCCTTGAAGGAGTGTCCTGACGGGCTTGAGCAGAAGAGTGTCAACCACAGGCCAACAATTGGAAGCATTATCAGATTCAGTTGTCTGGCTTTGAAACACTAGGTTAATGGTCTCTCCATTACCCCAACTGCCCAAGTAGTGGCCATAGCTTTCCCATGTTTCCTTCCCATAGTTTTGTTTCAACGAAAATGCCGAGGCACTATCTGGAGCTGAAACTATAAGGCTGGCATTGCTTGTACAATTCTGACCACCCAAGGCAAGGGTAAAGGTCAGTAGGTATTGCATCAAGTCGCTATTGGCAGTAAAAGTTTGGTTGATCATGCCATCTTGACCCAATTCTATAGCATGTCCATTCCCTGGTAACAAGACAGTTGGACCGGCTGTTACATACTGGACTGTGCCTTCAAATGACCATCCAGGAATCGTATTGTTTTCATTCAAGAGCACAAATGGGGCACTGGAGTTTCCCGGTAAGTTTGATGGCGGGACTTCAAAATCTGGATTCTGTAAAAGATCTGTTCAATGAAAATAGACTTGTTTTTCAATAGTTCAAAAGATTTTTTTCGCAAAAACCGTCTGTTGAGAAGCTAAAAAAAAAAAAATTGCCGAATTACCTGCAGATGCAGTAGCTAGGAAGAGAAGTGGGATCAGAATCATTGCCAGCTTCATCTGGTTTGACAAAAAATGGGTAGATGTAAGGTTGGCTTTGTAATAGTACATGTTCAACTTCAGAGAAGTGGGATCAGAATCATTGCCAGCTTCATCTGGTTTGACAAAAAATGGTTAGATGTCAGGTTGACTTTGTAATAGTACATGTTCAACTTCAGAGAGTGGGTATTGGTTTTGACAAAAACATTTAAAATTTTAAAAAAATGATAAATGTTACACATACCCTTGAAGAAGATGGGGCGCACGTCCATTAATATAGGTTAAACCGGGGAAAGTCTTTTCCATCATTCAATTGGACAGTGTTCTTCACTATTACTTAAAGTGCATGTTGGTCTAATGTTTTAATTTTAATTTAATTTTGTTTTGTTTTGTAAGCATTGGTCTATGGGTTGTTGTATGCAACCATCGAAAATTATTATTGGTATGAAGTTCATCTCATTCAGACTCATGGCTAGTTAGGGTACTCCTTGGCATAAACCGCCTGCCCAAACGTATCTGGCATAGCTCGACTCCAATTGCATCGAAAAAAGAAAAAGAAAAACCGAAAACAATTATGATGGTTAAATTTGATCTTCTATGCCTAAACCCCAAGTAGACTTAAAGTTGGATTTGGTTGCAGTTGTTGGAAATTGTGTCTTCAAATTCCTATTTTAGTTAGGTTTCTATTTTAGAGTCATATTTTGTTAGAAAATTTCTTGTTAAGCAAGTATTGACCCCCAAAAAATTGTAATCATTGTCCAACAATCATCCAAAAAGGTTATGGGTTGAAACTCATGAGTTGAGAAATGTAGGGTAGAAAAAACAACTAGGGTGGTCATTGATAGTGAGGAGATATCTCTGCAAAATTATAGTGAAATCTCTTCTCATCCGTGGATGTAGACCATTTTTGGTCTTATGTTTGTATGTGATTGCTTTGTTGGCTTTCGTTGGATCTTCGGTTTGTGCACTTAGGATGATTTTTAGATTTGATGATTTTAGAAAGGCATTTTTCAAGAGAACAACATAAAAGTGACTTTTTGCTCTGCTAGATCGGTGGAAAAACATGTATTTTGAGCATTAGACAAAGACGAGGGATTTACCTTTGGATGCATTAGATGAATCATCAAGATCGAATTCAGTACTAGAATTTTAACCTGCCGATAGCACACACCAACAGCAGACCGCAAGGCAAGCATGAAAATACCTTGCAAATGTAGAACTATCAACATTTTATGGCAATTTGTTCAAGCCGAGGAGACCGACTGCATCTGACTATTGTGGCATTTGCTGGGAGATGAGAAAAGGTCAAATAACAGCTGAAATCACATATAATCAGTACTAGAATTTTAACCTGCGGCTGCCATTATTTAACCAATAAGTGCTGAAGTTTCTTGTATACAAAGAATTGGCATAAAACAATTTTGCTGAACAATTTACATGAACAAAGAAATGAACAAGAAAAAGAAATTACAATCTTTTTGCAAGGAGCTGGATTCTAAATTGATATTCGTTAAAACTCACCACCTGTGAGCACAATGAATTTTGCCATATCATCATATGGACCGTGTTTTTCTTTTTGGTCTATATGCAGATTGGAAGGCGGGAGTCTCGACAAGTGATTCCAACAAAGAAGCCACCCAAATGCATATTTTCAACTTTCAGCTGAAGAAGACCACTTGCATGCAGGGCAGCACTACCCCCTACTAAACAGATTTGAATGCAATGAAAAATCAAGTAGTTAATCACACAAACTAGAATGATTTATCGTTTCCCACTCCATGCATCTGACATGAAACACTATCATGATCACTTCCTTCATTTAATCGAGATCCTGATCATATCTGTACATTATCATACATATTTGAATCTGCATTGAGTTGACCAGATGAGGCTTGTGAGACACAAATAACACAACTTTACTTGTGACCATCCACAAAGCTCCATCCAGGTGTTTTCTTCAAATTTCCTTCTTTCATCATCTTCCTCATTCTCGAAACATTCTCCCACTGTCCAGCCTCTGCATACATATTGGACAAAACAACATAAACACCGTGATTATGAGGTTCAAGAACAAGAATTTCTTTCACCGCTCGTTCAGCAATCTCAATATTTCCTTGGTTCCTGCAAGCCCCCAACAGAGCTCCCCAAATCACCACATCGGTTTTCCACGCCATTCCTTTTATCAGCTCCTCAGCCTCCAATAGCCTCCCACCTCGCCCAAAAAGATCAACCATACATCCATAATGCTCTATCTTTGGCTCAATGCCATACACCCTTCTCATGGAATGAAAAATCTTATCACCAAAATCAAGCAAGCCAGCATGGCAGCATGCAGATAAAACCCCAACAAATGTGATATCATTGGGCACAACCTGCTCACTCTCTAACTTCCGAAAGAGATTGAGTGCTCCTTCAGCATGTCCATGAACAGCCAAACCACAAATCATTGCATTCCAAGTTGCAATGTTCCTTTCAGGCATGCTATCGAAACACTTTTGAGCCATCAAAATTGCTCCATTCTTCAGATACATGTTCACCAATGCCGTCCCAAGAATCACACCCACCTCAATCCCATTCTCGTCCATAAAAACATGAATCCGTCTCCCTAAATCCAAACACCCTGATCGAGCACAAGCAGACAACACAGAAGCCAGAATGGGTCCATTGGGCTCAAACCCATCCAAAATCATTCGATCAAAAAGTAACAACGCTTCATTTGAACAATAGTTTTGAGCATAACCACATACCATAGTTGTCCATATGCTCAAATTTCTATCAGAAACTTCTTCGAACAACTGGCGGGCATCGTTCAAATTGTCTGTACTAGAGTAACCCCTAATCAATCCATTAACAACATGCAAATCCAGTTCCAAACAGAACTTCAAAACATGGGTATGCACCTGTTTACAACATTCGAGTGATCGCAAATTCGAACAAGCCTTGAGAAGAAAAGGGAAAGTGTGCTTACCGGGTATAACACCGAGCCTTCGCATCTTTATGTAAAGATGCACAGATTCTGTAGGGTTTGGAGTACTAGCTTGAGCCCTAATGAGTGTGTTCCACATAAATGAATTGGGTTCTTGGGTATTGCTAAAAAGCTTGAGAGCATAGTCGAGGTCGCCGGAATCTGAAAGAGCGGCAAAGGAGAGTAATCGGCTGGCGGCGAAGTTGTCGTGAATGCGGCCAGAGATGATCATTTGAGCCTGGATTTGTTTGAGTTGGTGCATTGAAGTGCATTTGTCTGCGAGGAGAGAGAGACGTGGAGGTTTTGACCGCGGTGCTGGGTGAGGAAAACATGTGTAGTTGGGAAGAGAAGCGAGCGGCCGTTTTGCGAAGAAGGTTGTTTTGGGCGGTAACATTGCTATTTGGTTTCTTTGGTGCTGCCATATTAGTAAATCACTGAAAAGAATTTTCTTTTTTCTTTTTTAAAGAATAAATTGAAATTCAATTGTTCAATGTTTGGTTTTAGCAACATCTAATTTCTCCCATCAGCTCGGCTCAATTAAAATTTTGTTTGACCGTATCTAATAAAGATAGTTGAAATTTAATTAATACTCCGAATTCAATTTTTAAAGGTGAATTTTAATCCATCTCTAAAATTGCGATCATATTTTTTATTTATTTAATAAACATAAAGATCGAATTCAGTTTTTTGAAGGTTGTTGAATTTTGTTGAATAAACAAATGCTCACACATAATTTTGTAATAAGTTGGATAAAGAACATTCTTTGGTTAAGTTTATAAAAATATTTACATGATATAAGATTTGATGCTTACAAAATGAAGTTATATTTCTATTTATAGGTACCCATTCCTAATGAATGGCTAAGATGCAATCTCACCGATGGAGGCTGTTTCTGTATAATTTTCTCATATCTACACTATTCTAAAATTCTCTAATCTACTCCACACAACTCTGAAGAATTTTAAAACCTTTCACATACTTTCGTAATATTTTACACATTTAAACATATATCTAAAATCTTCTATACAATTCTAGAAACTCCTCTCATCATGCAGTGTCCTACCGTAACCTCCATAGACAGGCGCGACATTATACTAGAATTTAAAATCTCAACATATATTAGCAAATACTGTATATATGTTGAGCTTAGAAGCCCTCTGCTGACTGCTGGCTCGGGTTTTAAAATAATATTTATTGCTACAAAGCACAAACTAAACCAAAAATCTCGAAAATCAAATGGTGGAAAATCAAATGGTGACGATGGCTTCAACGTTGTTTTTGGTTGAATACGATGGCTTCAACATTGAATCTCTTGGATTCTATGATTTCTATCTGCTATTGGGACGCCTATTTGGATGTCGTCCAAATTCTCCAATTTTATATTACTACTATTGTATTAGTAAATCCCAATTAACAACATCACAATCTAGAGAATCCACAAAATTGCCATCGAGGGCACTCAAGCGGCTAAGGTGACGCCTTCTCGACCAACAAAATGGTCACAGTCTTCATCATCACCGTTAATTTTTTAGATGAATAAAAGTAGGTTTCACTTTGCAACTCCTTCATTGGCAGTGATGGTGCCGTGAGATTGTACATTTTAATGCATTTTTGTGGACGACAGTTACTCACTTTTATAAACCCAAAAACTTCGTCTTTCACACGCACACACCAAGCACACACACGCACACAGCAAAACATATCTGAGCCGAAAAGGAGCTGAGACATGCCGGGAGTAAGAGGCCCGTCTGATTATTCACAGGAGCCCCCTCGTCATCCATGTCTTCAGATTAATGCCAAGGCAATTTTTTCTCCCCTCTCTCTATATTTGTGTATATATATATATATATATATATATATGCACACAAGTACTTGCTAGATCATACTTTTGATTCGGTATAATTTGAAGTCTTAATCGGACATTGTTCGATAATAGCCAAAGCCAGTACAGTCTTTGATTTTGTATCAAGTTGTGTTCTATTATGCCAATCGTTTCTCTCTATGTGGATTTTCATTCTTCACACCCGTCTCGGTTATACTCTTGGGTTTATATTTGTTGGATTATCAGATTGAGTGGCCTTGAATTTTGAATCTTTGGATTTATATAAAATTTCTCTGTAAAAATTCTAAATTATCTTTTACTGTATATATTCTTCATCCAGACACAATGTAAACGGAAATCATGTTTGATAATGCCAATTGTAAATGTTTAATGATCACCCAATTTCAGTTATCCTGAATAGTCTGATATCTTAACATGATTCAACCTTCTTTCTATGGATTGTGTGGATTTTTGGCCTTTTAGATACTACTAGTATTTAAATACATGGGGTACTCCCCTTAGGACCCCGGTCGAGACCCACCAAAGGTGAGGCCTGGACTTAAATGATGAACGGGTTTGCGGATGATTGCATGCGTACCGAGAGTCAAAGTAGCTAGTGGGTGAGTTGATTCTTAGTTACCAAACAAAAAAAAAAGTCTAAGAGCCACTTCTCTTAAAAATCTTATTTATTTATTTTTTATTATTTCATTTCATGTTAATTTCTGCCAACCTCTTTATCTTTTACCTTCTATACAAACCAATCTCACTCCTCTCCACCAGTGCGTCTACCTGTCTACACTGAATAAATCCATACCACCTAACTCTTCTTTCTCTTATTTTCTTACAAATAGGTGTCACTCTTAATTTCTCCGTTACTCGTTAATTATTATTTTTATCTCTTCTAGGTACTTGTAGCATCTATCTTAGCACTCACATTTCAGCCACATGAATGTGCCATTCGTATTCTTTATTAACGCTCAACACTTTGCTTCATAGAAGATGTCCTATATACTTTTCCTTTTGACTTCTTTGATATTCCTTTATCACATTAAACATCACTAGCTTGCCTCCATTTTGTCCAACCTATTCCAATTCTACTACTTAAATCATCATCAATCTCTTCATCCTTTTGTATAATTTTCCTAAATAATGAAAATAATTATTTTGAGTAATGCTTTGGCTTTGAATTGTTATCGCTATGTATAACGTTCTTAAATTTTCATTCCATACATTCTGTTTTAGTTCGTCTTATATTTAAACCTTTAGACTCTAATGCATTTCTCCAAGTTTCTAATTTTATTGCTAAAGTTTCTTTAGAATTATCCAATAATAATGTATGATACTATGATCAGAGAAGAGGGTACAATCTTTTAAATGATGGTTTGTAGTCAAAGTGTTAGCATCCTGTCTGGACCTGGAAGATTATTGTTTTTAAGGAAAATTTTCTTTGAAGGCAGTATTTGACTAAGGAAATGCATCAAGGGATTTTTTTACTTTACATTATTGGACAGATGCCACTGTCAAAGGGGATTTTGATTTGGAGCATTTCTTCAATATCAACAGCCTATGCTTATAGTTTTATGGAGTATCTTTCACAAGTTCAATACAGCCCAATGAGTTACCTTTTTTTTCCTTGACCTTTATATATCTTTTTAACCCAATGAGAAATTATCATTTTCTTGCATGTCGGGTGCAGGAGCCCTTCAACGCTGAACCACCTCGTTCAGTCTTGATTTCCTCTTACGTGACTCCTGTGGATTTTTTCTACAAGCGGAACCATGGACCAATTCCACTAGTTGATGACTTAGAAAGGTTATATGCTCTGTCTTACTTTCATACACCCTTACACCCTCGTGATGTTTTGAAGTTTTTATAAGTTTTAACTGATTGACAGAATCTGTTTAGCTGAGCAGATATTGTGTTTCCATAACTGGTTTGATTGAAAACCCCAAGGATCTGTTCATGAAAGATATCTGGTGAGAAATAGAATGAGGGAGCACATTTTATGATATTAATTTACTATTTCATGCAAAATTGTTTGAATAAGGTACTTATATTGCTTCACTAATAACAGGAATCTTCCAAAATATAATGTCACTGCGACCCTACAGGTATGGATTTTCTATATAACATTTGAACCTATGGGATTGTGGTTGGAAATTTTCTCCCACAGTTCTGTGACAAAGTATGATCAAGTTTATTTTCTTGTTTGGTTAGATTTATTAACTTGCCAATCTTGACTTGCCTTGATTTTCCAGTGTGCTGGTAACAGAAGGACTGCAATGAGCAAAACCAAAACAGTGAAAGGAGTTGGATGGGATGTTTCTGCTATTGGAAATGGTTAGTTTCCTTCATCATGGATCTAAAATTTTGCTTTTGATTCTCTCTGTACAAGTATTTTATTTTTTATGATGTTAGAAATGACACAATTAAAGTCTTAATGTGATTACCGTGGTATGGTCTGTGAGTGTCAGTGTGTAGAATTGTAATCACGTGAGGGGATGATGACTGCTCAACTGACCTCTCCTATCACTGTTTCATGATTACTTTTGGCTAAAAGTTGTACTAAAATCTATTTTTATGTAATCAACACTAGCGAGTCTCTCTCTCTCCCTCCTCTCCTTGAGTGTAGTCTTTTCCTTTTATTCAATTTGAGTGGGGTCCATTTCTTGGTATAATGCCGACTCACAAGAGTGAAAAGAAATTTTGAGGTTTCTGAGCAATCACTTTGAGCAAAATAATACCGATGGTTAGGTTTGTCTCCAATTGACCCCCGTGTAGCACCTCACTTAGAAGGGTCCATTTCTTGGTATGATGCCGACTCACAAGAGTGAAAAGAAAAGTTGAATTTTCAAAGAAATTGCTTTGAGCAAAATAATACTGATGGTTACGCTTGTCTCCAATTACCACCGTGTAGCACCTCACTTAAATGGGACCAACATGGGTAATGGATTTTTTTAATCACTTAGATTGTCCATTTCTTGGTAATGGACGAAATACTATGTTATATGAGACAATTGGCATGTTTCTGTCCAATGAATGAATCATACGGAGAGAGAGTCAATTATGATGCCGGGATTGGTCGATAAGCCATGGTCAGCAGTACTCTTTTTCAAGAACACATGGGTTTGTCCTCCAGCTAATTAAATTGGGCTTATAAAATTGAACTTTTTTTTCAGATACCTCTTTCATTCCTCTCAAGGACAGAGGGAACTATAACATCTAGACTCCATCGCCTTCTGTGATATTTTTTTTCGGGTCACACTTAGAGTGTTTTTGCAAGAATAGGTACCTCTTGTAATGTGCGCAGACTTGGTAAGAGAAACTATTTTGAGTAAATTAAATGTTCCTTGTCTGGCTATCAAGAGGAGGCCATCTACTCTAGACTGTAATGGTTTGACGGGTTAGTTATAGTGCTATTATGTGTTTTTTGTCAAAGACATTGAAATGCATGATCATCTTTGCTCAAGTTGCAGCTTTAATAAAGACTTGTGGCACAGAGCTTTAACAAAACATGGTTTATAAAGATTTCCAGGAAGTTGAATTCAAATCATTCAATGGGCCATACTAAATTGAATTCTAAGTCTTTCCTAAAATGGTAAGAAGTGTGCTGTTGACTGGTTTGACTTTTACATTTTTAGGGGCAACATATTTACAGGATTTTTGAGAATGATTACAAGGACAAGGCCTTTGTTTATATTTGATTTGCTAGAGATATCAGTGGTTTGCTAACAACTATTGCTGATGCTCCTGTTGTGAGAGCAGAATTTCAATTTTCAAATTTTTAAGTTGGTTGGAAGGAAACTCCTAGGTTTGATATATATTGTTTTTGATTGTGCTGTAGGTTGATATGTGGTTTGCGTAAGCTTGAAGCCCTCCTGAGGGGATATACCCCCTTTGAGCTAGCCCCTTGTTGCCTGAACTTTTCTTGCTTGTACATGTTTTGATGAGTTAGGAGAAAAACATACCAAGTTGGGTTGAGTTGATACATAAGCATGCATACATGTTGATGGAAATAAAGTTGATTAAAATGTTGTGTATTCCAAGATTATGTAAATGTGTGTATGTAAAGTTGCAGATGCCAGGTGAACAACAAGCACCTACTTGTGCATAGGCATGTGCACATCTATGTGGACTTGTGGGGAACATTTGATTCTTCAGTCTGCTTATCTTAAGGATAACCGGAAGCCCTTGGTCCTCAATTTCTCTATGGATCCTCTGATTTTTTTTTTTTTTTTTTTAATGGTAATGTCTCCGCAGTCCCTACTTTGTGTTGATTATAATATTCATTAACGGATTATATATTCAATTCATATTTGAGGTATCAGATCCAATTCGAATCAAAATCCAATCTATTGTGACAGGTCTAGTCTAGATGGCTGTTTTCTCTACACTTATGTGATGGAGTGGCTGATAGGCTTAGACTAGGTGAAATCTAGGTGGCTTGGATAGAGCAAGACAGACAGTCAATGGCAATTGATGAGACCAAGGATCTTGAATTCTAGTGAAAGGGCTGTATTGCTCAAAGTGCATTAATTGTTGGTAGTTGATCTATTCAAGAAGGTATATGGATGTATATAGGGTGCATACAGTGGACATTCGATCATGTGGATCAAATCTAGCTACGACACATGTTAAGTGTCATGCCTGAGGGGCTGAGATAAGAAGGATTTGTCATGATTAAACCTCCTGCATGTGCATGAAGCTCCTGGTATCGAATGAAGACATTAACTCTAACTCTCTGCTGGACTACTGTAAGGGACTGCCTTAACCTTCCTCCAACTCTAGCTGTTCGTTCCAATCCATCCAGATATCTCAAAGCCAACAGCAGGACGCTGAGTCGTGCTGTTTAGAAACACTGGACCTTTAAGTAGGGATTGATCCCCCAGCCCCTGGCCTTCTCTCTAACCTTGGGCGGGCATTGATTGCGAGGAAATGTACATTCCTCACTTTGGCGAGTGAGAGCTTCTAAAACATGAATGAGCATGCCCTTGTGCAGTTTACCCAGTGGTGTGGCTCAAAAGATGTCTGGGATTCTCTCCCTCACGGGGAGGCCGATCAGACATGGTACCACATGGCATTCCATGACTGATAACTTGGCATGAGGGGAATGGTCCATGCCCACTTATGTCATCAAATTTCCATGTGTTAACATTGTGATTTTACTATCTTTTGTGATTAGCAGGCTTATTGTATTTCTATTCTTTTTTTACCGTCGGCTGAAACAGTGAGTGGTAGTAAATAATAGGAATGGGGCTTTGGTTACAGTACATTCAAAAAATTTGGATCCAAGATTGGATGGTCAGCGTTTAATTTCACTATCCAAGTGCGACTAAGTTGGACATACGTGTTCATACGTCATATCATGTGCATAACTGCCTATAAATGGGTGAAGGACTATACTCTTTGTTGAGTGGCTCATAAGGTTGTCTATTGTAGTATATATAAATATACATATATATACATTTTATTTTATTTTTCTTTCCATTTATGTAGTGGTTAAAAATTTTCTGGAAAGTTCTTCTTTTTCCTCCTATATATTCCTAATTTCTTATTCCTACATATTCCTTTCAGCTGTCTGGGGTGGGGCCAAATTGGCTGATGTTCTTGAACTTATTGGGATACCTAAGTTGACAAATGCCACACCCTCAGGTGGAAAACATGTTGAATTTATTAGCATTGATAAGTGTAAGGTAATCAGCTTGAACTTTTACTGTTTTCTGGGATTTGCAATCTTTCGCTGTCCTTTACTGTTTGGTGGTGGATTTCAGTCAACCCAATGATTTCCTTAAAATTATAGGAAGAGAATGGGGGTCCATATAAGGCATCGATTCCATTATGTCAGGCCACTAACCCTGAAGCTGATGTTTTACTTGCGTATGAGATGAATGGAGAGGTAAGCAAAGTTCCTCTTAAAAACAAAGAAAGCAAACCCTGTACGATTTGGTCAGAAAATCTGCATCTTTTTCAGTCACCCTGGTTATTATATAAATTGCATATTATAGTTTTTATCATGGCTTTTTTCTTTTCTCTCGGCCTCAACCATGCTTCCTTTTCTGTTCTACAAACAAAGGACCTCTTGAAAATAGGTACCCTGCTTCCTTCACTGTTCTACAAACAAAGGACCTCTTGAAAATAGGTCTTCTGGTTTTGGCAGTATTCTAACAATTTAGTCTTTGTTGAAGCTTTTTTATTTTTTATTTTATAATTTAGTCTTTTTGATGCATTATCTTTTTACACAGGTATTTTTCTTTTATGACTAAATCGTATTTTTCTATCTTATTACAGTATCCTCCTTTTCTAATTTTGGGTACTTATTTCATAATTTACTTCCCTAACTTTACGTTTACTATGCTGTTCTGCGAAAGACTCTAAACAGGGATCATGGGTATCCATTGCGTGTAGTCGTCCCAGGTGTTATTGGTGCCCGTTCTGTTAAGTGGCTTGATTCCATCAACATAATTGCAGAAGAATGCCAGGTTGGCTGGCTGTTAATTATCTTTTAGATATTATCACTATGCCTTCCCCTTAGATATTATTAGTATTACCGTCCCCTTTTTGTATATTATAAGACTGAGTTCTTATTGCTGCTTAACAGGGCTTCTTTATGCAAAAGGACTATAAAATGTTTCCACCTTCTGTTAATTGGGAAAATATCAATTGGTCTACCAGGAAGCCACAAATGGATTTCCCCGTCCAGGTATATGCTTGGTTTCTGTGTGTGTGTGTGTGTGTGGTGCCTGCGGGGGGGTTGGGGGAGGGAAGTGGTGGTGGTAGGATATGCAATGCTTCTCCCTGTAGTCTCTTTGTGAGTATAGAAAGTCTTGTTCTGATATCCAAAATGTGAAAAGGGATGTTACTTTGAACTTGGGACTGGAAATTTTATTTATTTATTTATTTATTTGTTTTGGCCTTTTTTATTTTTATTTTTTTATTGATCTAAATTTAGAAACTAATGCAAATAACAAACTTCAATCTAACAAATAATCAATTTTTTATTTTGTTATAGCCCCCAAGTGTTTTTCCAATGTTTTATAGGCCATTGTTTTGCATGAAATATTCCAGGGCAATAAAAGTGGCAGCGATGCCTCCATTCAGTTTGCAATGCTTTTAGGCTTTGTGCATTTGGTTTGGTCTGTTTCTTTTTATTTACCGTAGGCTTAGCACTGGGGAACTCTAGGAACAGCAAAGCTGTTTAGATACAAATTGCAGTAAATCTTCAAGAAGTTTATGTTGCCGGAGGCAATAAGTTATTGACTAATAATTTAAGGAATTGCTTTTCAGTGTGTTATATGTTCCCTAGAAGATGAGAACGTGGTAAAGCATGGAAAGGTCAGTATATTTGCAATTACAGGTTCTGATAATTTTGTATATATGATATATGTATAATATATTTGTTATTCTTTGCATTTTTACCTACATATAATTTTTTTTTTTGGTTCACATGCATATAATATATAAACATATAAATATAAATTTCTTAATCTGTTACATATCACAAGTGACTGGAATATAAGCATCTTTATAGTAGCCTTTCCCACCATACCATAAATTATCTTGTGGTGATCAATGTCACTGAATTCTCCAAATCTTAATTGCAAATTTAGCCAATTGTTTGTTGATCCAATTTCCTATAGTTCGTTTACACATGAAGATGACATATGGTGCCTTTACCCGTTGAAAATTTGTCATTATATTTGCAGCAATTTCCATCGTTTTTTCAGTCACAAGTTTTTAATAGGAACTTATAAAAATGAGTCCTGGTGGGCCACACTGTGGCGTTGTAGGCCGAAATACATCTGAGTTCGAATCTTCTATCGTACACAGCATGGTGCTTTAGCGTATTGAACAACTTATTTCGAGATGTCAACACATTATTTCGAGGCTTGATTTAATGTGATTTGTTGATGTCTCGAAATATTGTATTGATGTCAACAACTTATTTCGAAAGTAAACACATAATTGAACTGCGAAATAATGGGTTAACGTCTGGTTTTATTGTGTTGTTGGTGTCTACAGCACACCAAAAGGCATACAATAGACGATTCGGACTCAAAACACCTACACATTAAGTTTATAAATTACTTATTTTGTTGTTGTTGCTGCAAAGATAACTATCAAAGGATATGCTGTGTCTGGAGGTGGGCGTGGAATTGAGAGAGTAGATGTATCCATTAATGGCGGCAAAACCTGGGTGGAAGCCTCCAGATACCAGAAGACTGGCGCTCCCTACATTGCTGATATAGATAGTGACAAATGGGCGTGGGTATTCTTTGAGGCCATGGCCGAAATTCCACATGGTGCTGAGATAGTTGCTAAAGCGGTATGTCATATTTGTTCTTTTTCCTCATCAGAGCATGATCTCAAATTACATGGGTTATAGACAGTTAGTGACGTTTTGGCTGGATTTAAGTGAACATAGATCGCAGCTAAATAAAGTTTAACCTGAATCGAACCCAATTTGTGAGTGAATTATAGGACGGCAACCTTTCCTTGATCCAAATATCTAGTCACTAGCCACCAGCATGACCTAGAACAGAAGTTTTCTTGAATATAAACATAGATTTTTTTTATTTATTATTGTCCGAAATTTAATTATGGAGTTGGTGGCAGCTGAATGTACTCTGGTTAATTTTCGGATTTGTCAATTTAATATTTTTGTATATGAATTATACAATAAAATCATATGCATAAAGTTTTATGGGGAATAAACTGCATGACTTTTCAAAAAATAAATAAATAAATAAATAAACTGCATTCATCCCCTCCAAATCTGCATGTTGCATTTCTTTGTTCATGATTTGCCTTGTGATTCTGCATTGGTCAGGTGGATTCTGCTGCAAACGTACAACCTGAAAATGTGGAAACCATTTGGAATTTGAGAGGGATACTGAACACTTCGTGGCATCGAGTTCATGTTCGAGTTGGTCACTCGAACATGTAAGCTATCTACAGGACTCAGCTGCAGAATGGTCAGTCCGAGCTTTGATATGTGAAATGATTTTTGTTTTGCACGTGCTAAAATTGTCGTTCGAAATAATGATGACTGTTTGTTTTGTTGATCTTGTTATCAATAGTCTTTCATGTAAGCCTTTTTTTTTTAAAAAAAAAAAAAAAAAAAGTTAAATTTTATGTACTTTGTTTTAGTTTTATTAATATTCTGACCTTTTGCTTCTAAAATTTTCCTCCATGATTTTTAACTTTGTTGTTAATATTTCCTTGGGAGTGTATCTAATAAAACTATGTCATCTACAAACAACATACATCATAACATGTTTTTTAAGATTTCATATTTATTCCATCTAACACTATTGTAAATTGGTACGGACTTAATTGATCCGGAGTGTAATCCTACTTTTATGGAGCATTTATTAATTTTTTTCACATGTATTTGGAATTTTAGTCAATGTCTCATTACATATTCTAAATAAAATTTATAAGTTTTATAAAGACTCAAAATAAAATAATCTTCTTTTGTTTTTTACCAAGCACGCTTGCACTATCATTATTTTTATTTTATTTTATTTTTTTTTCTCCTCATAAATAATGTATTTGATCTCCTCTTCTCTTTCTTCATTATCCAAACGTACCATTGAACAAAGTATGAATCCTTGAGATTTCATCAAGCTTCTGTTTGCGAAAATGGAAGATTCTCCATATCTATGCACTACTAATTCATACACGTGGTGTGGACGCACGACACTACTTAGAAAGAATTATGACAATTTATCTTGCAGGGTGGTTATCCGTTCTGTCCCGTTTAAACCAGTTTTAGGGTACTGTATAAGAGATTTGGACGATTTTTTTTTTTTTTGGGGAGAGGGAGGGAACCGTCCTAACCCCGTTTAGATTTAATCTTACTAACCTATTCTCATGTAGTGTATGTGTAAAATAGTAAAAATTAACCATGGTGAAATATTTGTAATTTGAATTTTACGCTAAACTACTATTAATATTGCTTTTTGTGTAGATGATAATATGCTTGCATAATTGTGTTTGAAAAAAATAAATAAATAGAAATAAAAATAAATAAATAAAAATTTGGGAGTAAACGGGGATGGGGTGAGTACCCGTGATGCGCAAAAACATAAACGGTAAGCGCAATGAAGTGACGGGACACGCGTTTAGGCGATTTTAAGTGGAACTAAGGTGAGATAATTTAAACAAACGGGATAAGCACCTTGTTGCAGGCCACCTATATTATTAATAAAGTGACCAGCGGAGGTGGGTTATATATTTGGGGCCATTTCAAGTTTTGGCACTTCTCTGATTGGTGGTTTGTTAATAGTAAAAGTGTGCTACTACAACCACAAATAAAAATGATTGGTGATCGACACATGTTGATTCACCGACAGAAAACGTTCTCACCTCTCCCTACCTTTATCTCTCTAAATTAGCCTTCGTTTTTTTTCTTCTGCACTCCCTTTGGTGGGAGTGGGGAATTGCTAGCTTGTCTCCCACGGTAATAATAAATTCGAATTCGGTGTGTTTAAATAAGTGCATTCCGTGAGTATTTTTTATTTCATTTTTTGTTTTTGTTCCGCTAGATCTGCTCATGTTTATAATGCTTTCCATTTATCTGGACAAATTTGTTATTTTTCTCCAGTTAGATCTCTGATCTAGGACGGTTTGGGTTTTTCCCACCTAAATTTGATCTTTTTTTCCTTAATTGGATTTTGTGCGGGGTTTTGTGTGTCGAAACGGCCTTGTGGTTGTAATTTTGGAACGGCCTTGTAGTTATAGTTTTGGAGCGGCTGTGCTGATAGCCAGACCTTTCAGTTTGCTGCGTTCTCCCATAGTGATTTCATTTGCAGAGTGTTAGCTCCGTTTCTTCCATAAATCTAGAATATATTCTTAATTTATTTGTTTTACTTCAAGATTTATATGTCTTTTTTAACTTGACTTTATACCTCCGTACTGCCATCTTAATTATAGGACTTTGTGCCTTTGAATGAAAAAAAATAATAATAATAAAAAATAAAAATAAAAAAAACCCACAAATAGGGAATATATCCGGGTCATCGCAAATTTGCAATTCAATCACACCACTTTCTATCACCATAAAGCAAAACCAATATATCTGGGGTGTGTGTGTGAGAGAGAGAGTATGCGGTAGGTCGTTTCTTTGGTTATCACTATTCATATAAGCTGTTTCCTGGAAATTGTGAGTTTGTGACCAACCATGTGAAGATTTGGTAGCTTATAAATTATACTAATAAATACGCTAGTTCCTGATAAGTTCGCACGACTGAAGGAAACAAAATTCCATTTATAGTTATAACATATATATATAAACATATTGTTTCATCACTTTTGTTTAATAGATTAGGTGGACTATAAATTGTAGCAAAATGAGGATCATTTGTAAAGTAAATTCTTTATATAATTTGGATCTAAGTGATATAATTCTTCTCAATAAGTGTCGCTTTATTACGTTCGGAACGTTCTCGCTCTAACTCTCGAATTCGCTTTCACTCTCGCTTTATGTGACTTAAATTTGTATTAAACATTTATATTCTTTGTAACTAAAAAATTTTTTGCTTTTCATTTTCCATTTTTCCCCTTGCCGGAAACCCAAAAAAAAATAATATTTAATAATTTGAAGCAATTTAAAATAAAAGCGTTTTTAATAGTAGTAACAAATTCATGCCTTTTTTAGTTATGATTGAGCCAATTGGACATCTAAAAATCCGAATCCCCTTGTGTGAAGGGGATTCTGTGCCTAGGTTCTGCTGGAATATTACTAGTGCGAACACATGCAAATACATGAAAAAATTATTATTCTGTGTAACATAATTGTTGTATGATTGATGTAAATTATTATATGAGTAGGAAATGCGACCAAGCATGAAATGACATAGGAGCGGATCCATTGAGAAGGAATCTAAATCAAAACCCATAGACGCATGTTCTTCTTATTATTGAACTCCTACCCCACAGACGTCTAAATATCTAGTCTACCATATCCACCATTCACATTCACACCAATTGGGACATGTTCACAATGCACTCCCTAGAGCTTCTTTTGCTTTTGCTGTGCTTACTTCTTTACCTACTGTATCTAATTCTATGCGAGTTCCGGCTATCTCGTAAGTTTTCCGGCCACGGCCCACCAACATACCCCATCATCGGATGCCTAGTCTCCTTCTGCAAGAATCGCCACCGTCTGCTGGACTGGTACACCGATCTCCTCTCCGAATCAGCAACCCAGACAATCATGATACGCCGGTTGGGAGCTGGTCGGGTCATCGTCACAGCCAACCCCGAAAACGTCGAATACATGCTCACCACAAACTTCAACAACTTCCCCAAAGGGAAGGCCTTCACGGAAGTTCTCGGTGACTATCTCGGCTGCGGCATCTTCAATGTGGACGGAGAGCTTTGGCACACCCAGCGCAAGTTAGTCAGCCAAGATTTCAGTGCTACGTCTTTACGTGAATATGTGGTGAATACATTGCAAGAAGAGGTGCAAAACAAGCTGTTGCCGGTGCTAGGATCGTTGGCGGCGGAGACGGACAAGGTGGTGGACTTGCAAGAGCTGCTGCGGAGACTAACATTCGATATTGTTTGTAAAGTCTCGTTAGGGATTGATCCTTGTTGCCTAGATCCATTTCTATCAGTTTCATCACTCGCCAGAGCTTTCGACGTGGCCTCGGATATATCTGCCAAGCGAGCAGCAGCTCCTGTTTACGCGACGTGGAAGGTAAAGAGAATGCTCGGAGTTGGATCGGAGAGAAGACTTAAAGAAGCCATTGAAGAAATTCATGCATTTGTGATGAAGATAATTTTCGAGAAGAAAAAGAAGATCAATGCAGGAGGAGGGAGTACTCTCTGTGAAGAAGATCTTCTGTCCCGGATGATATTAGCCGGCCACGATGAGGAGGTGATAAGAGACATGACGATAAGCTTCGTCATGGCGGGAAGGGACACTACCTCGGCGGCAATGACTTGGCTCTTCTGGTTGCTTTCGCGTAACCCTAATGTAGAACAAGAGGTGATTGAAGAGCTAGGGTTTGTGAAGGATGAGAGTTTATCAAATTATGAAGAACTGAAGAGCATGACATTGTTGAAAGCGTGCCTTTGCGAATCCATGAGGCTCTACCCACCGGTTGCATGGGACTCGAAGCACGCCGACACAGACGACTTGTTGCCTGACGGTACACCAGTCCGAGCCGGAGATAGGGTGACTTACTTCCCTTACGGAATGGGGAGAATGAAGGAGCTGTGGGGTGATGACCGGTTCGAGTTTAAACCGGAAAGATGGATTCTCAAACCGGACAGAGAGGGAAGGAGAGCATTAAAAAAGGTATGTCCATACAATTTTCCCATTTTTCAAGCCGGTCCAAGAGTATGCCTTGGAAAAGAACTGGCTTTCACTCAAATGACATACGTTGTAGCTTCAATACTTAATCGGTTCAAGATTAGACCGGCCGGTTCGCATCAGCCAGTGTTTGTGCCACTCTTGACTGCTCACATGGCCGGTGGTTTCCAGGTTTTTGTCCACAAGAGACAAACCTGTGGAAGGTAGCTAGCTAGCCAGACAAATGCATAAAATTATTGCGAGTCAACCCTTCTGAACCATTTCTGTTGGACGGTGCATATGTTTCCATTATTCCATATTTTAATTGGGATTATTAAAGTTGTTCTAAGTTTTTTATTTTTATTTTTGAAAGATAAAATTGTCCAAAGTTCTTTGCCCAAAAGAGATCTAAGACTTGAATGGTTTGAGACTGACACAAGTAATTACCTCAGTTATGGTCTTGTATTCCAGCTCACGTGCTTGGACACCTGTTAGTTTTTTTTTAATCACGTGCTTGATCAGCTACATAAATTTTATTTTTCTATTTTTTTATAGAATTTATGTTCAATAATGATAGTGGCAAAATTTCCTTTAGCCGAAGTGAATTGACATAAGGTTAAGAAAAATAAGGAAATTTTTTTATTTTTCTCCCGTTTATGTTTCATAGATCGTGGGGGATTTTTAGTCCTTATCGGCCTTTTTTAGTATTTTTTTTATATCATCGCAATTAGGAATAGAGAATCTATTATCAAAAAACGGCCTAACTGTTGGAATAATGGTATACATTGTTATTTGATACATTGGGGTCAGTAACATCAATAAATTGGGTGAAGGTGCAGGAAGAGGGAATTTGAACCCTCGGTAAACAAAAGTCTACATAGCAGTTATAACGTTACACCTTGAACCACTCGGTTATCTCTCCTCCGTAATAATTATGACCTAGGAATGAATAGTGAGGGCGGTCAAACTACTTAACATAATTATGCTCTTTTATTCCAACTTAAAACTTTATGTAAAAAATACAGATGAAGTTAAAAAGAGGATGGAATTAAATCACAAAAATTGATTACTCTTCTACTAAAACTTGCATTTGAATGTTTATCAACAAAGGTTTGTAAACTAACATGTAATATCAATTATTATTATTATTCAATTATTTGCCAAAGCTTTCTAAGCAGGGGTCTATTTTTATGGTCAACTATACCCTCTCACATGCAATCTACATGTGCACTTAGAGTTCTTGAACTTAGATTACACGTGCGTGTGTTTATGACAATAATTTCACATGTAACCTTCCGATAAATAAGGACGAATTTATATACATTTATTTCGATAAGTACTAAATAAGAAGGAATATGTTCTCCAATAGAGACCCATGATCGGCAAGAATAATTCACATTCGTTTAGTTTTATAGAAAACTAAGACTGCAAGACCTGAAAAAGATAATCAATGTCTAAGTCTTCTAAAACCAACTAATAAAAAATTAACACATTCATCATTAAATATTCTCTTCCGAAATTAAACAGAATTGAATGACCTCATTAAAAAATGCACATCACCACGTGAAACACCCAGACCAAACAAATGGTAGTCATCTTTAATATTGCCGCATCTTTCAGATTATTATCCTAAACTTTCTTGGCAACTTGACACGACACTAATGCATTTAGAATAAATGAACGATGTAAAAGTAACATTTCAGTTTCACGTAGTCAAACAAATGAAAAAAAAAAATTTGATTATATACTTATGCTCTGCTGGATTGCATCAAATTCCATGCAATCGAGCATAGCATAAGTATATTCAATTAAAGACAACTCAGTCAGTGTCAAATTAAATCAGGCTGTCAAGCATGAAAATACTAGCTCATTTTGGTGTATTTAAAGCCAAAGGTTTATATGTGAAAGGAACATCAAGTTTAAAGTCTCGGGTTCAGTACTTGCAGAGGAATGGAGCTCGATTGCGGTTCGTCCAAGGCCACCCCCTCGTCTGCCTGACTAAATGATTGGGGTGATCTTCACAGCAAGTATCACTCCCAAATCTCACCGATGGACTGTAGTGATTGCCAAAGCTAACTGCAAAATGCAGTTCCAAAGGCTGTTTTTGTTTGCTCCAAGATGGTGTTTGGTGTAGAAGTAGTCAAGAATTTGTTCATTGGGTTGGGCTGTAGTTTGGGCTCTTGTGATGGGTGTTTCTTCTATTGGCTGCCTGGTTGTTGGGCTGCTGGGCCTATGGCCTTGTAAATCTTTATAAATATATATAATTTGCTTAAATTTTCGAAAAAAAAAAAAAAAACAATACCACATGCCATTCAAAAAAACAAAACAGAACAAAGAAAACCACAACATTCAACTTTTCCCATCTTGTATTCTATGTGGCAAGCGAATTTGTAATTGAGTACATACAAGTCTAATTTGTGGGCTTTTAAACCAAAGAAAAGATAACTGCACTTCTTATTCCTGAAAGTTTATGCACAAGGAAGAAGTTTACAGCTTTGGGAACACACTAACAACATGATTCTAACATCGATCAGCAAGTCAATGTTTATTGATTGATCTTCCAAACGATTACAACTTGCGATAATTTGTCATCTATTTTCGTTCTTCACTAACCAAACAGACCTCTAGAGCGACAAGCTTCCAAATTTTTGGTTCCACTCCTCATATGCACCGATTTCATCCAAAGATACAGAGGGACTCACCTCTAGAAACGCACTCTCAAAGTCCTGCATAAAAAATTCAAGGAATCATAAATCATAAAAATAAACTAACAACTTGAATTGTCTTCATACCATACTAAACTTCATTGCATGTGGCTCTAGGTGTTCTTTTTCACATGTGTGCTTGGTATTACCTCTAGATTTACTGGCCTCATATCCTCCTGTTTCAGCTTTGTAATTTCTATGCCCTGTTTCAAGGCCTCTCTTAGTGGACCCATGGATGCATCCTTCACTAAATTTTTCATATCTGATCCTGAATACCCTGGAACAAATGGGGAAAAGATTTGAAAAAATTTAAAAAGATTGCCTAAAAGCAGCCAATGAAGTCTTGGTTAGAAAAAAAAATGGTTTCGCTATGAACTGTATAAAGCAGATACCTTCAGTTAACTCGCATATCTTATCAATATCCTCCTTTGAAAGCTTAAATAACACATCCTTCTCTAAGAGATTGTGGATGATCCAGGCCCTCGCATCTTCAGCTCCAAATACAAATGGTTAACTATAGTGTACACATACATTCTTATTTGATAAAAGGCACAGCATCTAGGTGGGTTTAAATTGTACCTGAAGAAGGGAGGGGAATGTATAGTCGCTTAGTCAGTCGCCTTCGTGCTGCCTCGTCAAGGTCCTGGGGTCTATTTGTTGCTCCTGGTTCATGAGCCAATGTGTTATACGAGTGTAAAATCTGCTGTATTTATTCTTTGAAGTCTCATCATTTAGGATATCATCCACTACATGGTTTGTAAAAATTCAGTAGTCACCTATAAGCAGAATTTGCTCACTCCCACTATCAAAGCCTTCCATTTCAGTAAGAAATTGGGTCTTGAATCGTCTATATGCGTCATGTTCACCTGATTTGCGCTGCAACCATACAGAAGTTCTCAGAAAAGTGAACAATAGTCTTAAAGAAAACCAGATGTAGTCTAATAGACCACACAAATGGTCCTCCGGATGTATATTGTAATGTATTATGTCAGTATAAACCGCGCATGGTAAATTTAACCTCGAAGTTGGTGACAAGATCAATATATGCTGTGATCGAACTTTTTTTGAATTTTTATACATAGAAGCAAATACAGGTGAATTTTTTATAGCAAATAGTAACCAGTCAATGTGAATTATGTGCTTGATAAATATGGAACTCAGCACAACATAGGTAGGGGCTAGGCCATGCCTCATAACTTGATGTTTCGTTGTTAGTTCAAAGGTCAGAATCTAACATACCTTAGACAAAAGCGAATCTATTTCATCAACGAAGATGACAGCCGGCTGACGACAACAGGCAACTCCAAAAAGTGCTCTCACTAGCTTTTCACTCTCACCGAACTACAATCACCAATTAACATTTAATTACCTGAATATATATATATATATATTCTACCAAGATGCAAGTACAACAGGCAAACTTTGTCTACATTCCCATATACAATATTAGACTTATATTTCTGGTACAAGAGGGAGGTGGACCATAATGAGAAGAAATGTTTCCAATAAAATCGAATAAAACATGGCACACCTATTCACAGGAATAAAATGTAGTGACAACTATTAGTATTCTATGAGATTGTGCAAGACAGGAGAGAATGGGAACATTCACAATTTGACAATTATTTGGTCCCAGAATTTGTAATTTCGGGATCATTGAGAATGATGCCATGATAATTTCAATTAATTTTTCCAAAAAAGAAAATAAAAAAATTTAGCCACAGAGACAAAACTAAGATAGCAGAAATGACAAATACCCATTTGCTGGCTAACGAACTGGAAGATATGTAGAAAAAGGTTGCTTTAGCCTCTCCGGCTATGGCTTTCCCTATCATTGTTTTACCCGTTCCCTGAGACATGAGAAAAAAATGAATGAACAACAAAATGGTAAGTAATCCTTTTTATCTCTCATTTGTAGGGGCAACATATACTTACTGGGGGACCAAACAGAAGAAGACCTTTTCCCGGAGAACGGCAACCTTTAAAAATGTCAGGACGTAATAAAGGCCATATAACCATCTCCGTCACACTTTTTTTAGCATGCTCCAAACCAGCTAGAGAGTGGACAGGCAAAAAACATATGATTAAAACAAAATGTCCAAATATATAAACTTACTACGAGAATCTGAAAATGGGAAAAGTCTGCAGCATCTTATGTTACCAATATCATCCCAGCGAACGTTGGGATCCCGCTCCATTATCTCATTAGTGACTTGTTCAATATGATGAGGTTCTAAATTCCGTAATTTCTCAGGAATCTCGCCCTTAGGACCACATAACGTTTCCAAACTAAAACAAAAAAATAGTGAATGTATTAGAATAAGCTTGCATAACACTCGCGGTTAACCATCATTACCCAGAGAGAGAGATTCTTAAATGGTTGGAGCCACTTTCAGATACCAATTATTAGAGAAATCACAAAGCTTATGAGAAAAAAGAACTCTTGAGGGAAAACAACGATGCATTTAAACTAAATTTCTAATACAATGAAAACAAGTTTATATAAACTAACCATCTCTTTGTTGAGTCATCTAATGTATTGTAATCCGTCCCTCCAACAAAAGAAGTCTTATTATCACGGATGCCAGGTTGTTGGACCCCTTTTGATCTTAAACCATATCCTCTGTTCCTTGCAACCCTTTCCTATAACATGGAAGAGATATGCTAATCAACATTGCTAAGAATATAGAAATGTAATTTTCTTAAAAACTTCAAATAAAAGGTTGTTATAGTTAATATAAAAAATATTCCCAGGTATGGGGTACTTAACTTATGATGAAGAGTATATACAAGCATTATTCTATCACAATGGGGGAAGGAGGGGAACGTACTTTGTAATTTGTTTTTTTTGTGTGTGTGTGTTGTTAAATACTCGAAGCCATCTTCCAGAAACATTAAAAAGAAAAAAAGAAAATCACCTGCATGTCACTGTCTAATTTCACTATTCTTGATTTGAGGTGAGGGGAAACATGTTCACAAAAACTTTACAAACTTATTTCAAATCCAAATTATAAAACAAATCTAGTGAAGGTTCATGACAGCGTTCTTTCGTAATATCAAGTTAGAAAACTGAAGATTATCTAGGCATCTAACTATTTCTGCGAGCAAAATACTTTTTCCAAAGTTCTTTTGATTAGTCATGATAATTAGATCATACTGGAAATTTTATTAATGGTAATCAATCTCCACACAACATAATCCAATAACAGTGGAAGATTAGTATCCCTTGGGCATACTTCACTAAGGATGCTTTAGATTGTATGAAGAACATGTATAACTTTGTTATTTTGAGTAAAAGAACGCTTACATGAACAGAAAACATTCCTGTGTTTGATGATTGTAGCGTACTAAAAAAAAAACAGAGGAAATGGTTTTGAGAAGTAGATAATATACCAATTTTGCTCGGGCAGTTGCAGAGCCATTCCCATCAACTTTTGAGGTCTTGTCCTTCCTGTTCGGTTGGTTTTCCTGAAGCCAAATGGTGCTCTTCATCAGTTCTATAATTTTGATAAACGACTAAGTATTCGGATGATCATGGAATCTAAAATTACAAAAAAAAATGTCCACTCTTAAAAGGCTTCAAAGAATTAGTCCACTCACACTTCTCACATTCTTTTAAAGAGAATGTACTGAAGGTTAAGCTTATTACAACCAGACTAACGAGGACGTTAGAGAAATGATAATAAGAGAATGTTGCACTTTGAAAAATATAATCAAGGATGTGAAGGAGAAAATTTCAATTTTTAGCACATCATACCAATGTTGTTCTTTTAGATTTTTGTGAGTCCTTTGACTGCTTAATCTCGTCAATGTCAATATATCCTGTATCTTTGTCTGCTTGCGCAAATGCTTGGCTGAAATATCCATATATATAAATACATATAAAAAAAACTGTAAAAAATAAGGTATTACAAAGAAATAAAGCAGCAAATGAATACATAAACATATGCAAAAGAATGGTTTTTTTTTTTTTTCCTTCTTTTGGTAAGTAGGATGAAGAGCAACAAAAACCTAAAAATATATATTAAAAAAATAAATAAAATCTAATAGTATAAGGAAACCTATCAGCATAAGAAAACTATAAAAGTAACCGCCTAGCATTAATGATTAAACTTTCTCTAAAAACTAAGAAAAAAACAAAACAAGACACCTATTGACTAAAAAAAAATACCAACTATTGGGGGAAAAGTTGATAAAACAGAATTTCATACCATTTACTTGATCTTACTAATTCAAGTTGCTTGAGGTTTTTTGCCCGTTTATCTTCCCTTTCCTTCGTCTCCCTCCGATAATCTTCCTCATACTCACTTTTAATTCCCTTAGCTAAGTCTTCGTCACTTTTAATTCCCTTAACTTCTATGTCTTCGTCGCGCAACCTTTTATTATTAGGGTTTTGATTTGGACCCAACATGATCGCAGCTTGAATATCTGCCAGTGCTTGCTTTGTTTCACGTTGGAAATTAGCTTGAATATCTTGCAGTGCTTGCTTTGTTTCACGTTGGAAGTTATCAAATTTCACCTTTGAAAGAGCTTCTCCATGTCGATCTTTCCCGCCAGTGGGGTTGCCGCCGCCACCTTCGTCCGCCATCAATTCAACCGTGCTGATACAACTGACCGAGCTGAAGCTATGAACGCAACTTTGAATCCGAGAAAAATTGAAGCAGAAGCAATTTGATATATAATTGATAATTAAATAAAGATATATACTCTAACTTGCCATCCATGCATATTTATAATAGAGAAATCTAACACAAAAAGAAAACTAACAAATAAGGAAACCTAATAACATAAGGAATACTAATAGGTGAAGAAGCGTCAAATCTAGGTTTTAAGAAGTAAAACAAGGAATATAAAAGCATTTGAATCCATATTGAAAATAATAATAATAAATAAGTGAAAAATATACTTCGGTTCCATAAAATAAATTCTCACATCAATTAAAGTAATGCATGCAAAAATATGCTATAATCGATAAGTGTGTGTGAGTGTGTATTTAATATGATATGATGCCAAATGAGTAGGTTAGAATATGAATCAAAAAAATACCATAGTTGAAACAAATGGACGTCGACAGCAGGGTTCGAACCTGCGCGGGCGTAACCCAACAGATTTCAAGTCTGTCTCCTTAACCACTCGGACATATCGACACCGTGTTCTTCCGCTTTATAGAAGCCAATGTTAACTAAATGTGGGTTGGCTAAAAAGGATGCATTAAACAAATTCTAATTGTTAGCAAGAGAACCTGTTCCTGTATCATTTCTCCTTTCAGTTGTGGGTGTCCGTCTTTCTGACTAATAAAAATAAAAATAGCATTGGTTTTACATACTATAAAGTATTCAACCATGGCCACTTCACTTATTTTAATGGGTCTGGAAAGTCCCACCATATAGTTGCATCAATAACTCTGTCTTTGAAGAGAGAGAGAGAAAAAATAAAAAATAATAGCCTGAGACTGAATTTTTTTATTTATTTTTTTTATTTTGACACCAAACAAAAAATCATATCATTTAAGAGGAGGAAGGATACATTCGGAGCTGAGAGCGCCTAAAAGCCAATTGAGCTAGACTCTCCACTCGAAATCAAAACATTCAGTTACAAGAGCCTTTTTGCTCAACAAGTGAGCTACAACATTACCTTGGCGAGACACCCAAGCCAAGAAAGAACCATTGCACAAGTTAAGGAGAGAGCATACATCGATAAATAAAACATACATTGCCTCAGCATTGGCTTGGAGGTGCATAACAGGCTGATAATCCCCTTCCACTATGACATTGTGGTATCCCGAAAGTCGGAGAAGAGACATGCATTCCCTAAAAATTAATCCTTCTGCAATAGATGGGCTCCTAACATTTGAGAGGAAGAATGAGGAAACTTTAATAGGTTGCCCAAAGTGGTCACGCAAAATCAACCCCCCATCACATGATTTCCTTGATGAATTGAAAGCTGCGTCGAATTTCAATTTGAGGGATCCCTCTTCTGGAGCACACCATCACGGTGGGGGAGAAATAACAGGAGGAAGAGGGAACGAAAACAACTGAGATTGCCTAGAAATCTCCTGAAACTCATGAAAATCTTGTAGAGCTTTGTGGGCTACCTCAAAAGGAGTCCATTTTTTTTTGTTTGAAAACGAGATCGTTTCGGCTCTTCCATATAGGCCCAACAAATAAACGCAGCAAGATTAAGCAGCCTTTGGATACTTGGACTTAGACCAAGATTCAAACATCTCAAACTGCCTTTTAGGCCAAAAGGATGGAGTTGTGCCACGAAAATCCATCCGCAAAGGACTATGAATCCACACCATACTGGCATAGGGACATGAACAAATGAGGTGGTCAATGGACTCCACAAATGACTCACAAAATGGGTAGGAGGACACCTTAGTTACCCCCCGGACTGACAGGAGTAAGTTCACTGGCAAACGATCATGAAGACTCGGAACATGTAATGACTATACCTTGCCCCACATGCTACACCTAACTACATCAAAGCTGCTACCTTCAGCCGTTGCCGAACATGGCTTCCAATCCAGAACAGAGAGAGCCACCTTATGTGCGCTTTTAACAGAAAATGAACCATCAGAATATGCCCCCCAAACTTCATGATCAACATCTCCCATCGAACTAATTGGAATTTGCAAAATTAAATCAGGATCTCTCTTGGTAAACCACTGATGCACCAACCTTGTGTTCATGTATAAGTGGACTGGAGAATTAAATCTGCAACCGACGAAAACGGAGCACCCATGGGAATTGAAGTTACTGAAAACTGTAATGGGCTAGGTAGCCAATTATCGAACCAACAATTGATCTTCGATCCATCCTTACACGAATTGAAATTCTACAAAAGCATTTTGCATTCAATTAATGCATATTATGCAAAAATGATATACTTAATTTTTTAAATGATTATTTGAATTCAAAATTTGCAAATTATTCCAGAGTTCAAAATGATTAACTGAAAAGTTATTCGTTAAAAAATAAAATAAAATAAAATAAAATAAAACTATTATATGACCACATGCTTTGGTCTAAGAGGTTTAAGTTAAACACTCTCTCAACGTTTAACCACTGTTTTGTCATATAATTAAAAGTTAATTTACGCACAAAAGCTATGGTCGATCTATGTCAGTTTTACTACATTCCCGTCTTCAGGTTCTTGTTTAGTTTATACTAGGTAAAAACAATTCACAAACAGATCATAGAATATAGGGTCAAGTGCAAAAAACACCCCTCAAGTATGCATATAGTGCATATCACATCCTCCCGTGCAAAAAACATCCTTCAAGTTTTAATTTGGTGCAATTAGGTCTCCCTCACACATTTAAAACTTAAATTGACCAAAATACCCGTACTAAAGCATTTTATTAAATATATAAAAATAATTTTTTTATAAAAAGACCAAAAAGGACACACTAAAGCAGTGACGTCGTTTTGCAAGCAGCACACCCATTTTCATTAAAACATTAAATCATTCCATTTTCCATTCATTTGCATCATCATGGCCTTGCGTTCTTGAGAGAGAGACCACAAGCCCTAGCGAATGGGACGAATAAAGGCGTCATCAATGTCGGTGTGAGAATGGGAGTCGAGGAAGCCGACGAGACAGAGGGCGAGGATTTGGGCGGAGTTGAAATATCCTATTCGGAAAGCAATATCGGCTCCGAACAGGTGCAATTGAAGGCACTTGAGGTTCGTATCGACTTCTTTTCTCCAACATACCTCCGTATCTTCTTCCATCTTCTCCGATTCCGGTGTAGTCTTGGAGATGATGAAGCTCGTTGTGTGTCTTCTTTTGCCGCCATTTTTTTTTGCTTGTTAATATGAATGGAGTAATTAAACACACTTTGTTCTATTTCTCGTGTTAATCCCCATTGTTTGCCAATTTAGAAGACCACCAATTCATATCCTATGAAGCACTACCTCGGACAAGTGTTAAATACGGTTAAAAGTATCGTAAATAGTAAATATATTTTTTTTCTAACAGGAGAATAATATATTTTGGACACTTTTAAAATGGTTATTTTATATTTATTTAAAAAAAAAATTTGAAATTCAATACAATCTAAAATATATTATGTGTTAATTAAAAAATAATATAAAATTTAAGAAAACAAAAATTCCAAATTAGTGATTTATTTATAATTATATGGATAAAATGGCAAAAAAATATACTTATATATAAATATATATTTATTATATTTTTTGATCTATTTTTTTGAAATTTTTTGTATTGCCATGTTCGTATCATATTGTACCTGTATATCATATTTGTATTCATATTTGTATCCGTACTTCATAGTTCATATCTCTATTATGGTTAGTTAGGGAGTAATCATGAGGTAAAATTTTTTGATCTATTTTTTTGAAATCTTTTATATTGCCATGTTCGTATTGTATTGTACCTGTTATTGTATTTGTATTCATATCTGTATCCATAATTCATAATTCATATCTCTATTGTGATTTTGCAAATTTTCATTTGTGAATTGTGTAAAATTTGTTTTCAAATTACTTTATTAGAAAAGGTAAATTCATATAAACTTTTTCTTTTTCTTTTTTTTTTTTTTTTGATAAATTGAAGGAAAATATAAGTAGAGTTAATGAGAAAAGAAAAATTAAAAAATGACCTGTGTTGACTGAAAAGAAAATATGGCGGAAAAAAAATGCACTGGTATCTCAAAACTTACACAGGTGGTCTAATGGATGATTGTTACAAGGGGGATTTGTCCCACACCGGATTTGGTAGGTATAAATAGGAAGTTGGGTGTTAGTCCTACCTAATAGTTTAAAATTTTGGGTTAGATTCGCGAAGCACCAAACCCATTACAGTTGGTATCAAAGCAAAACTCAGTTTTTGATCCGGTGTCACACCAAGCGCCCAGCCCGAAGGTGTCCGAGTGTGTCACCCCGAATAAGCAAGGTGGCCCGACCACAAAAAGTGCATTACGAGTTGAAGTGGGGAAGAACGTTACAAGGGGGACTTGTCCCACGTCGGATTCTGATGGTAAATGTAATAGGTATAAATGGGTTAGGTGTTAGACCCACCTAATAGCTTAAGGGTCCGTTTGGCATACATTTTGTTTTTAGCGTTTTGTTTTTGGCTAAAACAGAAACAATGTTTTTGTTGTAAGAGTGTTTTGGAAAAAATTCTAAAACACGTTTGGGGACTATATTTTGCTTTGGAAATGGGGGAAACAAAAACATGCAAAACATGTTTGGTCTCATAAATATATATATATATATATATATATATATATTAATTTTTGCAATAAATTATTAGGTAATAGCAGGCGATGGAAGCTTGAGAACGGCGAACCCGAACTGGAACAGCAGGTGATGGAAACTGAAAGATATGGGTTTTGATTTTTTGAACAATCTGAAATGATATGCCCATATGGGTTTTGATATAGGTAATAGGTTTTGATTATATAGGTAATAGGTTTTGATTCTTGCAAACAGATATGGGTTTTGAACTTATGATATATATGGGTTTTGAACTTCTGATTCTTGTAGATTTTGTAGTTTGCAATTGCAGAGAAAGAGAGAGGAGAGGAGACAGAGAGGGTAAGTTCAAATTTGAGAACGAGATAGAGAGAGGAGACAGAGAGGGCAAGTTCAGATTTGAGAACGAGAATAGAGATGGAGGTATAAGTGATAATAGGTGCAGACAGATAGATAAACTGAAATAAATGGGTTTTGAACTTCTGATTCTTGTAGATTTTGTAGCTTGCACTTGCAGAGACAGAGAGGGGGTAAGATCAGAGTAGAGAACGAGAATAGAGATGGAGGCGATTGGAAATGATTTGTGATCGCCCAAAATCGCCAAGAACAACTGCGCCAAACAAAACCCTAAAAAATGACATTTTGCCTTTTATACGTGTTATACTTGCTACAGTTTAATGAAAGAATTGTTTCCTCCGCTACAGTAATTTGTAGACCAAATAGTGCCGAAATATGAAAAAACACCAAAATGGTGTTTCATATTTTGGGCCTATTTGTGAAATTGTTTTGGAACTATTTAAAACACAACAAGCCCAGCCAAACATATTTTGGGCTTCAAAAGGACTACTGTAGCAGGCCAAAAACAAAACAAAACATATGCCAAACAGGCCCTAAGCTTTTAAGTCGGATCGCAAAGCATCCAACCCGTTACAGTTGGTATCAGAGTCAGACTCAGTTCTTGATTCGGTGTCACGCCAAGCACCCGAGTAAGCATAGTGACCTGACCGCAATGAGGACATTACGTGTTCGGGTGGGAGAATATGTTACAAGAGAAACTTGTCCCACTAACATCTCCTAAGGTTTTGGTAAATGTTACTCGAGTGGAGCATTTGAGATTTATTACAATGAACTCCCGTCAGCCCTTTTGCTTGTCAGAATTGTTAATCAAAATTTTTAAAATGGCAAAAATGCCCTTCCCTTGTATAAAAGAGAAGTAAAAAAAACCGAAAATCACATGGACTGAAATGCCCTTGACAGGGTTATATATCGTTAGAAGATGAAACCATCGCAAATGAAATCCAAATGAAACAAAATTGAAATCCAAATGAAACAAAATTTTCACTCTTTATATAGCCAATCCATTAAACCACTGCAATAGTTTTTTGTTTTTTACATCTTTGAATATAGCAGGTTTGTGAGTATATATATATATATATAATATTGCTATTATATGTGATAAGCGCACAAAATTTGTTATTTTATACTCAATGATAAATGATTAATTAATATTTTTATTAGATAAATATTCTTATAGGTGCTTTTCATGTTTTATAGGGGAGGATTTCCGAATAAGAAGAAAAAAAGACAAAAATAGTAAAAATGTGATATTACAAGATCAACAAAGATCAAACAACCAAATTAAATTGGAAAGCACAAGTTAAAGATATCAAGCAAGATTAAAAAGCATATAATTCGAAATTGGAAAGCAACAAGATTTTATTTTATTTTATTTTATTTTCACTTCTTTAATTAAAATTTTCTCCTTCCATTCTAAATTCTATAAATAGGGATATATGTAGAGGAGGTACGATGCACATTGTTAGTGAGAGAAAATAATAAAAGTTAGAGAATTTCTGTGTTAATTTATTTCTTATAATTTTATTCTTTTATGAAGAGTGTTTTTATTTCTTTATTTTATTTTCTTGTTAATATGCCAGCTTAAACACCCTTTCTTAAGGGAGTGATGAAGCCACATGGTTGAAATATAAATAGTTGTTTTTTTCATGTTATGTAAGTTTTTCTTTTAGAATATTATTTTACTCTTCTATTCTATGTTCTTATTTTGATTAAAAAATTAGAAGGATTCTTCATGTTTGCCAATTAATGGTAATTCGGAGAATGATCACGCTATTATTTTCCTTCATCTTGATTTGCTTACAATAAGAAAATTTACATTAAAAGAAATATACAAATTTATTTATAGTAAGCCGTGATGGTGGATTCTTTCCTTTGAGATTTTTTTTCCTGAAAAGAAAATTATTATTTAATCTTATTTATTTATTTATTTATTTTGTTTTAGTTCATTATAAAAAAATAAAAAAAATTCATCAAATTGTTTTAAAAGTGTTCCTTCTTTAAATTTTGGTTTTAATTTTGATTCACTAATTTAAATCTTGTATGGTTTGACCCTACTTATTTTATACCATCTTTAATTTAGATTTGAGAAGTATTTCATTATTTTTGCACGAAGTGTAAAAAAACAACTTCAGAATTAGTAATTCTACACTATTTCAATATGTTCCATTTGTGTGTGTATAAACATGTTCCTGCGATATCAACTTGTATTTTTATAAGTTAGCTTATTTAGTTCCCATGTCCTGTATTTGCAATAAGGATTTGTGCACCCCTGCCATTGTAAGAATAACTGATACAACTATTCTAAATAAAGTTTTCATCAACTGTCATTGCAAGAGTAACTGTGCAACTAATATCCAAAAAAAATTGGTAAAATACAAGTAATATCTACTGTCATTGCAATCTAACTTTTAAAAAATTTAACACACATAAGTCATTGCAAGAAAATAAATTTTTAATCCATACACAAGTCAAATTCAGTGATCAAATACACGTGTCATATCTAGTGATCACTTCAAATTTACCCTAACCCAACTGTACCAGCTACACTACAAGCCCAGAGAAGCAACCCAAAAAAAAAATTACATCAAATGTGCATCACTTAGAAGTTAAAAAAACCTGAAGCAAATAATACAGTGGTATTTCCATCAACTGTGCATCACTTGGTCTACCTGTTGAGAGCCTAGATAAACAAAAAATAGGGCGGGCATTCTTCATGAAAACAGATTGCATCTCGTGAAAAAAAAAAAAAAAAAAAAAAAAAAGAACTTGCATCCGTTGCACCAAAAAAGAAGTCAATCCCAATTACTCATACGTTTGCCCATTCTGTCAGCTGCAGGTTGAAAAAACAGAATCAGTTAATGCAATTTCTTAGTTCATAGGTGATCTCATCAAGCCAAAATAGCACTAACCAATCATTCATCAATTGTTAAGGCCTTTAATTTTGATAAGCTTTTTCGCGCATGATATGGAATTGCCTACTGAGTATCTTATATATACATAGATGTGTATCTTAGTTTGAGGATCAACCTTTTGAAGGGTTTGGCATATAGCAGTATGCATGGCTAACTGAAAAACTTTCATGAGCAATTAATGTATTGATGGCCTAATTGCCCTGAACTTGCCCTCGGGACCTCTTTTATTTAATGAAGGAATCAGCAGGAGTGACATGCATTTCTAATTCAGAAAATCAGACATACTACTGATCACTTCACAAGCAAAGATAAAGAACTGTTTAACAAAAGTTATGGGATGGTGGGTGTTTTTCTTTCAAGTGGGCATGGGATACGTGCAAATTTCAATGTCCTAATGTGCAGTGGGCTGACCTAGAAGGAGTGCTACTCAGCTTGCTAGGTCTGTATTCCTTGAAGTGGTTGAGGCTGCTAAGCTTAGTTTGGAAGACATTGGTTTTCTTTTCTAACTTGTTTTACATTCTTTGTTATTTGGGTAGGCATGTTTGCCCATAGCCTGTTGGCTTTGCTTCTTCAGAGGGTATGCCCACTTTGATGTTTGTACTCTGTTTGTTTTATTTTTAATAAATTAAACCCATTCAGAAAAAAATAATTAAATAAACATTAAACTAAATCAAATATTAAACTATGTTATTGAAGGATAAATGACTAACAGTGCACATACAACATAACCAGCAACAAAAACTAAACATTTTGCAGTTAAAATGACTAACTTAACATCCTTATTGCTAAAATCCCAAATTGGGGGTGTACCCTAAACCCTAATCATATCCTAATTGGACTAAAACCCAACTTAATTGAAGGATAGAAGCCTTAATTGACAAAATTTCCAAATTTAGTTCATCTCTAACCCTTAAAAAAAAAAAAAAAAATTCACCTCACCAAATTGAAATGAGGTTGAAATTTATACTCACAAACTCTATTATTCTTTCAATTCATTTTCTATAAAAAAAACTAGTCACAAAGTTTTTTCTATTAGTTACCAAATGGAATCGTAAGTCAAGCTCGGAGTGCTTAGTTATCATAAACAGTTCAGCTTTGACTCAATTAAAGTTCAAATTGAGCACATTTTTTGAACTCGTTTGACAAGTGACTCGAGCCTATACCTCATAAAGATGTTCATGAGATGGTGCTCTTGAATAAGCTTTGACGTGTACATGTCTTCCTCACGAAGGATTGTTTGGATTTATAGGTAATGTTTCTCCTTAACAATCTTAATCCCAAGTTTGACTCTTCAAGTAACTCAGAAATTTGACAAAGTAGCTGGAGGCGACAAGTTCAAGCTTATGAGCAATGTTCGAGCCCAGTTGATTTGGTTTGTTTGCAGTCCTAACGGAGATTGACCAACTTGTGTTGCGATTGATATGTCAAGCAGCTTGACACAGCGCAATATGTGTGTGTATATTATTACAAGAACAATCCATAACACTGTTTCTCGACATGATTAATCTTTGTTTTCAAGTTAGTTTGATCATGTCCAGTGCAATATTATCACAGAAGATCAATACCAACATGCAATATACCTGCATTTGCACAGAAAGCCTGTTCTGAGAGCATAGAAAGTCTGTTCTGTTATTCTAAATGTGAAGAGATTTTTTTTTTTTTGAACTTGGACTGGAATTTTGAAAAAAAGAAAAATCTGAAGTATAGAAACTAAAGCAAATTACAAACTTCAATCTAATCAAATATTCATTTTTTATAGCCCACGGGTTTGCATGAAGCAATGCCTACATTCACGTTTAGTTTTATAGAAAACTAAGATTGCAAGACCTGAATAATAAGATAATCAAAGCCTAAATCTTCAATAAGCAACGAATAAAAATTTAACACGATCACCATTTAATATTCTCTTTCGAAAATAGAATTGAATGACCGCATAAATAATGTACATGAACATGTGAAAGACTAAAACCAAACAATATAAATATGGGGTCATTTTCTTAAAATAAATTAATGATGGTAAGTCATTGTAAATGTGGCAGTTTAACTATGGCCAAGAAGCTAGCAATACAAAATTGCTGCATCTTTCAGATCATTATCCTAAACTTTCTTGGCACCTTGACATGGCACTAATGCAACTAGAATACCTGGACTATGTGAAAGTAACATTTCCAGGTCAAACAAATGCAAAAAGAAATTTGAATTTATATTAAGTACAATGTAGCAACCTGACCATGCGCCAAGAATTAAATTGCTACTTGCAGCTTCTTAACAATACCGCAATATTCAGCTTCCCCGTATCATTTACTAAGAGAAGGCTATTTTCCTGTACAATTCGTTAAGCTTCTGAATTTTTTCAAATCTTATCACCGTAGACTTATGATTTTCCACATCTTGTATTCTATGGCAAATGGATTTGTAATTGAGTTCATACACGTCTAATAACACTTCTAATCCCTGAAAGTTTATGCATAAGGAAGAACTTTAAAATTTCAGGAACACTAACATGACTCCAACATTAGAAAGTCATGTTTATTGATTGATCCTCCCAACGGTTACAACTTGCTGTAATTTGTTATCTATTTTCTTTCTACATTAACCAAACTGACCTCTAGAGCGATAAGCTTCCAAATTGTTTGTTCCACTCCTCATATGTACTGAGTTCATTCAAAGATACAGAGGGCCTCACCTCTTGCAACGCATCCTCAAAATCCTGCATAAAAAAAATTGACGAATTATAAGTGATAAAATAAACTAAAAAACTAACAACTTGAATTGTATTCATACTAAACTTTATTGCATGGGCCTCTAGGAGTTCTTTTACACGTGTGCGTGTTATTACCTGGAGAGTTACTGGCCTCATATCCTCCTTTTTCAGCATTGCAATTTCTATGCCCTGTTTCAGGGCCTCTCTTAGTGGACCCATGGAGGCATCCTTCACTAAATTTTTCATATCTGATCCTGAATACCCTGGATCAAATGGGGAAAAAATAAATGAAAAACAAAGCAAGGAAGTTTAAACGGAACAAAATTAAAAAAGATTGCCTAAAAGCAGTCAATGAAGTATCGGATAGAAAAAAATGGTTTCGCTATGAACTGTATAAAGCAGATACCTTCAGTGAACTTGCTTATCGTATCACAATCCTCCTTTGAAAGCTTAAATAATTTATCCTTACTTAAGAGATTGCGGATGATCCAGGCCCTCGCATCTTCAGCTCCAAATACAAATGGTTAACTACAGATACATTCTTACTTGATAAAGGCACAACATTTAGTTGGGTTAAAATTGTACCTGAAGAAGGGAGGGGAATATATAGTCGCTTAGTTAGTCGCCTTCGTGCTGCTTCATCAAGTTCTTGGGGTCTATTTGTTGCTCCTGGTTAATGAACCAATGTGTTATACAATTGCAAAATCTGCTGTATGTATTCTAAAAAGTTTAATCCTTTTGGATCATCCAATACAAGGTTTGTATTTTTTATTTGAATAATTCTTTACAGGACGAAAATTGAAGCCCAACCAAAATTTAAACCACGTATGTATAAATTTATTTTTATGATTTTGTATATAAAATGTCTTTCTTCTGGCAAAAAAATAAAGATAAAAAAAAATAACCTGTAAAATTGGTTTTGCCTATTGCGACATAATAAGAGAGACGAAATCTAGAAAAACATTTTAAGCTCATCCAAAACTAGAGCTAGAAACACATCATTTCGTTTCATTCCCATTCTTCATTTCCTTCTTTTCAAAGCCAGGAGCAACTACTCATATTTAGAGTCTTATCATAGAGAGAAAGTGCTCCCAAAATTCTACCCAAAGAGGGACTATTTTAGCAAAGGCAGTGTTATGGTTGAATTCTCATTCGTTAACTGCTGATTAAAATATTTCCTCGCAATCAAACACTGTTTCAAAAGAGTCCTTAAATGCAGAAATGGAAAAAATTCAGCAGTCACCTATAAGCAGAATTTGCTCACTCCCACTATCAAAGCCTTCCATTTCAATAAGAAATTGGGTCTTGAGTCGTCTACTTGCTTCATGTTCACCTTCTGATTTGCGCTGCAACCATACAGAAGATCTCAGAAGAATATCTTTCTCCACAAGCACGACAAAGTGAAAAACAGTATTACATAAAACCAGAAGTAGTCTAATAGACCACACAAATGGTCCTTCAGATGTATATTATAATGTCAGTATAAACTGCACATAATATATTTAACCTCGAAGTTGGCAACTTAGATCAATATATGCTATAATCGAACTTTTTGTGTGATCATTTAATATTTTCACATAGAAGAAAATACAGATGATTTCTTTTTAGCAAATATCAACCAGTCAATGTGAATTATGTGTTTGATAAATATGGAAGTACAACGTAAGTAGGGGCTAGCCCATGCTCACAACTTCATGTTTCCTTCTTAGTTAAAAGGTCAGAATCTACCATACCTGAGACAAAAGTGAATCTATTTCATCAACAAATATGACAGCCGGCTGACGACAACTGGCAACTCCAAAAAGTGCTCTCACTAGCTTTTCACCTTCACCCACCTACAGTTACCAATTGACATTTAGTTGCCTGAATATATTAGGCTTACTTGTGTAAAATAAAACAAGTTTTGTTCATATAATGAGCTACCAAGATAAAAGTACAACAGGCAAAGTTTGTCTACATTCCCACATACAATATTATATACTTATTTTTTTGGTACAAAAGGAGGACCATAATGAGAAGAAATGTTTCCAATAGTTCATACTAGCTTCCTTAGATTTATAAAACAGAACACAACTAACTAGTCACTGGAATAAAATGTAATGACAACCATTCGTGCTTCTGTGAGGTGTATAAAGAAGTCACTACCAATCAAATGACAGGACCTTTAGCTAGGTGATAGTATTGCAAAATAGCAGCAGTTATCTTGAGATTTTGAATAGATAAGAAGCAATTAAAACATTTTGTTTATTGACACCTTCAATCCCTCTTTTCAGCTACAATGCACTAATTATATATAATCGAAGTTAATAAAGTTTTTATCCTTGTTACATTGTGAAAGACAGTAGAGTGGGGACATTCACAATTTGACAATTATTTGGTCCCAGAATTTGTAATTTAGTGTTTATTGTGAATGATGCCACTTTATTGTTTTAATTAATTTTTCCAAAAACAAAAATCAGAAAATTTAGCCACAGAGACAAACTAAGATAATAGAAATGACAATTACCCATTTGCTGGTTAACGAACTGGCAGAAATGTAGAAAAAGGTTGCTTTAGCCTCTCCAGCTATGGCTTTCCCTACCATTGTTTTACCCGTTCCCTAAGACATGAGAGAAATATGAATGAACAACAAAATGGTAAGTATTTTATCTCTCATATGTAGGGGAAACATGTACTTACCGGGGGGCCAAACAGAAGAAGACCTCGTCCCGGAGAACGGCAACCTTCAAAAATGTCAGGACGTAATAAAGGCCATATAACCATCTCAGTCACACATTTTTTAGCATGCTCCAAACCAGCTAGAGAACGGACAAGCAAAAGAAAGAAAAAAAAAATTATTTAAATAAAATGTTCAAATTCATAAAATTACTACGGAAATCTCAAAATGGGAAAAGTCTGCAGCATCTTATGTTTACCAATATCATCCCAACGAACATTGGGATCCCGATTCATTATCTCATTACTGACTTGTTCAATCAGACGAGTATCTAAGCCTCGTAATTTCTCAGGAAGCTCTCCATCAGGACCACTTAACATTTCCAAACTAAAACAAAAAATATTGAATGTATTAGAATAAGCCTACATAACACTCACAGTTCACCATCATAATCCAGAGAGAGAGATTCTTAAATGGTTGGAGCCACTTTCAGGTACCACTTATTAGAGAATCACAGGGCTTATGAGAAAAAAGAACTCTTGAGGGAAAACAACAATGTATTTAAACCAAATTTCTAATACAATTAAAACAAGTTTATATAAACTAACCATTTATTTCTTGAGCCACCTATTCCATCATAACCCTTCCCTCCAAGACCCGAAAACATATTACCCACGTTCAGTTTGATAGGGGGAACAAAATTACCATGGATGCCACTATGTTGGACCCCGACACCATAATTTTTGTTGCTCGCATTGTTATCACTTTGTGGAGAGACAGAAGCACTAGGAGATCCCCCCAATCCTCGTTTGTGCGTTGCATCAATTACCTATAACATGGAATAGATAAGCTAATCAACATTGCTAAGAAAATAGAAACGTCATTTCTTAAAAATCTCAAATAAAAGGTTGTTATAGTTAATATAATAAATATTACTCAACTTATGAAAATAAAATCACTTGCCGCTGTCTAATTTGACCATTCTTGATTTGAGTGGGGGGGACATGTTCACGAAACTTTCCAAGCTTATTTCACATCCAAATTATACAACAAATCTAGTGAAGGTTCATGACTGCATTTTTTTTTGTAATATCAAGTTAGAAGGGAACCTGATATGAAGGACTCTTTTGTGCAAAAACACTGTTCCTTTTAGAGTTCTTGCACAAGTCATTGTTTGCCTTTAAGATGTTTCCAAAAAAGGATGTCAACCTTTCCTGCATCTTGCAACCCAAATTGTACTGCCTGTGCTGTTGGTATCCCTGAAGCCAAATGGTGCTCTTCATCAGTTCTATAATTTTGATAAACAACAAAGTCTTCGGATGATCATGGAGTCTAAAATTAGAAAAACAGGACCACTCTCAAAGGCTTCAAAGAATTAGTCCACTGAATAACTCATACTTCTCCAGCACATTCTTTAAAGAGAATGCACTGAAGGTTAAGCTTATCACAATCAGACTAACAAGTTAGAGAAATGATAATGACTGTTACTGTAAAGAGAAGGTTGCACTGTAAAAAAATAGGGTAAAGTGCCAAAAACCTTCCTGGACTATGTTTGAATTTGCAAATAACACCCTAAATTAAATTTTGTGCATAATACCCCTGAACTATCACATTTTGTTGCAAAATCCCCCAATGCCAAGATTATATTTCATTAAATGACTATAATGCCCTTTCTTATTGAATTACATCTAATCTATTTTTCTTATTTGAAATAAATTATGAAGAAAATTCATATTAATTTGATGACATATTCTCCATTAAATTTGCATAAATTTACCTCTAATTTTTAAAATTAATCGTTTAAATTTTAAAAAATTTAATCAATTTTTTATTTTTCATGAATATATTACATGAAAAAAGGAATTTTTTTATTTAAGTAATTTATTAATTTTTCATCAATATATTATATGAAAAAAATATATATTTTTTTAAATACAAATATTTTTTTTTTTTTTTTGGATAAGTAAAAATTTTATAAAAAAACGCTCAGAAGGGGAGCGGAACCTAAGCAAATACAAAAGACCACAAAGGCCTCAAGCCTTCAAAGAGGCTAAAAAATCAACTACTTCCTCCAAAGAACAATGATCTCTTCCTGAAACCCAACAAAAAAGAGTAGAAATAATCGAGAATTTAAGCACCGAAATCAACAAAGCCTTTCCTTCAAAGAATCTCCTATTCCTTTCAAGCCATAAACACCACCACACACAAAGCGGCGTAGCCCTCCACACATCCTGACTGAGAGCCCCCACAAGGCAACCTCTCCACGCCTCAATCAACCCTCTAGCAGATCCAGGCATAACCCAAGAAACACCAAATAAGCCAATCATCAAAACCCAACACTCTCTAGCCAAAGGGCAATGAATAAGAAGGTGATTCACAGACTCCTCATCACTAAGACACATAGAGCAACGGTTGACCACCACCTGGCTTCTCCTTCTCAGATTATCTTGGGTTAAAATTCTACCCAGCATTTAACATGGGTATAATACGTTTTATTATAAATAATATAATAAAATTTTAATAAATAGTTTTTTTGTGATGAATTTGTCCTTAATTGCAACAAATCAATAGTTTAGGGGCAGTTTTTAATCCAGGGGCTATTTGCAAAAGGGCAATAGTTCAAGGGGCTTTTTGCACTTTACCCTAAAAAATATACTGAAAATAAACAAAATCAAGGATGTGAAAGTGAAAATTTCAATTTTTAGCACATCATACCAAAGTTCTGTTTTTAGATTGGAGAACTTGAAAGTCCTGCTTAATATTGTCAACGTGAATAATTTCTCTCTTGCCAAACACACAACCTGTATCTTTGCCTGCTTGCTCTGCTTGGCTGAAAATATCCATATATATAAATACATATCAAAAACTGTAAAAGAGAAGGTAATAGGAGGAAAAAAAAAAAGCAGTAAATAGACTAATAGATAAATAAAAATTCTCGGTACAACAAAAATGTTTTTTTTATTTTGGTAAGTAGGATGAGGAGCAACAAAAACCAAAATTTGTTATTCTACTACCTATAAACGAGCAATTGGATATATTATTGATAATTGAATTAATATATATTTTCTCTATTGCACTGCATTTAAGTCACACAATCGTTCTTAACAGGTGTTGCGCACTCACACTCAAATTCTCATATATGCGCACTCACACTCAAATTCTCACAGTATATGAGTAAATTAAGCCGCTCTCATGCTGAGCTCTCGAATTCGCTCTTCCTTTAAGTAACTTAGCACTACATGCATATTTAATAACACAAGAAAACCTAATAATACAAAATAAAACTAGTATAAGAAAACCTTATCAGCATAAAATTGGAAAAAGTCAATAAAACTGTCCTACATAAATTTCCCAATAAAGTAACTCATCATATGTGACATAAGAATTTCATACCATTCACTTGATCTTAATAGTTCATTAAGTTCCTTGAGGTTTTTTGCCCGTTTATCTTCCTTTTCCTTCTTCATCAACTGAAGCTCTTCCATATTCCTCGACCTTTTATTATTACGGTTTTGATTTTGATCCAACATGACCTTAGCTTGAATATCTTGCAGTGCTTGCTTTGTTTGACGTTGGAAATCATCAAATTCGGCCCTTGAAAGAGCTACTCCATGTCTATCTTCCTGGCCAGAGAGGTTGCCGCCGCCGCCACCACGTTCGTCAGCCATCAATTCAACGCTATGATACAAGTGTCGGGGCGGAAAGCTATGAAAATTGAAGAACAATCTGATATATAATTGATAATATCTATACGTAACTTTGAATCCACAGCAGAGCAATTTGATATACAATTGATAATTGAATGAATATAAATTCTAAATATTTATAATAGAGAAACCAAACACGGTAAGGAAACTAACTATATGGAAACTAACAACTAAGGAAACCTGATAACATAAGGAACGCTAAAAGTTTATTATCGGAAGCGTCAAATCTAGGTTTTAAGAAGTAAAACAAGACTTACTAAGCGTTTTGATCCATATTGAAAAATAATAATAATAAATAAATAAATGAAAAATATACTTCAGTTCCATAAGACAAATTCTCACATCAATTACAGAATGCTATAATCAATTAAAGCAAAATAGGTACGTGTGTGTGTTTAGAGAGAGAGAAAGACCGATCTGATTGAGGAATGACTAGAGGTCGATCGAGATTGATCATGGACAAGGCTTCGCAGTGAATGGGACGAATAAAGGCCTCATCGATGTCGGTGTGAGAATGGGAGTCGAGGAAGCCGACGAGACGGAGGGTGAGGATTTGGGCGGAGTTGAAATCTCCTTATCGGAAAGCAATATCGGCTCCGAACAGAAGCGATTGAAGTCTCTTGATGTTCGTATCGACTTATTTTCTCCAACATACCTCCGTTTCGTTTTCCATCTTCTCCCATTCCGGTAGAGTCTTGGAGATGATGAAGCTCTCTGTCTCTTATTTTGCCGCCATGTATTTTTGCTTGTTCACGAGAGGAATACAAATGAATATGACTGGAGTAATTAAACACACTTCGTTCTATTTCTCGCATTAACCCACATTGTTTGCCAAATTTATGTGACCACCCATTTATAAATCTATTGTGGTTAATTAGGGAGTAATCATGAGGGTACCATGACCATTGTGATTTTGGAATTTTTTATTTGTGAATTGTGTAAAATTTGTTTTCAAATTCATATGAATTTGTTTTTGGTTAAATTGTAGGAAAATATTAGTATAATTAATGAGAAAATGAAAATTATCTCAACCTAAGATGGTGAAAAGAAAATTGATATTCTCAAAATATGAAATTTCTTTACATCTCTGTATTTATGTCATTTTTTAAGTTCGAGTGGCCTAGTGGGTAAAGAATTTATTGGACTAACCAAACATCCTATGTTCAATTTTCATAGAATGCAAAAATATTTGAGTTTAACTAATATGAACTGTTCAATGAGTTTAAATAATATGAATGCGGGTTATCGCACACATCCTAGATTTACTTACTCTTATATTCTTTCAATTCATTTTCTATAAAAACAAAATTATTAACTTTACATGTTGTGTACATGTTTGCTCACGATGGATTGATTGGATTTATTGGTAATCTTTCTTCTTAACAATCTTAATCCCAAGTTTGAGTCTTTGAGTAGCTCAGACAGAGTTTGGTATGCAGGAATTGAAATTGAATTTGAATGAGAATGATAATGTAATGTTGGAATGAATTGATAATCACAATTCTAACAATTCTAAGTAGTGGTGGAAGGCAACGGTGGTAGTGGTGGCGGAAGGCAGTGGTAGAGGTGGAGGTGGTGGAGAAAAGCAGTGATGGCTATGGAAGGCCGGTGGTAGTGGAGAAAGGTTGTGATGGCGATGGAAGGAGGTGGTGGTGGTAGTGGAGGAAGTTGGTGGCGGGAGGCGACAACGGTGGAGAAAGGTGGTGGCGGGAGGTGACAGAGGAAGGTGGTGGCGGACGCCAACCCAAATTTTAATAGGATAGTTTCCACCCTAATCCTCTTGAATCAAATTAGGGACTTGAAACTTGGGGTGAAGAGGGAACCTAAGAAAGATGCGAGGCAGTAAACAAAATCTCATCTTCGGCAAGACCCTTACCGGAACTAGCACTTTCCTCGTCCAGATAAAGGTGAGTGGTGACGTCACCGGGATGTTACAACTAAGACGGAGAGCGTTAAGGTTGAAAACCATGATTTCAAAAAGAGAAATATACAAACACAGGGGTTAAAAAAATAAAAATAAAAAATAAAAATAAAAACCCTCGAATAATGAAGAAAAAAAGGCACGAAACAGAGAATCGCATCCAGAGGTTATAGATTGTTGCTGGAAGAGTGCTTGAAAACTGGATCGCAAAGATGACAAAGATAAAGTTCAACACTGACAAGAAAGGAAAAGTACCAAAGTCACTTCAAACTTATAAAGGTAGAAGTAGATCATGTGGGAAGACCAGGGGTCGAAGCAATCATGACGATTCAAAGACCAAAACGCATTAACAAGGCTCAACTGTTCACATTCTCCCGCGCCGTCACATCCAACCACGACCCGTGTCACCATCATTACTTGTTAATCTCGCCCTAATCATTATGGCGAAATTTAAGAGACAATGAAATGGTAGGAAACATCAGTGGACCTGAGCCGGGCCAGATGCAGCCCAACACACCCAACCAACCTGGCTCCTTATCAACCCAAAGGTCCAAAGGTCAGGCCCAGTGTGTGCAGAGTCCAAGATAGTAAGAGCGGACCTCCATTTGGGTCCATTTGTATAGTCGGATCACCCCACAAAGGAAGGAGGCCCATCAACCTTCAACTTAGAGGGAAAATAAAAGAAATTAAGATAAATGTAAACTTTTATAAATAGAAATTAGAAAGGAACAAAGATGCGGATTGTCTGGAGTGTGAGAAAACCATTTTCCAATATAGAATAATATTTTTTTGCATCTTCACCTGCGGTGGTGGCGGAAGGTAGTGGTTATAGCGGTGGTGTTGGAAGGCGGTGGTTAAGATTGTTACGGTGGTTGTAGTGGTGGTGGTAGATTGTGGTGGCAGTTTTTGTGGTGGTGGTGCTGGTGGTGATAGTCAAGAATTTCATTTCATCCGTTTAGAAGTGAAATGGATTCTTACTTAAAATAAATAAATAAAAATAAAATTAAAGTGGTAATGATCATTGTCATTCTAAATATCATACCAAACAAACTAATGCTACATTTGATGTGCAGGAATAGAATGTTCATTCCAACCATTTATTTATTTGGTATGCAGGAATAAAATGGAATAACCATTCCAATAGAATGAAAATCCATTCCATTACTAAACTTATGGAACGCTCATTCCATTCCATAGTAAGATTACATATTTTTGTAATATTCCCAATAAACCCTTAGTCACATTCCAATAAGTCAAAAATATTTCTCAAAAACCAAAAATATTTCACATTTCTCGAGTTCTTTATTAGATGTAATAAACGTCTTTCACCTGAATATACCTAGAGTTGCCATTGACAAAAAGTAATATCTCATTAAAAATAATATTTTATTTTATTTTAATGTTTTTCTTTATTGATAGTTGATTTTATTAAAAAGTAATGTAAGCCAATGAAAAGGGCATTTTTGAGAAAAATCAGTCCATTCCAGATTTAATAATAGTTAACCAAATAATAGAATATTAATAATCATTCCATTCCATAATAATTCACCGTGTCACACCAAACATTAGAATGGTAATACTCATTCCATTCTATTCTCATTTCATTCCAAATTGTATTATATTCTACTCCTACACACCGAACGTAACCTAATAGGTGGAATAGAATGTCATTCCATTCCATTGTACGTGTACAATGTACCAAACTAGGCCTCATAGATTTGACGAAGGATCTGGACGGGACAAGCTCAAGCTTGTGAGCAATATTCGAGTCCAGTTGACTTAGTTTGTTTGCAGTCTAACAGAGATTGACCAACTTGTGTTGCGATTGATATGTCAAGCAGCATGACACAGCGCAATATGCGTGTGTACATATTATTGCAAAAACAATAAATAACACTGTATCGGCATGATTAATCTTTGTTTTCAAGCAAGTTTGATCATGGCCATTGCAATGTGTTCTGAGAGCTTTAGAAAGCCTGTTTTGATATTCAAAATGTGAAGAGGGTTTTTTTTAAACTGGGACTGGAATTTTGAAAATTAGAAAAATCTTAAGTATAGAAACTAATGCAAAATAAAAACTTCAATGTTATCAAATAATCATTTTTTATGGACCCCAATTGTTTTCCCATTGTTTTATAGGCCACTGGTTTGCATGAAGCAATGCCTACAGGCTACATTCACGTGAAAGAAACATTTCGCTTTCACCGGGTCAAACAAATGCAAAAAAGAAATTTAAATTTATATTAGATACATTCAGCCTTATCGTTGCACCAAGGCTCTCCATGATCTACTCTTAAGAATTAACATGCAACTTTGCAGCTTCTTATCAAAACCACAACATTCAGCTTTCCCACATCATATACTAAGGGAAGGTTTTTTTCCAGTACAATTCGTTAAGCTTCAGAAATTTTCCAAATCTTATTACCGTAGGCTTATGATTCTTCGCATCTTGTATTCTATGGCAAATGAATTTGTAATTGACTGCATACAAGTTTACCAAGACTTCTTATCCCTGCAAGTTTATGCATAAGGAACAAGTTTAAAGTTTCAGGAACACTAACATGATTCCAACATCAGAAAGTCAATGTTTATTGATTGATCTTCCCAACGGATACTACTTGCTGTAATTCGTTATCTATTTTCTTTCTACATTTACCAAACTGACCTCTATAGCGATAAGCTTCCAAATTGTTTGTTCCACTCCTCATATGTACCGAGTTCATTCAAAGATACAGAGGGCCTCACCTCTTGCAATGCATCCACAAAATCCTGCAAAAAAAAATTCGAGGAATCATACTAAACTTTATTGCATGGGCCTCTAGGTGTTCTTTATCACATGTGCGCGAGTTATTACCTGGAGAGTTACTGTCCTCATATCCTCTTTTTTCAGCATTGTAATTTCTATGCCCTGTCTCAGGGCCTCTCTTAGTGGACCCATGGAGGCATCCTTCACTAGATTTTTCATATCTGATCCTGAATACCCTGGAACAAATGGGGGAAAATATATATATACATATATGAAACACAAAGGGGGAAAATATATATATACATATATGAGACACAAAGGAAGGACGCAAAAAACAAAAACAAAAAAAAAAAAAAAAAAAAAAAAAAAAAGGGAAAAGGAAAAGTAAAAGAAAGAAGATAGCCTAAATGTTAGCTGTCAACGAAATCTAGGATAAATAAATAAATAAATGGTTTCGCTACGAACTGTATAAAGCAGATACCTTCAGTTAACTCGCATATCTTATCAGTATCCTCCTTTGAAAGCTTAAATAACCCATCCTTATCTAAGAGATTGCGGATGATCCATGACCTTGCATCTTCAGCTCCAAATAAAAATGGTTAACTACAGTCTACAGATACATTCTTATTTGATAAAAGGCACAACATTTAAGTGGTTCTAAATTGTACCTGAAGAAGGGAGGGGAATGTATAGTCGCTTAGTCAGTCGCCTTCGTGCTGCCTCATCAAGTTCTTGGGGTCTATTTGTTGCTCCTGGTTAATAAACCAATGTGTTATACGATTGCAAAATCTGCTGTATGTATTCTTTGAAGTCCCATCATTTGGGATCATCCACTACATGGTTTATAATATTTATTTGAATAATTCTTTACAGGATGAAAATTGATCGCCAACCAAATTTTAATCATTTATGTATAATATTTACTTTTAGGATTTTGTATATAGATTTTCTTGTTTCTGGCAAAACATAAAGATAAAAAAATAACCTGTAAAAATTAGTTTTGCCCATTACAACTTCATTAGAGAGCAGAAATCTAGAAAAACATTTTAATTTCATCCAAAACTAGAGCTAGAAACACCTCATTTCGTTTCATTCATGTTCTTCACTTCCTTCTTCTCAAATCCAAGGGTAACTACTCATTTTTAGAATCTTGTTATAGAGAGAAAGTGCTCCCAAAATTCTACCCGAAGAGGGACTTATATTAGCAAAGGCATGGTGTTATGGTTGAATTCTCAGTTGTTAACTGCTGACTAAAATATTTCATCACAATCAAGCACTGGTTCAAAAGATTCCTTTAATGCAGAAATGGAAAAAATTCAGCAGTTCAGCAATCACCTATAAGCAGAATTTGCTCACTCCCACTATCAAAGCCTTCCATTTCAATAAGAAATTGGGTCTTGAGTCGTCTACTTGATTCATGTTCACCTTCTGATTTGCGCTGCAACCATACAGAAGTTCTCAGAAGAATATCTTTCTCCACAAGCAAGACAATTGAACAATACAGAAGTAGTCTAATAGACCACACAAATGGTCCTTCAGATGTATATTGTAATGTTAGTATAAACTGCGCATAATAAATTTAAGCTCGAAGTTGGTGACTAAGGTCAAGATATGCTGTAATCGAACTTTTGTGTGATCATTTAATTTTTTCACATAGAAGCAAATACAGGTGATTTCTTTTTAGCAAATAGCAACCAGTCAATGTGAATTATGTGTTTAATAAATATAGAACTCAGTACAGCATATGTAGGGGCTGGCCCATGCCTCATAACTTCATGTTTCCTTCTTGATTCAAAGGTCAGAATCTAACATACCTGAGACAAAAGTGAATCTATTTCATCAACGAATATGACAGCCGGTTGACGACAACTGGCAACTCCAAAAAGTGCTCTCACTAGCTTTTCACCCTCACCGATCTACAATCACCAATTGACATTTAATTACCTGAATATATTAGGCTTACTTGTGTAAAATATAACAAGTTTTTTTTTCTTTCATATAATGATCTATCAAGGTACAAGTACAACAGCAAAGTTTGTCTACATTCCCACATACAATATTAGACTTATATTTCTGGTACAAAAGGTGGACCATAATGGAAAGAAATGTTTCCAATAGTTCATACTAGCTTCCTTAGATTTATAAAGCACAACACAACTATTCACTGGAATAAAATGTAATGACAACTATTAGTACTTCTATGAGATGTATAAAGAAGTCACTACTGATCAAATGGCAGGACCTTTCACTGGGTGATAGTATTTCTGGTGCATAATAGCAGCATTATTCTTGATATTTTGAATAGATAAAGAGCAATTAAAACTTTTTTTTTATTGACAACTTCATTCCGATACAGCACACCAATTATATAAAATCGAAGTTAATTAATTTGTATCCTTGTTACATTGTGCAAGACAGGAGAGTAGTAACATTCACAATCTGACAATTATTTGGTCCCAGAATTTGTAACTTGGGGATCATTGGGAATGATGCCACTATAATTTCAATTAATTTTTCCAAAAAAAGAATATCAGAAAATTTAGCCACAGAGACAAAACTAAAATAACAGAAATGAAAAATACCCATTTGCTGGTTAACGAACTGGCAGATATGTAGAAAAAGGTTGCTTTAGCCTCTCCAGCTATGGCTTTCCCTATCATTGTTTTACCCGTTCCCTAAGACATGAGAAAAAAAATGAATGAATGAACGACAAAACGGTAATGCTTTTTCTCTCTCATATTTAGGGGCAACGTATACTTACTGGGGGACCAAACAGAAGAAGACCTCGTCCAGGAGAACGGCAACCTTTAAAAATGTCAGGACGTAATAAAGGCCATATAACCATCTCAGTCACACATTTTTTAGCATGATCCAAACCAGCTAGAGAATGGACGAGCAAAAAAAAAAAAAAAAAAATGGTTAAAACAAAATGTCCAAATATATAAACTTACTGCGAGAATCTGAAAATGGGAAAAGTCTGCAGCATCTTATGTTTACCAATATCATCCCAGCGAACATTGGGATCCCGATCCATTATCTCATTACTGACATGTTCAATCAGACGAGGTTCTAAATTCCGTAATTTCTCAGGAAGCTCGCCATCAGGACCACATAACATTTCCAAACTAAAATAAAAAAATATTGAATGTATTAGAATAAGCCTGCATAACACTCACAGTTCACCATCATTATCCACATAGAGAGATTCTTAAATGGTTGGAGCCACTTTCAGATACCACTTATTAGAGAAAATTAAGAGCTTATGAGAAAAAAGAACTCTTGAGGGAAAACAAAGATGCATTTAAACTAAATTTCAAAAACAAATTTATATAAACTAACCATCTCTTTGTTGAGTCATCTATTCCATCATCACCCTTCCCTCCAACACGCGAAGTCATATTACCCCCATTACCCCCATTGGATCTGATAGGGGGAACAAAATTACCACGGATGCCACGGCGTTGGAACCCATATGATCTGACACCATAACCTCTGTTGGACGCATTGTTGTCACTTTGTGGTGAGACAGAAGCACTTGCAGATCCCCCCAGACCTCGTCTTTGCCTTGCATCCATTTCCTACAACATGGAAGGGATGAACTAATCAACATTGCTGAGAAAATAGAAATGTCAATTTCTTAAAAACTGCAAATAAAAGGTTGATATTGTTAATATAATAAATATTCCAGGTATTGGGTAACTCAACTTATAATGAAAAGTATATAAAAGTATAAAAGTATGATTCTACTTCCCTGTTTGACAACTTCAAAATGCCATGCCTTTTTTTCTTTTCATTTTTTATTAAATACACAAAGCCAGATTTCAGCAACATAAAAAAAATTCACTTGTCACTGCCTAATTAGGCTATTCTTGATCTAATGCCAGGGGAAACATGTTTGCGAAACCTTCCAAGCTTATTTCACATCCAAATTATACAGCAAATCTAGTGAAGGTTGGTGACAGCATTTTTTTGTAATATCATGCTGGAAAACTGAAGATTTTTTTGGCATCTAACTATGTCTGCAAGCAAAATACTTTTTCCAAAAAAACAAAAAAGAGGTTGACACTTCATCCATCTCAGTTCTTTTGATTAGTCATTGTAATTAGATCAAACTGGAAATTTTATTACTGGTAATCAATCTTCACAGAGATATAGCAGTATCCCTTGTACATACTTCAGTTAGGATTTCTTAGATTGGTGTCTACTCGTGTATGAAGAACGTGTATAGCTTTGTTATTAGAGTAAAAAAAAACACTTACACTAACAGAAAATATTCCGTAAGTGGCTGATAATAGTAGCAAACCAAAAGAACAAAGAAAAGGTTTTGAGAAGTAGATATTATACCAATTTTGCTCTGGCAGTTACAAATCCATTCCCAGAAGCATTAGTGTTAGCTTCTTCATTGCTTAATTGTGGCTTCACATTTTCATCTCTCGGGCTATCAATGTCCATGTGCACACGTTTTGTTCCCAAACCATTTCCGTGAGCTCTTTCATCCTCATCAACTTTTAAAAATGTAGAGATGTTGTGACCCCTGGGGTGGTTCTGATATGAATGAATCTTTTCTACAATAACAGAGTCCTCATAACTGTTACTTTTAGAATTCTTGCAGGAGCCATTATTTGCCTTTGAGATGTTTCCATAAAACGATGTCAACTTTTCCTGTGTAAGAACTTTTGAGGTCTTGCAACCCAAATTGTCCTGCCTGTCCAATTGGTATCCCTAAAGACAAATGGTTCTCTTCATCAGTTCTATAGTTTTGATAAACAACTAACTCTTCTGATGATCATGAAATCTAAAATTACAAAAACAGGTCCACTCTCGAAGGCTTCAATGGAATTTTTATTCACTGGTGAACAACACATACTTCTCCAGCACATTATTCAAAGAATATAAAGAAAGTTGAGTTTATTATAACCAGACTAACAACAAAATTAGAGAAATGTAACGACTATATTACTGTAAGAGAAGGTTGCACTATGAAAAATATACTGAAAATAAACAAAATCAAGGATGTGAAGGAGAAAATTTCAATATTTAGCACATTATACCAATTCATTCAAAGTTCTTCCTTTAGACTGCTGAAAGAGAACTCGGAAGTATTTTGACTGCTTAATCTTGTCAATGTCAATATCTCCTCTCTTGCCAAACACACAACCTGGATCTATGCCTGCTTGCTCAAATGCTTGGCTGAAAATATCCACATATAAATAAATAAATATATCAAAAACTGTAAAAGAGAAGATATTATGAGGAAACAAAACAGTAAATAGACTAATAGCTAAATGAATAAACATATGCCAATTGAAGGAGATTAATGTGCAAATTCTTGACACATAAATGAGATATATATATATATATATATATATATATATATATTATTTTTTGATAATTAGTTGTGCAGAGCAACAGAAACTGAAATTTGTAATACTAATATCTACCGAAAAGAATTGATTCATTATGAAATTTGAACTTCAGCAATTCAAACCTAATTTGTACTTAATTCTCCTACTGAAAATTAATTGGTCCAATAATAATTAGTTCTAATATTCAGAATCAATCTCAAACTTACCATTATGTTTAGTTCTCAGCGTCAAATCTAGGTTTTGAGAAGTAAAACAAGGCCTACTAAACATTTTCATCCATTTTCTCTAATTAATTTGAGAAATATAACAGACAGTGAGGTTTAAACATCATCAAACCCCTCCAAGAACAGGAAAAATAAAAACTTACAAAGCATTTTCATGTTCAGCAAATGCGAAATTGGAAACGATTCAACTTAATTTGTACTTAATTCTCCTACTTGAAAGTAATCGGTCCAATAATAATTTGTTCTAATCTTCAGAAGCAATCTCAAACTTGGCATTATGACAAGTTCTGAGTGTCAAATCTAGGTTTTAAAAAGTAAAACAAGGCCCACTAAGCATTTCCATCAATTTTATCTAATTAATTTGAGAAATATAACAGAGACAGCAAGGTTTAAACATCATCAATCTCCTCCAAGAAAAGGAAAACTACAAAGCATTTTTCATGTTCAGCAAACGCGAAATTGAAAAAAAAAAAAAAACCTACACCACAAAACATACTTCAATTCAGTAAGATAAATCCTAACATCAATTAAAGAAATGCAAAAATGTGCTATAATCAATTAAAGCAAAATAGATAAGTGTGTGTATATCTATATGCATATATATATATATATATATATATATATAGAGAGAGAGAGAGAGAGAGAGAGACCGATTAGATTGAGGAAAAAGGGAGCGTCGAGCGAGATCGATCTTGGACAAGGCTTCGCAGCGAATGGGACGAATAAGGGCCTCATCGATGTCGGTGTGAGAATGGGAGTGGAGGAAGCCAACGAGACGGAGGGCGAGGATTTGGGCAGGGTTGAAATCTCCTTTTCGGAGAGCAATATCGGCTCCGAACAGAAGCGATAGAAGTCTCTTGAGGTTCGTGTCGACTTCATTTCTCCAACACACCTCTGCCGTTTCTTCTTCCATCTTCTCCGATTTCGGCGGCGATGATGAAAATTGCTCTGTGTATTCTTTTCCCGCCATTTATTTTTGCTTTTTTACAAGAGGAATACAAATGAATATGAGTGGAATAATTAAACATTACTTCCGTTCTGTTTCTGGTATTAACCCATATTGTTTGCCAAAATTACGAAACCACCAATTCATCTCGATTGTGGTTAATTAGGGAATATTAAGTAATCAGCATGCTACAATTGATTTTTTTTATTATTATTATTTTTTTTTAAGGTAAGAAGCGTTAGAAGTTAGATTAATGCAGAGAGTAAAAGGCACTTCAAAATTTATCAGAAACACTAACCCACTAAACTATCAAGGCATCTACACCATGAGGTTACAATGACCATTTTGTAATTTATAATTTATGAATTGTATTGTGTATGCTTTATTATAAAATGTAAATTCATATTAATTTGTTTTAGGATAAATTAAAGGGAAGTTATAATAGAGTTAAAGAGGGGGAAAAAAAAATTGAAATGTTCTTTTCAAAAAGGGCATCATCACACTAAATAAAAGAGTATTTAATTCAATTGTTAAACGTAAGTCAATTATAAAAATTGATCAAGACTTTATTATTTTTCCTATAAGAAAATTAATCTATATAAAAATGACAAATATTAATTTACTTTAAGTAAAAGAAATGGGGTTGATATAAATAATCACAAACTCTCTTATTCTTTTGATTCATTTTCTAAAAGAACTTATTTACTAAAAAGTTTCAACTAGTTACTAAATGAAATGGTACCTCAAATTTTGGGAGTTAAGTTATTCTTAAACAGTTCAAGTTTGAGTCAATTAAAGTTCAAACTGAGTACATTTTTTGAACTCATTTGATAAATTGATGAGACTTGTGTATATATCTTGCTTAATTATTTAGCTTTATTCGTAATCTTCCTCCTTAACAATGTGAATTTCAAGTTTGAGTTTGAGCGAGTGAAGTTCAAGCTCCATGAGCGATGTTGGAGTGCAAGTTGACTCGGATCGTTTTCAGTTGACCAGTGTTATTTGTGTCATGCTGGAAAAAATTTGACACCTGGGTGTTGCAATTGTTAGGTCAAGCATCTTGAAACAATGTTGTGTGTGTGTGTAACTGTATGTATGTATATATATATATATGGGAAAATTATATTTTGGTGGCCAAAATTAAATATAATTGTTCTATAGTAACTTTAAAGTCAAGAAAATATGCACAGTGACTAATGTTGAAACTTAATTGATATTAAGTGACCATTTAAGGATAATTTGGTCAAAAACACTTAAAAATTTGATAAACATTTTAAAAATAAATTTTAGATGATAAAATTGCCATCAAATACAACCCGGTAACAGTTGGCAAAATTCTGAAAATAATCAGTAATAGTCATTATTTCTTAAACTATAACTCATTAGTATTAAAAAATTCCTAAAATTATAGTCTTATATTTTAAGGAAGATCTCTCAAATAAATCAAACTTGTAAAGTATAATAACTATGTATTAAAAAATTTCTAAAAATCACAGTCTTTTTTTTTTTTTTTTTTAACTTAACCGGGGGTGTTCGGAATGGCACGAACCCTTAGGGCCCCTTAACAACCCGACTAATCTCCGAGAACCCGAAAGGGCACCTAGTCACTGCAAGGGCAGCGGAAGTTAGCCACAAAGAACACCTAGTGGGACTCAAACTGCAGACCTTGGACTTGCTAAGCTTTAAAATCTAGTGAGTAAACCACTGGGTCATATCTGAAGTGGATCACAATCTTTTATCTTAAGAAAGATCTCTCAAACAAATCAACTTGTAAAGTATAATAACTATATCTACAATTTTCTCGTCCTGCCTCTTAGAACCTTGAAGAAAACGATGTAGAACATCCGTCCTCAGTTCTGTCCCATCACTCCGATAATGTGTCGTCTCTTTGTTAGTCAATTTAAGTAAGTGTTTATTTAGCTTAATGTACAGGGTAAATTTGTTCACTTACATAATAATATATTATAAGAAGGTTATTTAGGTAATAAACCATCAAATTGTCACTTATTAGTAATTAAATTTTAGGTTTGATGACTATTCATCTTTTCTTGATTTTATGGTCACTTTACACCAATTATGTTTAATTTTGACGACCAAAATATAAATGTTTTCTGACATAATTAACCACTGTTTTCAAGCAAGTTTGATCATATCGACATGTAAAACTTTTCGGAAAAAAATATGTAGTCAATTGTTTTACTTGAATATCACTCTTCTAAAAGAAATAACTTTTCAATAATTTATTCCAATGTTAATAGGATTAAAAATTAAATATACATATTATTTTCAAAATCGATTCTAAGAGACCCAAAATGATCAATTAATACTAATTTCACATATTCCCTAGATATTTTTATGTGTGTATTTTTTTTTTTTTTTTAAATAGTTAGAATTTAAGAAAAAACGTTAGAATTGCACAAGAAAATAAAAACAATTGGGAATATATATATATATATATATATATATATATATATATATATATATTAACAAGACAAGAAGAGTTAGAAGGTAGATTAGTAGATGTAAAAAGTCGAAGTCTGGCACTCTAAAATCCACCACCACCGAAGGTAGTAACCAATTGGGCTATCGAGACATCTGCAATTCAGAATATATCAAAATGTTTAAAATAGTTTTATTCGATTTTGTTTAAAATATATATTTTTTTAATAAGTAAATTTTATTGAAGAACCGCTCAAAAGGGGAGCGAGAGCGGGTCCCAAGTACAAAAAACAAGGCCAAAACGTCTCAAGCCTTCAAAGATGCCCAAAAAACAAGCTCCTCTACAAATCGAAAATCCCTCCCTAAAACCCAACAAAAAAAGAGTGGAAAGAATAAAGAACTTAAGCATAAAGATAGGTTTTTCCTTTCCATCGAAGTATCTCCTATTTCTTTCAAACCAAATACACCTCCAAACACAAAGAGACGTAGCCCTCCAAGCATCCCGAATAAGAGCCCCCACTGAAAATCCTCTCCAAGCCTTAATCAACCCTTTAGTGGAGCTAGGCATCACCGACGGGATCCTAAACAACCCAATCATCAAGTCCCAACAGCCCCTAGCCATGCTACAATGCAGCAGAAGGTGATCAACAATCTCTTCATCATGCAAACACAAATAACATCTATTAATCACCACCTGGTTCCTCCTCCTCAAATTATCCTGGGTTAAAATCCTACCCAAGATAGAAGTCCATGCGAAGAAGGCCACATTGAGGGGGGCTTTAGATCGCCAAATAGACTTCCAAGGGAAAAAGCCTTTAGCGCCAACCGTAAGACACTTGAAAAAGGACCTCACCTCGAATCGACCCTGAGGGTTGGGTATCTAAAGCCAACAATCAGGATCCCCAGCAGTGATCATTTGACGGTACAGAAAAGGCCAAAAATCGGGTGACCTCCTCAATCTCCCAATCCTGAAAGTGCCTCCTAAACTGAACATCCCAAGTCAGTCTCCCGTTATCAAGATAATAACAGTCAACCACCAAGGCCTGCTTATGAGAAGCAATCTTGTAAAACCGTGGGAAAGCGAGTGTAAGAGGAAGATCCCCACACCAAAGATCCTTCTAAAATCTGATCCTCCTACCATCCCTGATTCGAAAACGAACATGCTTACAGAAATCATCCCATCCCTCCGAATGCCAGTCCAAACCCCCACTCCCCTAGGACCCCGACCTACGAGAGAACACCACCCTCTACTATTCTCCCCAAATTTATGTGCAACAACCCTCCTCCAGAGCTAATGCATCTCCACCCCAAACCTCAAAAGCCATTTCCCAAGGAGAGCCTTGTTGAAAGGCAATAACCTCCTAATCCCTGAGCCACCCCTCCTAATAGGACAACAAACTTGCTCCTAACGAACCAAGTGAAACTTGAACTCTTTCTCTCTTCCCCCCCAAAGAAAATTGCGCTTCAATCTTTCAATCCTCTCTGCCACAGAGGAAGGAATCTGAAAGAGAAAGATGAAATAAGTGGGGAGACAAGAAATGTTACTCTTAATCAGAGTGACCCGACCCCCTTTAAAGAGATACTACTTCTTTTAACCCACCAATCTTTTCTCAAATCTATCCACAACTGAATCCCAACTCCCCACACATCTCGAGGGGCACCCAAGGGCAACCCTAAGTTGGAAATAGGAAAAAGCCAGTGCGACAACCAAGAATCTGTGCCAACCTCTCAATCTCAGGGACCTCCCCAACCGGTACAAGAACACTCTTACCAACATTCACCTTTAACCTAGAAATAACTTGGAATCAGACCAAAGCACATCTCAGATATCTCAACTGATCAGCATCAGCATCACAGAGCATTAAAGTATCATCAGCAAACATCAAATGGGAAATCTTCAACTGGCTAGCAGCATCGCTACCCACTCTAAAACCTCTCAAGAATCCCAACTCCACCACCCTCTGAATCAATCTACTAAGGGCCTCCATCACAAAAAGGAATAAGAATGGAGAAATATGATCCCTTTGTCTCAATCCCCTCGAACTAGAGAAAAAATCGGTTGGAGCTCCATTAACAAGAACTGAAAAACGAGCACAAGAGATGCAAAACAGAATCCATCTCCTTCACCGCTCCTCAAATCCCATCATATCCATCAAGTAGAGGAGGAAACTCTAGCTCACATGATCGTATGCCTTCTCCATATCCAACTTGCATAAAACACCCGGATTCCCACTACTCAATCTGGAGTCAACACATTCGCTAGCAATAAGAATTGAATCCAATATCTGCTGACCTCCCACAAAGGCATTCTGAGAATCAGAAATGACACCATCTAAAACCTTCCTCAACCTATAGGCCAGGACTTTAGTAATCAACTTGTAAATACACCCCACCAAACAAATAGGGCGAAACTCCCTGACATCTAATGCCCTACCCCTTTTCAGAATGAGAACAATAAAAGTGGCATTCAAGTTCTTCTCAAAAGAGCCCTGGGCATGGAAAGCATGAAAAGTACCTATAATCTCCTCATGGACCACCTCCCAACTCTCTGAAAGAAAACTCATGGAGAAACTATCTGGACCTGGGGCTTTACCCCCATTACAGCTCTTCAACGCAAACAACACTTCCTTTTCAAAAAACGGCTCCTCCAGAACAGAACTGTAATACCCCGATATTTTAAATGATTTATTAATTGTGATTAATTAATTTTATTTTATTTTTAAATGATTTACTTGATTTAATTTTAATTAATTGCGTTTATGTTAATTTTTAATTGATTTATTTTATTGAGTGCTTAGATTAATTGTTTTATTTTAATTATATTTCGTGATTTTATATGATGACCGTTTGTATGTGTGCTTGATTATTAATTGAATTATTGATGTATTGATTTTATTGGTATGTGGTGACTTGGTTGTAATTTCTTGTTTTGTTTATGTGTTTCATGTAATTAGT